GATATACTAAAGGGGAAATCCACCCTAATATTAAGTTGGTTTTGATAGAAGCTGACAAAATGAGAGAAACGGATCAATGAAAGTTTCAGCAGAATACGATGAAAAATTATGAATTTTTGAATATGCGATCAATCAAACACAAATTGACAACTCTGTGATGTATCTTACAAGGTTCCCTCCCATTTGCTATATACAGTGCGTTCAGTTTCTGCCCTTTCATATGACACTTCAATCAGGAAAAATGAGCCAGGAATAACAAAGTTATGTTTGTTTAAAGTAATGCTTGCATTTCCATAATTTGATCAAACAAGTTCGTTTTTACTGGCTGCCTGCCGTTGCAACGAACAGAGTTGACAAAAGACTTAACTCCGTTTCGTTGAAGATCAGTCATGCATCAGGTCTGACCTCTTCTTTGTGCATGGCTGATCGTCAACGAAATGGAGTTAAGTCTTTTGTCAACTCTGTTCGTTGCAACGGCAGGCAGCTAGTAAAAACAAACTCGTTTGATCAAATTATGGAAATGCAAGCATTACTTTGAACAAACATAACTTTGTTATTCCTGGCTCATTTTTCCTGATTGAGGTGTTATATGAAAGGGCAGAAACTGAACTTTCTAGAAATGTGATTTTCTCCTTGAAATTCAGATACCGCCCGTCAAATGTCTTTTTGGTTTTCTCTCTTCAAATTGCTTTTAATCACTCATGCATGATATATGAGTCATATGAGTTGCATCAGATGAAAGAGGAGGATCTAAGCTTTCCAAATATGTGTCATTTATTAATTATAATTGTGATTAAGTTATGATAAAACATTGATAGTTCTTGGTTTCATTTTTTATGGGACGCACTGTACATGTATATTAACTAATTCAGAAATGTCTATTTTCCCTAATGAAAATGTTCAATCATACATGCACCCTAAATACTTTGTAAAGCTGTTTTTTTTTTACAAGGGTTAGGCTCGACTAGCACATATGATATCATCTGGCCCCTTTTACCAACCAATACATGTAGTTTATCTTCTTCTATATATGTAAAATCATTGTATGAAATGTATGTATTGCTGTTGGTTATAAATCAAATCAAATCAAATCAAATAAATATGCTTTTATACAACCCCTGTATGGAATGAATCTTTTCCGTCATCAATAACTAAGAAAATAAAAATTTATGAAATTTCTGTACAGAGCAAATAGGAGAGGATCTTGCAAGATATGTCACAGTGTTGCCAGCACGTATTTCACTGATGACAACTTAATTTTTTTAATAACTTTCCTACTTTTAAATTGGCTATTGCTCAAACTTTAACTATTCCTGCCTCTATTATTATTATTAGGGTGGACTAGGGGACTTATCCTTTAAAATCTTAAAGAAAATGATTTAGCATCATTCGATGAACCTCGATAAAAACCATGCTAAATTGAACGTGATGAGACTTCTCTGCCACGAAGCTCCTAAGACATTGTTTTCTAGGTTGCGTACAATCCAAGAAATGTGGACTAGCATGCGGTCATAGAATGGCTGATGTAATACATCCAGTTTCTTTTAAATTTTGACCTTATTATTGAAAATCCACAATAAATCCCATCTTTAGCTGGAGACGTCACATTTTTGAGGACTCTCGCTACTTACTTGTTATCTTCATACACCCACACATCACTTCATATTATAGGATCTAATAAAGCGGAGAGATAAAATTAACAATGGATTTTCAGAGATGCAGACGTAAAGGACTACTGTCGCCAGATTGAATGTCAAAATCTACTCAGAAACGAGAAGAAACAGCATATTCTATTATTACTTTTTCAGAAAAAAAACACAAAATGGAAGAAATTGACAAAGAAGTGCACAGGTCAATTATTCATGTCATATGCCAACACTATGTTCTACTTCCTGTTTTTTATATACTCATTATAGATTGATTGATTGACTTTGGTAATAATGTAAGGTAAACCCTGTGTATATTTATTTTGTAGAGACACCCTTATATCTCTTGTGCTATGAAAGCATAATTTAATTCATTACTACCAATGAAACACTAATGACACTGACAATATTATAGTTTTTGAAAGTTCTGAATAAGACATGAAATACTCAAAAAGCTAGAGCCCTCTGAATACATGTAGTTGCCATTTTTCCACTAGAAGAAAAGAAAGAATAAAACTTCTGTATATGAGACTTATATTTTACTCTGGAGGTTTACCTGTATAAGTGTATACAGGTAATATAAAAAAGGACCAAAAATGACCATAAACACACAGTAGGTTTATATATTCGTTGTGACTACCGGTACTGTGTATATTTGTAAAGCTCTTAGAGACATTTGTATTAAGCGATATATAAAAGCTAAATATTATTATTATTATTATATTTCATGCTAAGAACATGATTTCTTGTGATATCATACATTTTTTTATCTGTCAATATTTATTTTTAATGCAGGAATATGTACATAAAATTGGTAGATATAGATTAGGTTTGAGTGACTTTCTTTCTCACTTAAGTCTTGTCCAGACTACAAGGATTCATCATATAGCTACACTGTATAAGAACCGTACAGCAATATGATTACCTTTTCTCTAGTCTGATTGCCCCTTTGGCTATAAAAATGATTAAAAAAAAATAAATTTATACCACATTTCTTAAACGTGAGTTTCCTGTAAATGTCATATAGTCTGAATTGGCTATTAATGTTGAGATAATTAGCTCATGTCTGCATCAGGCAACAAAACACCTCAAAACCACTTCAAATGTAAATGTTAAGAAATGACTCTGTTGACATAATGAGGCAAAACTGTGGAGGTGTTCGTCCCCCAAAACATTTTATTAAAGGGCTATCCAACCCTTGTAACAAGTTTATTTGTATAAAAGCAGACAATAATATCATTAAATGGCAGTAGTTTGAAATAATTTTGGAACAATATTTAGAGAGTCATGAATGTTTGGAATATAAGATCACTATAGCTATGCAAATGTCAAATAGGCATTTTTGACAGTGGATCATGATGTAGTCAAGGTTGACTCTCCCATTTGTCTTGTTAAAAAGTATCATTAAATTATAATTTTCTCGATGGTGCCTTCTACCTTGGGGCACTACCGTACTTAAACATGGACACACTATACAGGTTTCTGAAAAGGAAAAAAAAACTTTCCAAATGATGCCAACCATTTAATGAAAATGGGCTGTACATATGGCTATGCTGCAGTAGTTAGAGTAATGTGAGGACTCTGGTTATTCTAGCTACATGTAGCAAGTTTTAAAAGTTCATCTCTCCTTTGGGTGTATAAAGATATTCATGTCGTGGGCCTTCACCAGCAAAAAAACATGGAGCCCTTTTCACACATTCTTTAGGTCACACCTGTGTGCAGCAATACAGGAGCTGTCGCATGCATGACTCTTTTTGTTGATTGTGAAAGTGGTTAAAATTCACAAAAATATTATGCAGCAATTCAATCAATCACAATATATAATTTTGCAGTCACAAGTTTCTTGATAACGAAAGTGACTTAATTAAAGGTGTAATTTTGAAATTTTAAGTTGAAAAATCAGGTCAATGGGAAACAGGAATATATGGGTAGAAGCAATGGTATGTAATTTCTTTTAAAAAAATAACCACAACCCTGCTGAGAACAGTATCAAAGCTGCAACCATTCCTATTTTAGAAAGTTCATAGCTTTAATTGTTATGAGTCCTAGATTCCTATCTTTTTCAGAGAAATTCTGTGCGATAAAACAAAGTACAAAATATACTGTAATACTATGTTTTCCCTTGGTTTCCTAATATTTGCTGTTGAAAGCGTTTGCAGGTACAGTGTGTATGCAGCATGCCTGTTATGAAATCATGAAGGCTATTCAAAACAGTATATCCAGTCACAAACATTTCAAAATCATTCTTAAAACTCAAAGGAATAAACGTTGCAACATTTTTAGTATCTGTATAAAATGTTAGTAGTACCTTTAATCATGTAATTACAGACTTGTCAAGTTACATGTAGATAATTTATAAATCAATTTGTGATGCACAAGTATCAGTGCTTCAACTCTTTTAAAGGCCAAAACCACTCCACTCCAAAAATAATCTGCTTTAATTAAATAGATGCAGAAAAACAAGAGAGATAGAGCAAAACAAATTTGAGTAAAATCGAATAGCTAGTATAAAGGAAGTAATGAAGTTTTGAAAAAGTATGGAACAATGGAAATCACTACACAAATTGTCAATTTTATTATCAGTTTGTGACGTCATTGCCTCACTATTTATCAATTGCTTTATATATTTTTATCCCATTAATTGGTTTGTCTGATTTTTCTGCTTCTCTTGAAAGTGAGTTATTTTTTAAGTGGACTTGCTCTTTAAGAGTTTATACTTATAGACAAGTCCTCTGCTGCATCACACTCTTGGAACAACCTCCCTCAGTTTATTTGGGCTTTACTATCTCTTTCTGGTTTCCAAAAGTCACTGAAGACCTTTCTTTTGACCATTAAATCAACAATTGTATGTGCTTGTAGTAATATATTTGTTGTCTTAATTTAATTTCACGTACACATATAAAATAAGTTTGTAAAGTGCTGTGATACATTTAGTTTGGGTTGGTTTTACGATAATAAAATATGAAATACTAACATCATAACACATAAAGAAACAAAACACTAAAATATTTTTTAGAGGGCTATTCTAGAAAAATGAAATATTAAAATTTAAATGAAGATCGAGGGATCACCCGCTTCAGGTCAATCCTCGGGTTCAGGTTCCCCAAATAACTACAATAAATTGATGAATAATTAATAATAATGATGATAATATAATTGAAAAGCATATATCAAAGTGCGTACATCATCAGGCACATCTATATATATATATATATATATATATATATTTCAAGACACTACACCACCCACCCTTCCCACCCCTAGCTTATTTTAATTTCAGTTTTATTGAAGGGTCTATTTTTAGAAAATGAAATATACTTATAATAAAGATTACAGTTAAACTTTTAGGCTACATGATATATTTTATATTTTCTAGTAGTGCCAATATTGTATCCAATTGTATTTAATGTATGTCTACATCATGTTGAAGACGAGCAGTCCGTGACACTATTGTTCAGCTTAATCCTCCAGCAGACTAGACAGGGGCTATATGTATGGTTACGTAAACACATTTATCAAAGGCAGTTAGGTAAGGTTTCAACACACCCCCATTGGCAGGGAACACTTTATACACACACTCTCATACCCACACACTCACTCACCTATGCACCCACTCTTCATTAAAGCACACAAACTGTAGGGTATCTCTAATGGAAGCATATAATAGTAAACTTGACACAATTCTTAATGAACCCTTCTGTATAGTGTGTGCTCTACATTGCAAGCTGCACTGCCGCTCACGCTGAGGTAGTACTCAACACCCTAATATGCCTTTCATGTCCCCGTTCTGTATGGCCCCTTGGAGAGAGCCTGCTTTTGTCAAAGCTGGAAAACAAATCGGAGAGGCTCTCTTATCTCCCGTCAGTGTCTCACCCAGTGGGATATTCATGGAGCTTCACTCGTTAGAAATGGCACAGTTTTTACACATCATTTGAATTGGAGGAATATTTAATCTACAATCGCGTCAAAAGGTGCCAGTGCAGAAGTATGAAAGAACCATGCAATGGAATGGATCTGGTATGGTCACTTCATATCCTCTCTCATTCACAAGCGTTCTTGCGAAAGGCTCTGATTACCTTGCCTCTTGATAACTGGATCTATTGGAATATTGCTGTGGATTTTGCTGTCGAGTCTCCGGGCCAATCTCCTTTATGATTGGATGATTAACATGTATTGCATAACATTGGTGACCACTGAATGAATAGCTCTTTGAGTACTGTAAGAAGACTCCATGGTTTTTATTCCTTTTCATCGCACTGGTCATCGCATTAGATAAGCAGTAATATGCAAATGTGAGTATAAAGTCAAAATTTAGCGAGGAAATTAGCCTTGCCTTAGCCTACAGGGATAACAGTTGGTTATTTTGTGGCATTGCGATATGTTCAATATCCCAGTCTATTTAAGCCTTCGTTTTGAAATAGCTTGTTTATTCTGCAAGTTCTGAAAAAAAAGAAAAATTAAATACGTTGGTAAAAATATGAAAAATATCGAGAACATAAAAATCTACTACACTGTATGAACTTTCACTGTAACTTTAGCAAGTTATAAAGATGAAGAAGTGCTGTTGATGCTGTAATTAGGTATTTAAACTTTTAATGGGGAAGTCCAGCATGATATTAGGTTGTTTTAATTAATAAAGAAGAAAATGAGAGGAACAGGTCAGTTTGTAGCTTTTACTCACCAAAAATCCCCAGCAGAACGAGCAACACCAATGTTTTTTAAATTTGTTTAATAATTTTTAAATTTATTTTATTATTATTATTTATTTATTTTCAGGGGAGGGGGAGCTGTGTAAATGGGTCTAGTTGGATGAAAACAGCTTTATGATTTGTGCATGATTCCAAAAGGCAGAGCTTGATTAGTTAGTCTCAATGGTTCTCGGAATGTCTTCATAGAGGTGTATATATTACATGATGGATGTACATGAAGTATAGTGGGTACATGTATAGAAAAGGAATGTATTGTAATATACTTTATGGTTTCGTCATCATAGTGGCAAGCATGTTGGCATGTATAAAAGCTCATTTAAAAGGCATTGTTTAACAATGTTAAATCTGAGATGCATGGCCCTACGTGTTATCAGTATCTGTGATATGGTGTATTAAATATTGAAGCCCTAAAAAAATGCGCTTCAAAGTGATCATGAAGTCCCTCAAAAAAGGTTTTTGACCGGTTTTTCCATTCCCATTTTCCCCAATAGACTCTCCCTCCATCTCTCTCTGCCCTCTCTCTCTACCCCTCGCTATCTCCCCTCTCCTTCTCTTCCTTTTCTCCCTTCCTCCCTCCCTCCCTCTCTACCTCCCTCCCTCCCTCTCTACCTCCCTCCCTCCTATCTTCCTTCTCACTTGAACCCCCTCCCTCCCCTCCCTGTCCCCTCCTCCCTACTCAAAATAATAGTATATTTGATCTTTCAATATATATACCATGTAAATGTAACTGTTACATGACCTCTATTTCAAAATGGAATCTCATAGAAGATAGCCCAATCTCCCGTCTTGATACTGAAAAGCAATTTTTTTATGAACAGAATCTGAATCTGTACTGTAGGCAACATGTTCATGAATTCAGTGTGAAGGTCTCCAAAAAGGAACCATCTTTGGCAGCTGCAAATAGGACAGACTTTGTTTGGCCTTGGTGTTTGCAGAGTGCATTAGACTCACTAATCCTGTGGACCCTTGAGCGACCTTTGATGAACCTACCCTGAGTTCACTCAATAGGGGCATTTAGACTGCAATCAGAAACCCAGGGTTTTTCCTCATATTTCAGAGTTTTGTCAGAAGTTGTTAAATAAGTACCCATAAACATGACAAGAAACCTAAGTAAAACAGCCCTACCTCCAGGTTTTTTTAAATTTTGTTACATCAGCTTCAACTTGGTTGTTGCAGTGTAAATGCTCGCTCTCAGTATCGCTCATGATTTTGAGTGATACAATTAGGTAGGTTAACCAATTGCTTTAGACCGTATAACTCAATAGGAATCGTAATTTTTTCTGCTTTTGTATCTCTTTTATTAAATGTTAAAGTCTCTAAAAAATAGCACAGCTGATGTTTTCAGACATTACTTTTGCGAGGCATACCGTAATTAACGTTGTATAAACAGCCCTTCTGTATTAACCACACCCCTCTTTTTCGCCCTAAAAAAACAGTACAGGTCCTAGGATAGAACCTTGTGGTACCCTGTGTAATAGAAGAAAAATTGGAGGAATTATTATCATAAACTACATATTGAAATCTATCAGAAAGATTACTTTCAAACCAAGATGACAGACAAATTTGAGTGTTCTAGTTTCCAAGTGGCGAGTCATCACACCGATTACTGAGCTGGGAGACATTGCCAGGCATAGCGCCAGGTGTTTTTTGGTGTACCGTGTATAAACCGCACCCCCGACTTTGAATTTTTTCGGCGGCAAAAAGGTGCGGTTAATACACCGTTAATTACGGTATATCAAGCTTCTCAAAATAGTCTAATGTCAAATTCGATGGTCTATTCCTACCATTCATTCTAGTTCATGATATCCGTACAAACTATGAAATTACAAATGTGTTTCCAAACATGGCTATAGACTCAAATAATAGTGTTAATTCAATAAAATGTTCAAGTAAAAAGTCTTTGTCATCGCTTTTTGCCTATGGGGATATAAGTTTGTATGAGCAGGCAGTGCCCATCGAGTGGTTATGCAATATTTTTGGTGTACAGTTTGAAGTCAAATATGATGAAATTGTTGTAATTTTTTCCGCTGATTCACTTGCAAGTGTGCTCTACAATTTCCCTTCCTTTGAGAAATGTAAGGCAAAATCCTCTCCATGTTGTCTTGCAGATGTAGACTGACTGAAGCTAGTCTGCAGTCAGAGATTCTAATCTAACACTTCACCACAATTCCTCTGAAAAAAATGATGTTTTTTGCTTGAAGTGTAAATGCAGATCCTCTAGAGTCTAGAATAATATACCAGTACTCTGAAAATAATGTACACCTGTACTGTGAGTGTGAAGTCAAATAGCTGTGGTCAGAGATTAGGCGCATTACAAACCATGGAGAAATTGTATAATATACTGGTGGCTCTTTTCCATTTAATTCTAACTTATTGAAGAGTACTTGTCTATTGCTGCTTGAGGTTTTTAATGTATATTTGTCTGACTGACAATGGAGTGCTACATCGATCATTTTATATATTTAGAAGTTATATAACCATACAAAAGTTCATTGTCTACATTCATATTAGATCCCACTCTTCAGGTTATTAACAGCCATGTGCCATTTATAGGCAGGAATGGTTTTCTACTCCATGTTGTGGCCTAAATTCACAAAGGAGGTTTGTAGACACACCTCCTTTGTGAATTCGGGCCTATATGTTTGAACTTTGAAACCAGAATGGCTAAGTGTATACATTCCCATTTTAGCGTGAGCAATCTTAAGCTTGAGATAATATTAAATTCTCGTCATTGTAGACAATCATGCTGTACTGCAATAACTTTCTTTTTGAGGTAGGATCAACAAATTCATATCACAGGTACATCCCTCGAACATGCAAGATAAGGTCAAAAGAGGGTCAAATCTGACAAAGGTCAAAATGCCAATGAACTTTCAAATTAAAAAGCACTGTATTATGCAATAATTCTATATATCTTTGGTTGCGTTTATCGACCAAATTTTTGGCTAGAATCAGGTTTCTCAAACGTCTTTCAGGCAAATTTAGAAGGTGATAAACGCAAAGCCTTTTTTAAAGGGCTTTAGATATGGGCATATCTAAAGATGCAAAACGGTGTTTTTTTTTTAATGTGACATACAGCCAGAATCACGTTTCTGAGAAATCGATAAACGCAAAGCTGTTTTGAACCTCACATACAAATAGGAATTCCCAGGCTAGTTTCCGGTTCGGAGAAATAGCGCTTAGCAGCTGCGAAGAGACAAGGCCTTTATCGTGAATCGTGAAGAGTCGATAAACGCGACATCCCGCAAATCACGATCGTAACTGTGGGGTTCGATAGTGGGGTATGATAGTGGGGTACGATATGTGCATATCTAGTGGCAAGCCCCGATAAACGCGCCCTTTGATGATGAGGTCAAAGGTTAAAGGCCAACTTGGGTAAATATTTCAAAGATGATCCAGTGCAGTTTCATCATGCCTCCTGCTTGTTCTCCTGATGAGAGTAAAACAATCTCAAGAGGATTTGGTATCATCAGGTCTAGAGTTGTGTCGGATAAGAAACATTGCGCTTGAGGGATATTGGGTCAGAGGTACAGGCACAATTCTTAACTTTGCGCAGTTGATTTAACAAACGAAAATAATGTTCGGTTTCTCACTTAGAAAAGAGTGCAGCTTGAGATAGCATTTACTGCATTTTTAATCAGTGTTATCTCATTTTCCAGGAATTATTCAAACTGCCACAACCCAAATTCACATCTTGAACTACTGAAAGCCTGAAATTTCATAATTTCCATATACACTGTATATGAGTACTGCATTCTCACTCACATTGCGAGACGCAAGCGAGACGACACTACGCGTTTGCCTTGCTCTTGAAATGAAATGAAATGAAATTTCACTGTGAGTGCTCAAATTGGCTTGAAGGGTTTGAAGAAAAGTGGAATAAAACAGCACTAGTTAATATAGGGATTCCATGAAGGATTGCATATGGACTTGACATGCACTTGACTTGTCAAAATTTGCAGAAAACAGAAATGATTTTGTGTGTACATTTAGCTCAAGGGTCCACCAACATCAATATTCTTCTCTCTACAATACAATATTTAAAATATTTAAAAATATGAAAAAGGGTTTATTGTTTAGCAAGTTTCTTGTTTGCTGAACAGGTATCATTTAAGGTACTTTCCTTTATACATTTTAAACAAGAAAATGTTAATTGTAAAACTTTCTTTGACTTGCAGACATTTTTTCAAATGAGCTATTATACTTGCAAGATCATTTTTACCCCTTACAGCTAACTTTATTTACACATTTAAAATCACACAAAAAAAATGTACATGTTAATGATATTTAATGTGAACAGAGTTATTTCTTGCTGCAAAAGTTATCATTTGGTGTTATTTCCAGATTGTGATGAAATTTCTTCTTTTATTCCTTTCACCCTTTGTGCGATTTTTATTCCCATAATGTTTTTATTCTGGTATATAAAGCAGGGCTCCCACTTAGCCGAGTTGGAGCCTCGAGTTGTGGCGAGCTGGCGCGATCTTATGGCAAGCAGTTTTATCATTAAAACATATTTCTTGATATCAAGAATTCAATTCTTGATATCAAGAATTACCATTGCTTTACAACATAAAATTATTTCTTGATAACTAGAATTTATTTATTGATATCAATTAATATTAAGACGGCTTGCCATAAGATCGCGCCAGCTTGCCACAACTCGAGGTTCCAACTCGGCTAAGTGGGAGCCCTGCTTTAGTACTGGTAAGAAAGGTTATTGTGCACCTAAATATTAAATGCATTTTGAACAAATGTGCAAAATATCCATTAAAAAATATATATTTCTGCTATTTTCAGGTCAGCCAGACCTAGATCTCAAACCATAGGTTTGCAATAAGTTTACATGAATACGGTAGTCAAATGTACTAATTTTGTAATTAGTGCAGTATTATATCAATGAAATCCGTAGACAACCTTGCATTATCATATTTACAAGTTTCTTCCTCTTTCTTTTCTTTTCAGATGTGATATGTATGATGATGGTGAAGATAGTAAAGATACCACAAAGAGGTAAGATTATTCTCTTCTTTCTGTCTTTCTATCTTTCTCTGTAACCCCTTATCCCATTCCTCCCTTGTATACACATGTATGTTCAACATTTCTCTCTATTCTCTATTCCCTCTGCCCTCTCTCATTTTCTGCTTGATTTTTTGAAAACTTGCATTTTACCCTTTTTCATTTAAGTGTACCAATCACCTCAAAATAATTTGTGTACAGATAGAATTCAAAATCTTCACCTTGTTTTGTGTTGGCTAATGGATAAATTTTGAGTATGAATAAAATAAAAAAATAACATTAAACAGAGCACAAGTAGGTCGTGGGTTCATTCCAGGCTGTTTCTACGCGAAGGCGTACATGTGCATCGAGTAGCCTACTCACGAGTCGCTTTTAAGTTAATTGAGAGTGTATTAAACTTGCTATTTCTCTTTACAGAAGTAATATATGAAGCTTATATTTTGATTGTAGTATCACAACATGGAACTACCATCATACAGAACACAATATTTTTGGTGTTTGGTATACTTTAAATTTTCCTTTCAGCTTATTTATCCATAAGATGTTCATTATTATATCCCTCATGTATAGTTGTTTGCATTGCGATTGTACAGAGCACGAAAAAGTTATAGATAAGTACTATCTACCTAATTTTTTGCTGCTGCCCCACTTGCGCGACTTGCGCGACTTGCGCATTGAATAAGCATAGCAAAGTAGGATACGCGAAATGTCAATGTCAATGTCAAATGAGCGTGCATCGACTGTAGTCTATTACATGTACGCATGTTGTGCTTTGTAAAATCTAGCTGAAGCTAAACTGTCTGCAAAATCAGTTGTTTTAATTATGTAAAATTCACTTTAAATAGACCTTATTGCCGATGTGGGATATAAAACAAATATTAACCTCCTTTACTCGGGCAATGGATACAAACTATCATCGCCTCGGTGATCTCGCGGGGCTACAAGTACTAGTAGCCCCGAGATCACCTCGGCGATGATAGTTTGCACCAATTACCCTCGTAGTCGATTAATATTTGCTTACTTTATCTTTGCAGTATTACAAAGACTCTCATTTCTGTTCTTTTACAACCTAAAATTTATAGTAGTTTGGGCATTTGAGTGTTTTTGCTTTGCAAAGTTTCATTATACAACAATAAAAACTAGAAGAAAAAACAAGGGTTGGCTCACAGTCTGAAGTTTTTATGTTAGGAATCTGCCCAACTGTGCAATGAACTCCCTATAGTATTTTAACTGTAAACATATTTAGGAACTCAAAAGATAATGATATTAATAATTTACCCTGACTTGAAATAATACTGATATGGGTATGGTAATTCCTCACTATTTAGAGAATTCTATACAAATGCTATGTTGCAAAATATCATTTGAATAATAAGATATGATTGCACAATTTGGTAAAATATGTGGGTCTTTGTGTTTTGTTTATATTTTTTCTTCTGAATAATAAAATATGAAGGCACAATTTGGTAAAATATATGGGTCTTTGTGTTTTGCTTTCTGCAGGAAATCTCGCAATGCGAGTGAGAAGAAGAGGAGAGATCAGTTCAATGTACTTATACAGGAGCTATGCTCAATGGTTTCGACCAAGACGAGAAAGCTGGACAAGTCCGCAGTCCTCAGAGCCACCATACACTTCTTAAAGGCTCATAATGGTACGTCCAATTTATTAATTTATTTATTTCTAATCTTTTGTCAGGGTAGCCCATTGACTAGTAAGTAGTGCTCTTCCATTGGGCCCTGAATAAACATGAACATATTTATATCAAAAAGCATAATGTTTATACAGAACAGTTAAAATAAAATTCCATAGTACATTTAGAAAGTATACTTCAATACTTACAAACTCAACATAAAAAACAAAAAGTCATGTGATATCAAATTTGAACTTTCTTTCTGAATTGAGGCAAGTGGTCATATCTGTCAATGATGAAAGTGTATCATACTCAACTGTCACAGAGTTTCACACAAATGTGTACACACTTTAGTTTTTACATCCATTGCCAGTATTTAAATCACTATCACCTTTTTAATCAGGACTTAGAGTTTACGGTATGTAAAACCAAAAACTGTCGCCACATGAAAATTTCATGTTTTTTACACGAGAACCATTTGTGTTAAATTCGCAGACATACATGTGTGTGCACTGTAGTTTCCAGGTTTACAGTACTGCTACTGAAAATTGTTTAGTGTCTTGCTGTTTGAAAGCAAACAAAATCACAGAAATCTTGCAGAAAGGTCATCTTGGGGCTTTGCCAAAACTACTGTAGATATAGGCTTGAATGCTTGATTACCTTTAGTAATAAGTTAACAAGAGTTGACACTCAATTAGGAGTATTGGGCTGTTATGTAATTGGCTTTATTGAAACTAATCACGCCTTCTGGGGATAGATTTGACATTTTCAAGAGGAACTGCAAGATGTGGGAGGGAAACGGACTTTCCTGTCGAGTTGATTTAATTTGAAGGAGAAAAAGGAGAGAAATATACAGTTAGGCGAGGCGTCAAAAATATCGATACCAGCAGGCTGCCGCCTCACGTATTGGCGCATCGAGGCTGCAATTACGGCCGAAGCCTGGCTGGGGCAATTATTTTTCACTTATTAGCCCAGCCGGCTTGCGCCAGGCTGGGATCTGAGGCTCGGTTTCCATTCGAAAGGCAGCAGCCGGCGCATGCTTTTGTTCGGAGACCATTATGATGACATCATGAGTTAATTGAGGGTCCTACCGCCAGCGGTAGCCGGCTGAGCTAATTTAAAAAATGCAGCCAGGACGCACAAGTGCAGTTAGCTGCCGCTGGCTGGTATATTTATTTTTGACGCCTCGCCTTAACAAGTAAATTATTCATACCCTTACCAAGTTTTGTCATTTTTAAAGTATGTAAAAATTGATTTGGCCCAATTTATGTTCCTTATTGAATGTGACATATCATAGAAGGGTGTTAGCTATGTGTTGACTCATGACTCGATGCCCGATTGGCTCTCAGCAGAAGATTTTATCAATATGTTGCATAGTGCCTTTAATGAATACTACATTGATGGAGTAATTGCTCTGTTTTGGAATCCCTTACAAATATCTCACTTAATTATTTTCCCTCTCTTTTTTTGGTGACAAATTATACATGTGGTATGAACATTGTGTGGTCTGCATACTAAGACTATACTTGGACTATACTTGACACTTATGCACATTTAAATAAAACCTCAAGTGTAGCCTAACCTTTTCAGTAGCTTTGGCTGTTTTAAAGTAGCAACGGTACAAAGCCTATGGAGTACCAAAGACCGTGCAGTCTACATAACTAGTCTTACAGTTCAGACTGTCTGATATACCATCGATATTTGAACGTTGGAACAGACTACCTTTAAATGTCAAAAACTGTCAAACTGTTAACCTATTCAAAACTAGTCTTAAGACACATTTATTCAAAATTGTGTTGATGATTAATTAACTCTGTTCACTTTGATGTATATTCCATATGTATTGTAATTTGTGGGTTTATTTTTTTTTCACTTTTTAGTTTTGTTTAATATGTAATTGTTTATCCGTCTATTTTGTGTGTTATAGCTCTTAGAGACTTCGGTGGTAAGCGCTTTATAAGTAACATTTTAAATTTTTTAAAAATATTTACGACGAAGAAGGGTTTGCGCTTGCAGATTATGGTAATCAATGTGGGTGAATTACTATGCGTAGTTGCCTGAGTCTGATTGAATCTATGTTTGTAATCAGTTTCTATTATTCAGAGGAAGAATACAAATTGAGTTTTATTTTTGTGTTATGATCTTTTAAATGAAAGGTATTTTCCAGTCCTTTTGTACTCTTTTATTAAAAAGAAGAAGTTGTTGAGTGTTTGTGTGTTTTTGCTATTATCAAGCATAACATTTACACCATTTTAGGTCAACTCAAGGTTAATTATTAATATTAGTATATACTAGCAGCGGTAAAGACTTGTGGAGATATGAAGGGGTAAACCATGTTAATGAATTGCAACTGTGCATAACAAATGTTCTACACATATTCACTGAACTCTGTGTTATAAGGTATAGAAATGTGTAAGGTATTACATGTACGTCATTGTAAAAAAAAATGCGCTGGTTTACTGCGTCATATGGATAAAGGAAGCAAGATGCACATTTTTCCTCATAGAACTTTATTCAGAATCAGAGATAAATTGATGGCTGATGTGATTAATGATTGAAATTGTAATGAGCTTGGCAGGGAAGGCTTTTATCATTCAATTGATTTAATTCGATTTGTCAAACAAGCAAGTACATGTACAGGTGTATGCACTTTTCTTTGCATTGCTGCATCCAAGCACGGCAAGCTTTTGAAGAGAAGGTTGAGTTCTTGTAATGGGTGGAAACAATTCGTCAGCTTTCTTATTCTTTTATACTCCTATATGGAGGAATATCTTGTAGCATTAAAGATAAAGGTGAGTTCTGGTAAAAAAAAAAAATGAATTCTCACAGAATCAAACGACACTTACACTTCAAATGTTGATATGTTCATATATTCTAAATATGACTAGAAGCACTGTGGAACTTTGTATGTAATATTTGATGCCTCATGTCTGTGCAGTCCCATATACCCATAATAACTTGCACATGTACCATATTATGGATTTCCCTTAGCTAGTGGTATTTCTCATCTCCTTCATTTTTATACAATTTACATGTATCTCTTGCACAGAGAAAAGAATATGTGCAATGCTTTTCAATCTGTATTATTTTTAGCCATACCGGTATTTTATATGGTTCTAAAACCTCACAGTAACGGTACACAAAATTCTTTCGTGCTCTCTATCCCAGGTAACTAATGAATATACTTGTACCTTCTGTTACATTGCAATGGCATGATGAGTTCTAGTTGACTCGAGCAGAGTTGGTGAACAATGTATGTTGGCATGTTTCAAGTTTCAAGTTTTTATTGTTTCACATTTTACAAAAAATATAGACATACGTATAAAATGATTCTCAATTCATTTAATAGATTAAGTAGAATGTGAGGAACCTATTAAAAAGCAGTGCTTTATAGGTTCCTGGAAAGAAAAAAAATTTGTATGATGTTTGGAAGGATCAGGTGAAAAAGGTGCGCATGCAATCAAGGTTCTCTTGATGCTCGCATAAATGGATGTCTGAGTCCGAATAGGGATGCATTAGCTGACAATCTCAGTATGGTAAATCATTTGTCGTGTGTGTATAGAGGTGGTATACCAGAGGTCGACCCACCCTGAGTCAACTTCTGAAATTAGAAGAAGAAAAAAATCATAATGACTAGTACGTACCTGGCAAAACTCTTGGTCGCTCGGCTGGATGGCTAGTTCATGCTAGTGCACCCATCGCTTCGCCTCAGTGTAATTACATTCTTCATTATTATTTTTATATTAGATACTGAATTCCCTCTGGTATTTTCAACTGCAACTTCTTCCTGTAACTTTTTTTCTGACACTTGTATCATTTTTCATAATTTTCTAATTTCTTATAAATGTTTTTAATTTTCCCTATAAAAAAAATTCAAATGAAAACAAACATTTTGGCTTGTCCCATTAACATGGTAATTGCTAATATTTTTCCCTTCATGTTGTCAACTTTTTTGGCTTCTCCAATCACGATCTCCTTGTTTTACCATCAACCCCCCCCCCCTTTCCCCAAAAATCTTTGAAAATTAGAAGTAACATGCCTGAATATCAGATATATGCAGAGATGACTTGAAGTAGACTTTAGTAGTGACCTCTGAACTATCTGACGCCAAATATTTTGTTTTTGTTCCTACCCATTTTTATGTCCACAGACATGGTGATGAAATCCGAGAAGAATGCAATCAACGAAAACTGGAAACCGTCGTTCCTGTCTGATGATGAGTTCAGTCAGCTGATGTTAGAAGCTCTGGATGGTTTTATGATAGTCTTCTCTCAGCAAGGCCATATCTTGTATACCTCAGACAGTGTCATCTCTTTGCTGAGACATTTACCGGTACGTTGTTCTTCCCCTGCTTATTAAAAGGGAAAGTCCACCCTGATATTCAGTTTCTTTTAATGGACGTGGAAATATGAGAGAAACAGATCAATGAAGGTTTGATGGAAAAATAAGAAAGAAATTTTGAATTTTCAAAGTTGTTATTGATAAAACACAAATTGGCAACTCTGTGGATATACCTCATGAGGACCTCGGCCCATTTGCTCTGTATAGAAAATGTCATCAATTTCTATTTTCAAACTTATTGAAGAAGGAATGGGTTTGTTTCCTGCAGTGGTTGTGTAAAAATGTGCATTAATTAAATCCAGAGTGCATGTAGAATTCAATTTTTTTCTTGTGGAAGTAGAATCTTTGTTTGTACAGAGCAAAATGGAGAGGACCTTTTAAGAAATGTCACAGAGTTGCCAATTTTTTATTTTATTTCATTGCAGCCATTAAGAATTCACCTCTGTCATAATTTTAATCAGATTTTGTTCAAACTTTCACTGATCTGTTTCTCTACTTTTCTGCTTCTATGTACATAAGCTTAATGTAAGTTAATATCAAGGTGGACTTTCCCTGTAAGATAGATTTTTAATGTATTTTTGTCACCAGCTTATTAGCAGAGCTTTATACAAGGACAGGGGGGGGGGGGACCCAGAATCCCTAGTTTGTATGGTCTTTAACTGGTACAATTTATCTCAATCTCCTGGGCCCTTGTTTCATAAAACTTGTTACCAGTCACAAAGCTCAATTTCTATGTCAAATTTGTTCGCAGCCAATCTAATGCCACATTTCCAGTAGCTTATAACATTTATTGTAACTTTTGTAACCAGTGCATGTCATCCATATCAAAAGCATTGAAGCAGGCAGAAGGACATTATTAAGGGACATTATTAACAGAAAGTATTTCATGCATTACTGCATCTTGAAATGCCCCTCCCCCCCACACACACACACATAAAAGGAAAAGAAATAGAGCAGAAATTCTTTTCAAATATATTTCATGCTTTCCTCTCACTTTCACAGAAAAGGACCTTTGTTAATTTGAATGTGTCTGCCTGAAAGTATGATGTCTCTGTTGTGATCTAGTTTTTTTTAATGATATCGGGCAATTTACATCTTTTGTGAGTAAGGGAAGATTGACAGGGTGTGGCTTTATGTTTTAAAGGTCAGGCTTATAGTATCTCTTGAATTCTGAATAAATAATAATGATAATAACAAACGTGCATGAAAACTTATTTGATAGACGATGTTCAAAAAGGCTGTGGAATGTGGTTATTTATCAAGTTTTTGTCTGAAACAATGGTAACATATCTAATATGCCATATTATTTTTGTTATTATAAGACACTCATACAAGAAGAATTCCTTGCCGCTTTCATAGCTAGAGAGTTCTATGGCACTTTGCACTAGGGCTGCGACGTGTAGTCGAATGCTCGAGTACCCGCACGGTTGACAACTACTCGGGTACGATTTTTAATACCCGAATATTCGGCTGCAAAAAAAAAAAAAAAAAAAAAAAAAATCTGTCCGGGCCGACACTTCCCGTGCCTGGATGAGCGGCGGCCGCTGGCATGGTGCCGTCGGTAAAAAATGCTTCCCAACTCAAGCACTGTCAAACTCACCACTCAGAAACTGGGACCAAATGTCTGGATTTCTGTTTGGACTTGGAGGAAAATGGATTATTCTGCCATCTTTGGTTTTTAAAACAGCATTGTTCACTGTTATTATTATTATTAAATCGGCGCCTTCAACTGCAACTCAAAGTAAAATTGCATGCGTTTTCGGCGACGTGAGATACTGCCCCAGTGGTATGGTGGTGGCAAAAAAACAAAAAAAAATCAAAAAAATTCAAAAAAATTCAAAAAAATAATAAAAAAACATGGCGTCCGAATATTCGAGTATTCGCTTGTAAGCCTGGGAGTGTACTCGGGTACCTCATTACACTGTTGTGCACAGCCTTACTTGGAAGGAGATCTTCCAAACTATTCCTTGTGGATTTAACTGGAGGTGGTAATGATTGATGAGGGTGGACACACATTTACTATAATTTTTTAGATATTGTGTACAAATCACTGATGACCATCTTGTGTCATGACTAGTTGTTTCAATTATAAATAAGCCTCCAAATAGCCCTCAGTATACATGTATAAATTTATCAAAGCAAATTGTCTGTGGACATACAATACATTAGGAATATCACAATAACTCACATGAAAGGGAATTCATGTATATGAAACCAGTATATTTTAAGCCAACGCCACACTATACAATCCAACTTTTGAAGAATTTGCAATATTCAGCTTTTATTCTGACTAGGAGAGTTCAATACACAAACATTCTGGTAGTTAGCTTTCTTATCAGTATTTAGAAGTTAAATCAGGAAGATGATGTTTGTCTAGATTTTATATCTAATACAATTGCCAGTTCTTCAAAAATCAAATCGCAAGAAAATCTTGTAGTGTGCGGTGGGCTTAAAAAGGAAATTTTGATAATGAAATAATTATCTGACTTGAAGAAGACACCACTGTTGTCCCCTTACACTCTCAAACCTACTGAACATGGAAGACAAAAAATGACATCAACTAGATACCATCAAGAAAAAGACATTTTGATAAAATCCACCACCTTGACCAACTCATCACGCTTTCCTTTGAGAGTGAACCAGAAAATCACTGAACCAGCAGAACAATTATCCCCAGCTGATTTCACCCTGAGCAAGCAAGTAACCATGGTAACACTAGTGAGAAATCGGGTCTTTCCAAGTTGATTGAATGTGTGTTACAACTTGCAAACCCCAGAGGAAATTATTGATTTAAAGTAGACGTTTACATTAATTGCCTGAGGTGATTTGATCATGAATACAGAGCTGTTTATTATCTAGGTGCATTAACACTGCAAGCTAGAATCATGGATTTTTCACACGCTCCAGAGTTTGTGGATTGTGATTGTTTATTAAATCAAGTGTACCAATACCTTGCCCCCACTTTTCTTGGAGTAATAATATTATTTCTTTAGAATTAGGAGAGGTTAAAAAAAGACCTTCCATTTCTGTATTGGATGTGAAATGTTTATTCTTTAAAAAAAAAACAGGGAGGATTGACATTGACATTGACATTGAGTTTGAGTAATGTAATTTTTTGACACACCCTATGCAGCCTTGCAATGATTCTTATAATTTCACCTGTGTTCACAGTCTGCCTTCAATGCAATGAGTTTAATGTGTACATATAGTATTCTTGTTGCTCGATTAAATTTGTATTCTAGTGACGTAAATTATGCGCAACAGAGGCAACAGCATTGATACAATATGTTCCCTTCATTCTATTTATAGAGTAGATCGTTATTCTGATATGAGAGGAATTAATTTGAACTGGAAGATCATTACCATTTTACGATCTACGCAGACTTTATCAGGGAAAGCATCTTCAAATCAAAGGCCACTCATAAAACATCAACTCTGTAGGTGTTTATCGGATCAAGGTTTGTTGTGACACGGCCCTGTGCATGTTTCATCTTTGCCCGTAGGGGGCTCTGCTTGATCTGTACATCCGATATGCTTTCAAAAGTGCTGTAACAAATCTACATATCGAGGGCTGCCAAGTCATGGCACGATCTGTCAGAGGGTTATGTGATAATTTGGGTTAATGAACAGTTAAACTTTTGTTCACCATTCCTTAGCACCCCTGCTACAACAAATTGGACAAGTTACAGTAAGCAAAACTCTAACCCAATTGGATATATAAGTTTGTTAGTTTGATGTTCACTCTGATGTTGATGTTATATTGTTGATATTTATTTTACGTGACTGCTAAGAAAGTGAGTACATGCTTGTGAATAAACAACAGGTGTACAAATTGCTTTTAAGTCCTATCTGAGGGACTTGATTATTGAGGATTACTGCCTTTCCAAAGGCAGAGTACCAGCATTTCGATGTGGTATCGAACTTGGGACCTCCCTGCTAGGAGACCAATTAGGTTTCATGCCACATCGTTTTCAGAAATCACATCACTGCTGCATGGATCAAACATCTCCAGTCTTTTCGGACTTGGACTATGTCTAGTTTCTCATGCTAATTTGGCCTTTTAGTTTAAATAGAAGAACAAGCACCATCTTGCAAGGGGGAACAGAGGTCACAAAATTGAGGAGCTGACCAACCAAGGCATGGACCGATGGGTCTATAAGGAGGCAGGAATGCCTTTGAGCAGCACGCAAGAACAACCAAAGACAGAGCGCTCAGGAAAACAAGTGTCTAAAGTGCTGTTTCCCCATCGCCCCAGTGGCCTTCAAGCTCACAGATACCGTAATACATATGTACGTTAAAACAGGTAAAAGACTAATCACTGATTTTCCATTTACACCTTTTTCAACATAAACAGAAAGACCTTGAGTCGTGTACGATATATGAACTTATCCATGAAGATGACAGACCGGAGATGTTCAAGATCCTCTCCAGGGCAGATCCGTCCAACGGCACACCAGACATCCTAGGCCAGAGATTCTCCTTCTCCTGTCACATGAGACGAGGGACGTTAGAACCGGACAAACCTGCAGAGTATGAACCCATCCGCTTCAATGGCAGCTTTTCCCTGCTTAAGACAGGCCAAGGTAATGAACGGAAAGATCTTTCTAGGGTAGTCTTTTAGGCACAGTCAAACTTGTCTATAGCAACCGCCCAAGGGAAACACAAACATGGGCCTTTGTAGACAGGTGGTCTTTGTAGACAGGTTCCTTTAGTACATGTTTCAATGAGAAACCATTTTCAAGGAAAAAAAAAATGTGGTCTTTATATACAGGTGGTCAATAAAGCAGGTGTGACTGTATAAGATCACAAGCCAGTTATTTATTGTGCTCAAGGTGATGGGTTAAGATGAGAAATAGAAGTATCGATAGAATTTTCTTGAACAATCTTAGAGTCTTACAGTCGCATGCCAGTAATTCTTTCTGCTCAATAGAAATATGGACAGACCACTTTAAGGGGGTATCTCACTGAGCGGCGAATGCTTGCGAACATAGCGAATTTGGGGTTTGGCCAGGGTTTGTATAAAAAGATTACAAAAGGTTCTTAAAATATGAAGGGGTGTTTATCAGCATTTTTTTAGTTTGTTGTTGTTGTTGCCACAATTTAGATTATCCACAAACTTGTTCCAAGATGCATCCATTAAGCTGGTTAATTTTTTGCACTACTAATAACATTACTATACCATCCATCTGGGACCAATTCTTGCTCTCCTATTGGACTGCACTGAACCAGATCCCTATTGAGCACATGTAACAAAAGATGTTAAGTTATTAAAAAGTCATTTATTTCGACAGGTACATGCCTTTGGTAGGGCGCTAGGACTAGTCCGAAGGCTAGTCTCTAAATGGGAAAACCCCTAAAGAAGCTGGGTCAATTTACTGTGGCCTTGCTCAGTAATCCTTCAAGGATGGAGCAAATTTTTTGAACGATAATGAGAAAGAGTAGGCGATTCCGTTTTTGTTTTGCAGAAGTGTTTATTTAAATGCTTGACGAGAAAGAGGTCTTCACATTGTTATCAGCGTTGAAACCTTTTTGTATAAGTGGCATTGGAGAGAGGTTCATGTGGTTCAATTTCCATGAAATATCTGTCAGAAATAACAAGTGTGTTATTGACTAAATTTGTGTCTGAATGAAAGCTTTGGTCACCTTTTCAAGAGATCATCTCTCCATGGGTGCATTTATCATGTTTTGGCTTTGAATATCACTGTTTCTATCTATACGGTAAATCTCTGTGCATAAGGCGCACTTTTTTGCCGTGGAAAAAAATTGAAAGTCGGGGGTGCGTCTTATACACAGGTACAGAAAGAAAAAGATTTTTTTAATTTAATTTTTAGTTTCGATTTATGGCGCTATGCCTGGTAATGTCTCCCAGCTCAGTAATCAGTGTGTTGACTCACCACTCAGAAACTACAACACTCAAATTTGTCTGTCATCTTGGTTTGAAAATAATCTTTCTAATAGATCTCAATATGTAGTTTATAATAATAATTCCTCATTTTTTTTTCTATAACAAATGGTGTACCACAAGGTTCTATCCTAGGTACTTTACATTAATGATCTTACCCATTCTTCTAAAAAACGACATTGTTACTGTTATTTGTGACAAGTTCACATGCACAAATCAGTGCGTTTTCAAATTATATTCAAATTATATTCAAATTATATTCAAAATATAGGCCTTGTCTCTATGTCACATTCAAAACGCACTTTTTTCGGCGATTCAGTATACCCATATATATAGAAAGACGTTTGAAAACAGGCTTGCGTTCATCACCTTGAAAATTTGCCTCTAACACATTTGTAAACGCTGATTCTCGGCAAAAAAAGGTACTATGAACGCACCCCATGACGTAACCTTCTGGTATTGTCTGATGAAAGCCAAGCGTCTGCTATGCCCTTCTGGCTCTGATCTTAGAATAAAATGCATAAATACAGCTGTTGTAATATGAAACTATGTAGGCTTTACTGTCAATAGTTATCATTGTAAATCTATTCTTGTCTTTGTAAATACTGTCACTGATGTCCAATTTCTGGTTATGTTGACTCCACATGTTCTTTTAAATGTTCATGATCATTCAATGTATAAAGCACTTAGAAAGAACAAGTATGAACTATGAAGCACTATAAAAGTATAGATAAATATTATCAGCACTGCTTTTTTGGCTGACCCTTCTGAATATTTATAACAATTTTTTCTGATCTGTGACAGCATTCACAGGCATGGTATTTTGTAAATTTTAAAAGAGGTACATTACTTTTTTTTCTCTCCATAGTGCTATTTTGGCAAATCTTGTTGAAAGCTTTTTCTTACTTTCCCCTCTCCAGCGGCGGCTTTCACTGACATGGTCACCACCCCTAGGTATTGCTTTGTAGCAACGGTCAGACTCCTCTCCACGCAGCTTAGTAGAGAGATGGCTACTTTCACCGAGAAGGGGAACGAATTCACATCAAGGCATAGTCTCGACTGGAAATTCCTCTTCTTAGACCACAGGTAATTATAATTGTAATTATGATATTGCTTGAGATTTGAAAGGCGCCGAATCCACTTGAATTGAAATGCTCATCTTCTCAAGGTCCTTTTGATGATAGCTTTAGGCGACTGTACGTCTTATGGTCGTTGTAGTGGTCCAGTTGTAAGGAGTGCAGTGCTCTTCAATTTCACACACTAATCAAATAGGAATCATGAAATTGCCGATATAGACATTCAAGCTTTGAAAATAATTTGTTTGAAACATTTGAATGAAAACAAAACTAATGTAGAAGCACACATTAAACCTTGAACCTTGATCAATAGTTAGCCCACTTAATGTCTGACAAATTCAACCAATTTTTTTCAGAATTAGTCAATGGTACGATTTGATAAAGGGAGATACTCCTGGTGACCATCTCTCTGTAAAGAATTCATTTTTTGTTTCCCTTTATATTTCTCATTAAAACCTGTACTAAAGTAACCTGCAGTAATGACATTAAGCCTGACCACTTCTCTCCCTTAAGCGCTAGCAGTCTTTTTATTTACATTTGCAACCGTATCATGTTCAGGGTTTGAAAATAGTCGCTAAAGTTTCCACCCATGTGATAGCTTTTATGGGGGATGTACATTGTATTGTAGTGCAATTATGCATTAGGCTTATCTATAAATACGTGTATAAGCCTTTACAGATTGTGCTATTTTCAATTATGTATGATGGTCATAAAACACACCTCACAATCCACTTCCCTTCTAGGTAGCCAACTTCTGGTATTAAATGTTTTGAAGTATCACATGCATAGCCTCATTCCACTTCTTGAGAGACAGATAGCCTTTACCTCAGTTTGTTTGTTTTATTTCTGGATAAAAAGACAACATGCATTCAGTAACACAATAATGAATAGAGTAATGAATTACAAGATAAAATAATGTAAACTGCTGGTTTTCCATGGGGACCAGAAATGGTTAAGTAAAACAATACAATAAACATAAACAAATGACAAAGAACAATGGCAAAACATCAATTTCCCAAACAAAATATAGTAAGAAATGAAATGTCCTAGACAAACGGTAGAGAAAAGAAGCAAGTATTATAGAACCAGAATTGTGTGAAGTAAACTACAAATAAATTATGTGTTCACATTACAGCTATTAAACTCAGCGTTAAAAGATACAAAAGATAAAGTCCTTCTAGGCCTCTGCAGACCATGTTTGTAACTTTATAATGATTATATGTCATAGTTTTGTGCTAGAATTTTTTTTTTTCAAAGCTCTATGCCTATTTTCGATATTGGCAGTATGGGCAGTATTCTTGTAGGAGAAGATGGAGACACTAGATCTCCTACTTAATTAAAAGCCAGATACTTTTATAAAGCATGCAAGTAGTTGAGATCTGCAAAAGTGTCATGCTATCTGAAATTTTCTGCATTTCTGATTATTTTCTTTAACAAAACACACAAGCAATTATAACTGTTTAAAGAAAGTTTTAATATAATATGCTGTTAAATACTGGAGGGAGTCATTAAAAACCCTTTACCATAAAATAATGACAGGCATTATATTTCTGATTGAAATAAAATGGGTATTTGTGATGATAGATGCTCAAATGGTGCCTTGGGGGAGATTTACTCAGCAGTTACTAGGGTGATTTAATTTCTTTGTACTGACACTTCCTTGTATAATAATTGTGTTTAGAGATGATTTTTTTTTCTGCGTGGTAGGGAGCCATAGGATAAAAGATGACCTAAATGTGTTTGGCCTTAGATTGGCAATTGACATAGAATGCATGGTGTGACCTACTTTTGATTGTCATCATGTTGGTGAGAAAAATCTGAAGTTATTGAAAGGAAGGAGGAAAATGTTGCATAAAGGTCTGTTCACATATGCATAGGTTTACCACATCGTTTTTTAAAGCGTACTATGCTTCAAATTTTTGTATCTTACAACACACAAAAGGGAGTATGTGAAGGACCATTGTTGCACAGAGCTACGTTTTACATCTCCATTTGCCATTCATTTTAAAGTAAAAAAAATTCTGCTGTGGTGTACTGTCACAGTTGCATACATGTATGTGTGAACGGGCCATAAGATGGACAGATTTTAAATGAAATTCACCTCAATACTTTTTCATGGCACATAAATATCCATTGAATATCTCAACATTCAACAAGAACCTATCGCACGTTCTTTGATGTACCAGGAATATTCATTCATTGCTTTTTTATTTTTTTAATAATTTTGCCACTGTTAATGTGATTCCAGTAATTATGATGAAAGTAAAGAATTACATGCATATTCCCTGCATTAAATGAAGCAGCTCATCAGAACTATATTCAACTATATGCTATTACCTTTTTATGATGGGCCGTGAAGTATGTTTCCCTCAAGATATTCATTCATTCATTTTATATCCAATTCTCGTTAAAAAAAAATTCAACAATACATTATACATATAAGAAAAACATATAAACAATACAAAGAATATGGAGGAGCCAGCAGAGGGCATTGGCCTTTCAAATGCTGGGCTCCAATGGCCACAGATTAGCAGATAATTATAAAAAGTGAAGAGAAAATAAAGAGTGGGTAGTTCATAAACAAGTGTGTACAGGCCAATTAAACATAAGATAGAAATAGAAATCCTGAGGTCTACATTTATATGTCTGGGAACGATTTTTGTGAAACATGGATTCATTAAATCATTGTAATTTTCTTCATGAAAATGTTGAAGAGGAATTTTCAAAGGTTAAGTGTTGTAGTTATAATGAATCCATTTCATTTGAAAAGTATTATTTCTGTTGATAAACATTCATTTAATAGTCTTAGCCCTTAGCCCTTGAAAGATATTACGAATCAGCCTATAGTACTTTGTTTGTTCACTTGTAAGCACTCGTATTAAAAGTGTTTTGTATTGCTCTTTTAATTACTGCAAACAAGAACCGTTTGGTGACATAAAGCCTCCATGGTTTGTTCCTGCCTGTTGTTAAAGCAGCAAGAAACATTTAAAAATTACAAATATTTTACTGTTATGATTCAATCTGATTTTAATATATTGTGGCATGAAACATTCTTGAATGTCAACCATTCATACAATTTTAAAAAGTACCGTAAATCTCCGTGTATAAGGCGCACTTTTTTGCCGCCGAAAAAAATTGAAAGTCGGGGGTGCGCCTTATTCACAGGTACAGAAAAAAAAAGATTTATTTTTTTTATTTATTTTTTTTTTTTTTAAGTTTCGATTTATGGCGCTATGCCTGGCAATGTCTCCCAGCTCAGAAATCAGTGTGTTGACTCACCAATCGGAAACTACAACAACACTAAAATTTGTCTGTCATCTTGGTTTGAAAGTAATCTTTCTAATAGATCTCAATATGTAGTTTATAATAATAATTCCTCAATTTTTTTTATTTAAGCAAATGGTGTACCACAAGGTCCTATCCTAGGACCTAGGTACTTTACTGTTTTTAATTTACATTAATGATCTTACACATTCTTCTAAAACACATTTTTACTATTATTTATGACAAGTTTACAAGCACAAATCAGCGCCTTTAACTGCACCTCGATGTTAATTGAAGGTCCTTCCCCGCGTGGGTTTTCGGAAACAAAACAACAACAAAAACTTTTTTTTTTTTTTTTTTTTTTTTTTTTTTTCCTCCCCAAAATAGGGGTGCGCCTTATACACAGGTGCGCCTTATACATGGAGATTTACGGTATATAATTTATAAAAAGTTTCTTGTTTTTCATTGTACACTGTATCATACCTCCAACAAAGTGCCTTTTGATAATTATAAAATAAATTGTTTTCTCCTTTCTTTCAGGGCTCCTCCAATCATTGGTTATCTACCTTTTGAAGTGCTCGGTACCTCGGTGTATGAATACTATCAGCAGGATGATCTGGATAAACTCGGCAGATGCCATGAAGCATGTAAGTTTTATACCGTTTTCACACTATGAAAATAGCATCGTATAAAGAATCATCATATACATGTAGCATAGAAATTGTACATATATATCGTGGGGTCAGTGACACAAAGACGTAACTCCATTTTGGTCACTTTGAGAAAAAGTGGTTTGTGTGTCACTGAGCACTGTGGCCTTAAGGAGTTAAGTCTATGTTTCACTAGCCATTGACTTCAATGGGGTGTTGGGTGGAGTTAAGTCTTTGTGTCACTGAACCCTCGATATGTACAATGTTATATACTTTTTTTTAAAGAAGATAAAGATGAAATGACAATGTGGAAGGGAACTGCATAGACCATCGGCCTTCAAAACAAGGCCTCATCATTACAATTACTCATATTACTCATCAATAATACTATTTATTACGGTATTAAATTACATAAAATAATTGAATAAAGCAACAACACAAAGTAAAAACAAGAACACATAAATGAACACCTTATAAGCCGCAAACATATCATAGGAAAAAGTCGATCAGTCCTCATAAGGGTGAGTCAAATGTTATTTCCATAATTCAAGATTATCCTTGAATCAAAGCCCAGGTTCAGCTCATTACGAGAACGCATCCCTCAAGTACTGCACGTAGCATAATCTAAATCATTCCCTGTAACTCAATTTGCCCCCTGGCATCTATAGCAAATCATACACAGTGGTAATCACACAGTGGGGTCTTTTACACCAGGGGGAAAGTGGTTAGAGAATCGTTTAATGGAATACAAAAAATTACACTGCTCTTTGAAGAATCTTCTGGCTGAAATGCTCCCTAGGATTTATTGCAGGCTATCCTGAATCTGTAAAGCACTTAGATGTAGATTTATTATGTGCCAAATAAATTAAGCATTTATTACTGTTCTATTGTATAAGGGATGTACATAGAGGAATTAAAAAAATAAAGAAATGTTTAAAGACATGCTCACCTTACAATGATCATATAGCATTGTTATATATTATATATTTGGTTATGTTACTTTTGCTACTCAATTCAGTCTAGTCCTTCAGACAAATTCAACTGATTATTGTATAGCTATAGAGTCATCGAAAAAATTGTTCATTTACCATATCTGAAGTGGATGTTGGACAGAACAAGCCATTCCTCGGGCATGCAACTATTCAAATGGGCTTCTACTAGTGCCCACGGAACAAGCGTGGGATATAAGTAGGGCTTTAGCTAATCTTACTGGACCGAGTACGTGATTGCTCTTCTAGAAGGGTGTTGAATTATTACAGAGAAGAAATCGATGATAGGAGCTCAGTCTGGAAGGACATTAGTTAGGATAGGAGCTCAGTGTTTAATAAAAAGGGATTTACCCCCGAAAAAGTGTTGAGATTGTGGTCATGTTGAAATGTAATTGCATTATCATATCTTTTGCATTTGACAGAATATTAGAGAAAGCAATGATTTAAAGACTTAACGGTACATGCTATTAATTTTCTCTCCCCCTTCTTTCTCTCTCTCTCTCTCTTTCTCTCTCTCTCTTTCTCTCTCTCTCCTGTCTATTTTATCTTTGATTGTGATACTAAGGAGCTCCAGTTTTTTTTCTCGCCCATTGTACTTTACTAGCTTAATCTCTCTTATTAATCTTCTTTATCCCCCTCTGTTTCTCTTTATCTCACTCCTTTCAAAGAATCTTGAACCTTTAGCTTTTTCCTAAAATGAATTACTTTATAGAATGGCACTGTAGGGAGCAAGCCATGTTCAGACTCTTCTTCAGATACCAGGAGATAATTTACTGGAAATTAAAATTCACTGAGAAAAAAATGAAGATCAATTTGAGTACTGGTTATACAAATACGTTATGAAAGAGACTGCCACTTACCAGTAAACAACTTGGAAAGGATGATGATGATCTATTGTCATAAGCTGTTTACCATGGCATATATAAAGAGGCTTTAAGTAAAGTGTTTTTCTTGAGATTTACATTTGTATCCTTCATCCTTCATCCTTGTCTGCCTTCCTTCATACAGCAGTGTTGTCTGTTTGTGAAGCCATATAGTTTGCTTCATTCTCCATGCCATCATTTTAACTAGGGCACGCACAACTTATTGATGTTTTCTTTGTCTCATAAATTACAAAGAAACAAGGAATAATCATGATGAGCATTAAAACTGTTTTTTCCTTACTCTTTCATCTGGGCCCCGTCTTTACATAGATTTACGATTGATCCAAATCAATCGTAAGTCTTCCAATCAATCGCAAGTTGGCAGTCTCCTATCTCTTATGTAGTTGCGATTGATATCAACTCTTTGTAAGACGGGCCCTGATCTCAATCTAACAAGCTATTAGGGCAATTCCATGAATTATGAGACATGACAAACAATTTTAAAATCAGTATTTCTTCCATCTTTTCTGCCAAAATAGTTAAAAGTGGGATTATACGTCTAGATAGAATAATGAAGTCATATTTACTTTGTGTGCCCCCCTCCCCCCTTCATGAAGAATCTAAAACTGTACATGAATTGACATATGTGGGACTCATGATCATCATCATCCAGTGCTAGTTCTGTTACAGACATCGGTGATAATGGCCCTTCATTTCTGTCTATTATCTGCTGTTCTTAAAAAGCTAGTATTGCTGATTTCATTTTTAGTTGCCCATTTTTCAGGCTTTGCAAATATCCGAGGCATTGCCTTCCCCTGTTTCTCTTTCCAGCAATCATCACTGTTGATATTGTTTTTTTTTCTAGATTATCCTTTCTCTATAATGTGACCAACAAACTGCATTGCCTCTTTCTTATTGTGTTGATGAGTGATGGTATTACTCTTGCTTTTCTGACCACTTCTTCATTTGTCATCTTCTTTTCTATCATTGATATATTCATAATCCTTCTCAAGAACCAGGTCTATGTAGCCTCTCTTCTTCCTGCAAGCTCTTTTTTCATTGTCCAACACTCAAACCTGTAGAGAAGAACTGACCAGATATTGGTCTTTATAGAAATGTTCTTATTGGGACTACACCCAAAAAAAAAAGTTTAAAATCTGAGTTGTAGGATACATTGAATTTTATTTATTTTTGATGAAAATGCACCAAGTCAATGAATTACATAATAAACTGTATTTCTAGACATTGACACAATGAAAAAGCTCAGTAGAATATATATTTGTAGAATTTTTTGACACTTTGAGCCCCTCTTCGGGTATGAGAGTACAAAAGAACATAAAAGTATATATAGCAGTGTAAAGATGTAACATTACTAACTTGTAACGTTGCTAACCAACATTTCTAAATGTCACTTAAAATCTAAATGGTCAAATGGTAGATATTTTATAACAAAACAAAGGATAAATCCTAGAGCATAACATAAGAAATATAATTTTATCAAAGATTGCCTATTACACCTGTAGGTGTAAAATATCTGATCAAAGATATCCGTTGATGTCACAGGTCCTTTTGGTAACGTTAGTACCTGAAATTTCATTTATTTATGAAATTAGATCCATTATTACAGGTCAAATGAATGAACTTGATCCAATGCTCCAATCAGGGGGGGGTGTTTTAGATGGAGATTCCATCTTGAAAGAATTTCCTGAGGGAAAGATATTCAAGATTAACTTGGCTTACCAACAAGTAATGTAACCCTCTTCAGCCATCAAATCCATCAACAGCCGTCCTTATCAGACCACAGATGCCCTCTGGCGATCCAAATGTTACAAAGTGTTACGCAACGCGGTCTGCTTCCCTAAGCTCTCCAAACACTTGGTCGTAAAAAAAAGGCTTTGAAGCCATGCAAATCACCGAGAAAATTATGTCATATAATTCATTGAAGATGTATATAGCTATAACATATAAAATACAGAATCGAGAACGTATGGCACAATGCAACCTTCTATTGGTTATCAAATGCTTTTGCAGTGCTTCGATAACTCTACTGAAGACGTAGCCATCTGAACCAGCGAAATCGACCAAGGAAATCGTGAGTTAGAGTGAATGCAAGTTTCTCATTATCATCACGTTCTCTTCTAATTATTGACATTTTCCGAAAGTTTCCGAAATTTTTACATAGGTAGGAAGGTAGTCCATAAGTTTATCTTTTAAAATAACTAAATGAAATCGTGTTATATATTTGCGCATTTGGTTTAATGAGGGTTAGAAGTTGTCAATTCATCACCACTTTTCACCCCGAGTACGGGCCGGCAACGCGAAAGCGGCCATGCTCGCTGGGCTGTAGATGCTGGATGTTGTTGGTGGAAACGCACATAGCTGCAGCTGCATTACTACCCTGGCCGTGTATTAAAAGTTGTGCTATTGATTCTCAACATTTCAAACACCACTGTACAAAACTCAACTGATTTCATTCAAAGGCAGTACCACTTAACCGTACATTCTGGTTCGCTGCAACGAATAAGATTTTCCGTTCATGGAATTTCACACGTGCATAACTTGTATTGGTCTCCAACTTCCCATACACCAGGCTCAAGAATCAAATCTTCCTCAAAGTCAGTCAGAAAGTCTAAATCGTCGCCTACCAAATACTCTTCCCTACTGTACGCCGCTATTTTTGTTGATAGCAGCCGATGTGTATTTCCAACAATGCATGTCACAAGCCCTATGTCACTCAGTTTCAGGAGTGAGATTTACGAGCTGTGCGGTCGGGTGGGGGATTAAGGGGATTATGATAGGGGGAAAAAAGACTTTCGGTGCAGCGGAGTGCTTCAAAGGGCCCTCTTAGGGCGCGTTCATGCTTGATTTTGAAGGCAGAATGAGCGATTTGTAACGCTCATCGTAAACGCTCATCGTAATCGCAGTTCCACGGTGCACTGTTCATGCTCACTTCTCCAGGCAATTCACCTTGGGTGGCCTTCAGCTGGATTCGCAAACCTGTGTGCGCATGCTACGTAGACCCACTAGAGGTCAGTGCGTTAACCCCATTTAAACGCGTTTACAAATTGTAAACGCATCTTTTTGTGAGTTTACGATCGGCGATCGTGATCGCCGTTTTTCGGTGATTCTACAAAAGTGAGCATGAACGCAAGCGTTCTTTAAACTAAACGCGTAACAGATGCCTGATTCTGGCCGTCAAAATCAAGCATGAACGCGCCCTTAGATGGGGAATCCATTTAACTCACATACCCTGCTCCAATGTAACTTTTTTTTTAAACGTCAGGATGTGACAAAATGTTTACAACAATAAATACAAAAAACTGATAGGACAAGAAATGTGGGTTATATTAAGTGCTCATAGTAATTGCACTTACCTCATAACATTACTCATAGTTTTTAACATTGAGTAAACTTGAAGTTTCGTAACAGGGGGGTATGCACGGTCCCTTAGGTAACTTTGAAGGTCAAAATCACGGTCTAAAAAAGTTTAATAACAGGCTATTACTATAATTTCATTTTGTTTGACGTCATGTCTGTCATTTGGAAGCTTAAAGCTCATACCAGTGATTAGGTAGGAGGTTATCAAAATAAAACCACTTAAAAATAAAAGGGTCTTTATGATGATCAAGTTGCTATTTATAAAAGACATATAAACAGATAATCCATCGCCTCTTCAAACTAAATGAAGTTTGTACAAAAGTTGTATAGAGAATCATTGTATTAAGAATCTTCAGATAGAGAAAGGAGCATACAGACTAGAGAATAACGTTGTAAAAAGACATTCATTTAGGAGAGGTCAGTTAACATGATAGCTGGCCAATCCTGAGTGTAAACTCATGAATAGTCACGATAGGCCTGACCCAGTTATACGATTTCTGACAATACGACATACGATGTTAAGACCAGAAGGGGAACCTGATATTTATCAAGTTTTCATTCAAAATAATGCTCATACAGGCGTGTCACTGTACAGCGTAACTATATACGACGTTCAGACTTAAAAAAAGTAATTTCTTATTACAATTCTCATATACTGGTAACTATATTTCTGCTAGTGTGAACGCAGAATATAAATAGACATGAAGAAAAGCCGATTATCGTTTCTCCATTAAGCTCCACAGATATCCCACACTCTGCTTGATGGAGCCCCAGATATTGTTTACCTCTTCAAGTTTAAAGGATGTGATATCATTTTCCAGCCCATGGCATATTCTCATATTGTGGGCGAGAATAAAGTGGGAGGTTGTGCCCTTCTCAGGGATACGTTTAAAAGTGAGAAGGAAACCAGGCCATACTAGATGTTTATGTTTAAATTTTGAGGGGGAAAGTTATTTTGTATAATAGACCTAAAATAAATGTTGTACAATCATCATCATTTTCCTCTCACCAGGGATTACTTACAATAATATAATAAAAGGGTAGTTTACCATGATATCAAATAGCTTTGTCTGAAAACAGAAAAATAGGTCAGTCCAAATGTCAGAAGGAAATCAGGCCATATGCTAGATGTTTATTTATCAATTTTGATAGCTTTCTGCAAAGTTGCAACTCTTAAGAAAAAGATTGAGGGGGAAAGTAATTTTATATAATAGACCTGAAATAAATGTTCTCCAATAATCATCATTTTCCTCTCACCAGGGATTACTTACAATAATATAATATATTGACTTAAAGGGCAGTGTAGTAGTGTACGATGATATCAAATTGCTTTGACTGAAAACAGAAAAATAGGTCAGTCTAAAATTTCAGAAAAAAATTGCCAAAGGGACAAGGAGTTTATGAATATGGATTTACGGTGTGATCGACCATTATGATTTAATGCTTGCTTTAAACTGCATCGCAATGGAAATAAGAAAGTATTTCCAGTGATGAATATAATGCCCAGGTATAAGAAAAATATGCCCTTGGGAAACATAATCAGATTGTGGAATTAAGTGTCCTTGATACAAGCAAATGATGACATGATTGCAAATGCATACTGTGTTACTGATTGATGTTTGATAGACAAAGCTTGAAATGTGCTTAATGATAAGATTTAGGGGGAACTTTTACTGATCTGTTTTCTTCTTCATTTTTGTTATTCATTCAGAGATTATATTATATTTTGAACTTTTAATTAAATTTGTCTGGCAGATCTTTAGATCACCATTAAAAAAAGTAATTTCTGTCATTGTCAGAACTTGAGGACCACCTTTAATCCGAATCAGTCTCTGTCACATTCAATCTGAGGTTACTCCTGAAGTATTTCCAAAAGAAGTTATTTCTGTCATTATCATAAGTAAAAAATCACCTTTAATTTTCATCAATTTTATTACCATTATTACCAAGAATCACCTTTAATTTTCATCAATTTCATTACCATTATTACCAAGAATCACCTGTAATTTTCATCAATTTTATTTTAATAATTACCAGGAAACACCTTTGATATTCATCATTACTTGAACCTCAAGATCACATTTAATCTGAGATTACTCCTGATGTATTTCTTATCCATTCCATGTGTTTCTCATCCTTTCCATGCATTTCTTATCCATTCCATTTCATGTTCTCGACCACCAGTGATGCAGACGGGAGAAGGAAAGTCTTGCTATTACCGGTTCCTAACGAAAGGGCAGGAGTGGATATGGCTTCAAACACGCTACTTCATCACCTACAACCAGTGGAATTCCAAACCAGAGTTTATAGTGTGTACCCATCAAGTAGTCAAGTAAGTAGTCAAGACTCAAGATCCAAGAATTTTTTTCCTGTATTTTATTTCATAATTCACTTTTCCATAATTATTATTACCAGATATATTGATTTTAAGTCATGAAAGATACATTTATCGTGAGCACTTACAGAACTAAACAGAAAACTGTAATAAAAGTCATGTTTGGGAATTCTCAAATTTTTTATCACTTCTTTTTCTTGACCATTGTCATTGAAATTGAGAGTGAACAAATTTGAACCTTGAAGGAGTTTTCTGTTTAGTCCTGTATGTATACATCATCAGTGGCAAGATTCCATCATGGACACTTGTCCATAAAACAAGAATGTACGGGATTGCATACACAATTTATATATCTTTTATAAATGTAATGCTTCCTGGGAGAAATTTCAATTATCAAAAAATCTTGGAATCTTGGCAAGCAGTAGATGGCAAGTTCAAATCCTGTTGGTTCCAAGATTTTTTCTGACTTGTTTTTTCAATACAGATCGATCAATCAAATTTAAATACTTGGTGTAAGCCACAAATATGTTTAAATTTATATACCGTCTGACTTTTTAGTAGTTGCCATTGTCAATTTTTGCCAATTTTTAAATTCAACTTAAGATCTTTGTGAAACACCCCCTGATCAGTTATCATTCTTGTATCATCCCTAGCTATGCTGATGTTCGTAATGATATCAACAAGGAGTTGGTATTGACGGACAGCAAGATGAGCGGTGCAGAGTCAGACAGCACAAATCTTTGGGACTCCAGCGCCTCCGAATCGGCATCGCTGTCCACTTCGGTATCCTCCAACTCTTCCCTCAACGTGCCCCTGTTCAGCACAGGCAAACATGACAGATGGCAGTCATCCAGTACAGGTACAAAAAACAATTTTGTTTGAATTATTTTGTACTAGCAGGACCCGTGGAAAATCCACGGGATTCTAGGATGAGGGGAGGGGGGAGGGGGGGGGGGGGGGGTAAATAGAAAGAGGCCTATGTGCTATCGAAAATAAAATTTGATTATTTTTATATAGGGTATAGACTATTTTTATAATATATACACTGTTTGACCATGAATGGCGCACCGTAATACCCGTTTTAGAGCATTGATTTGATGCAAGAACTGTATCATAGTAAAAGTATTCTATCCAGCTAATGAGCCAGGAGTATGTTTTTAAACGACCGTCTGATTTTCTTGTGAAAACTTTACTTTGAAAAATGATTATCGACATTCAGCATACAACTATACATGGCCAGAATAATCACAATCAAAGCTCAGGTTTCATACCTCTATAATCACGAAACTATATTGAAATCGGGGCAATAAGAGCAATTTTAAAGTGTTGTCGAATGTCGAGTCTACTCTATGTAGCTCAGCTCAGCTCAGCTCAGCTCACACACAGTCACAGTTCCGACAGTGCTCGGCAGCAGTGGCGCAATGCACTGTCCGTGTGTGGACTCAAGCCTCAAGGCAGCTAGCTTGCAACTGAACTGTCAGTTACAATGAATTTCTTGTGAAAACTTTACTTTGAAGAATGATTATCAAAATTCAGTAAACATGGACGGGATAATCACAAATCACGGCAATCATAGAATGAAAGTCGCAAACCGACTGTGCGTGTGACATGAGCATATAATCATCACATATATTATACACGTACAGGCATAGGCCGTCTGGCGTACAAAGCATAAGCAAGATCCATAACACGGGTAAGCCCAGCCCGTCAGAGCGTAGATTTACTACATCCCATCACCCCGGTGAGCCATAGGTTAATGTGTATTTCTCTGACACGCTACAAAGCATATCCTATAGAAAGATGCCTAACTTGGGGTACTCTGCACCCGTTACAATGAGATTTGCTACACTCGTTGAGGCGAGTAGATTCTCGTCCATCGTGTATCTCTTTGATTAGACAGAGGGCGGGTGCAGGCCTTGCCGACTCGCTCTCGCGAGTTCGTCGCCTCCTTGCATTCAACGACGCCCGCCGTGCTCTCGTCCATCCGTCCTCCCCGGAACCCCGAAACAGCGTTTAACGACATGGACGTCGAACGCCGGGTCGACGTGGCACGCAGTTTATGGGAGACATGCCTTGTCGAATTGTGTCGCCGTTCCCGCACCACGGCGGAGGCGGGCGCGGTCGGGGAAAGACGTTTTTGAGGAACTGTTTTGCCCAAATTTGGACCCCCGCGGCAATTTTGCGTATTAGTAATATAGATACCTACCACACAATGAGTTATCTCAGAGTTTAATCCCCTTTAGGGGGGGGGGGGGGGGGAGGGGAGAAAAGAAGTATGTTTAAAAGTCTAGATTATTCTCTCATGTTTGTACAGTCAAAACTGCTATAGCAACCACCTGTATAGGAAGACCATACAGTGTATGAAGACTGCAAGTTTCTATCCTCTGAGTAGTCTATTTAATTAAAATATTATTTGAAGAATTTTCTGAAACAACGAGACCACTTTTCTTCTCTCCATCGAGCGGTCTTCTTTGTTGCGACCCATGTCGTGGAAAATATACCATAGCTTTTTCCTTGTTCACTTCTCCAAAACTTTTGAGTGCAATGCCTCCTATATACTGGTGAGAAAGCTTTGATTCACACAATGATACCATCCCAAATATGTTAGAAAAAACAAAATCTGCTTGAAAGTCATGGAAGCTACGTAAATTGTTAAAAAAGAGAAAAACCTGCCAAGGTATTCAATACCAATAAATAGTAGGATCTGCAGATTCAACAGCCTATCCCTAACCTCTGCCCTTTTAGGACCAGCATTTAATAGATCATATCTTCTGTACATAATCCATATTTTGCCTTGAACGATATCCTCCCATCACAAATATTCCACCCTCTCCTTTTATCATTGCCATGCAACTACTGATAAATAATAGATAGTATCTCTTAAAATGTCAGGCACAATGCCCTTCTGTGTCGGTCAGCTAATATTCCACCCCCGTCCGTCAAGACCTTTCTGTTTATTTGAGTTGATAAGAAGAGGAGAAATAGATTGATTGCATGGTGAACCTTTCGCTGTCCATATTCTATAAAAAGAGGTATTACCACTGCTTAGATTTGCAGTGAGTTAATCTGTTACAGTCGTAACTTATGTTTGCAACTTTGGATATATACATGTATACACTGTTGCATGTTAGTTATAAAGATGGAATAAATTTCTTTTTTACCCCAATTTATGGAATGATTTTGACAATGATTTATTCCTAATACCGGTAGCTCTTGATAATAGTATACATTCTCTGATTTTATTGAATAATAATTTGCGAGTGTTTGTTTTGCGGACTGCTAAAGCATGTATATGCTACTAGCTTATCATCTAGGGGACCTACGCCTTTAAGTCATAACTGACAATAATGAGGATTAATGCCTCACAAAAGAGCATTAATATAGCACATCAACACGATTTTGATCCAGGGGCCTCAAAGTTACGAGGCTATTTCTTTGCCTTTGAATCATGGCTGTACGCAGCTGGGGTCAGGGTAGGGGGGAGCCCCCACAAATAAAAAAATCCAAAGAAAATGCAATAAATTAACAATAATGAATTGCATTTTCCCCCATTCCCAAACAAGAAAAATTCCTCTGTGTGGCCATGCCTTCAACCATAATGCATTAATTTTAGCATCTCACCATTTGTTGTCCACCATTCATTAAATCAAAATGTGCTTCTTTACAGGTTTGATATCATGGCACTAATGCATGAACTTGGTCTTGATTTGAAATTATCTATTTTCTAAGTCGTTCTAACCACACATGACCAAGCCCACACAAATGCTTTTTATTTAATTTTTGTTGTTATATTTTTTTAATAACATCTCACCATTTGTTTTCCTCCATTCATTTCTAGATGAAAGTGTATCTTGCACGAGCAGCTTAAAAGCACCCAGTTTATCACACACGGAAAGCAGGAGTGGACGACTTTCACCTAAATCACGATCTGGTATGTTTGTTAGTTTAGATTCTTTGGTGCATACCAATATTTCAATTTTGTAGAGATGTCAGGGTTCCCAGCTATCCTTGTAACCATGGAGAATGTGAAAAATGGGTTTTCTTTCCTTCCTTTCCTTTCCTTATCACTTTCTGTTACAGCATAATTCAAGAACCATTGAACGGATTTTGACCAAACTTGGATGAAGTCTGTATGAGCATGCAACGATGAACTGATTAGGTTTTGGGTGGAAGAGATCAAAGGTCACAGGGTCATGAGAGCATTTAAAATTGCCGGAAATGCCTTGTTACTGTGATAACTTTATTATAGCAATTCAAACTCAGTTTGGTGGAAGTGTGTATGAGCACGCAAGGATGAACTTATTACATTTTGAGTGGAAAAGGTCAACGGTCAAAGGTCACAGTGTCTTTAAAGTGTTAACGAAAATACAAAAAATATGTGTACTAGTAATATGTACTTACCATTATAACTTTAAAGGAATTGAACTAATTCAAGCCAATCTTGGAAGAAGTTTGTATGAGCATGCAAGGATTAGATTAGATTTTGGATGTAACAGGTCAAAGGTGAAAGATCTAGTGTCATGAAAGTGTAAAAAATAACAAAACATGTATTTTTAACTATAATTATTTAACAACAAATTTTTCCTCCATTTGTTTTTAGATGAAAGTGTATCTTGCACAAGCAGCTTGAAAGCGCCCAGTATATCGCACACAAAAAGCAGGAGTGGAAGACTTTCACCTAAATCTGGTATGTTTGTTAGTTTAGATTCATTGGTGCATAGCAGTAATTCAATTTTGTAGCAATGTCAGGCTTCCCAGCTATCCTTGTGATCACGACGAATCTGGAAAATGGGTTTTCTTTTATCCAGTCAGGAAGAGTGAGAAAATCATTCTAATCAAGGAGAAAAACAAAAATCAGGATTTGTTGGCCCCTAAAGAAATTAGTCAGTCAAGTATTTATCAAAGAATCCCTACATGATATTGCATGTTCAATGAAATGCAGAGAGCAATTCCATGAATTTCTGAGACATGACAAACAATCTCATAATCAGTATTTCTTCATCTTTTTTGTTGTTGATAGTCTTTGTGTTCCTGTTTAAGATCATGACAAAGCTAGAGATGATGTTTCTTGGTGTTTTTTCCACAGAATCACTAGCATCGAACCCCCCTCAGCCGCCACTACCCCCTCTGCCGCCTCTACCCCCGCCCTCTCTACCCCCACCCTCTCTGCCCCTGCCCCCTCTTCCCCAGCCCTTTGTAGCCCAGCCCTCTCCGGTACCAGGCACGTTCCCTAATAATGGCCCTCCACAAGAACAGGTAAGAATGGTGCTCCAACATTTGCTCACTTGAATTCACTTGAAACGACGTTATACTTGCACAATAGAAGACAACACAATGTTTTTCTACAGGCATGTTTACATTTACAAATCCATATCTTAAAATACCAAATATGCATTTTGGTTTTCTTTCTCACCTCATATTGCATGTACAGTATAATTACAACCCAGTTGATATGCTGTGGTATATGCAAGATCATATGATACATGTACATGGTGAACTTCCACAAATTTAGGTCACTTTCATGTGAGCTCCAAGACACAAGCTGGCACTTACACCCACTATTTCTTGATTTATTTTGTCATATTTAATTCATTGAGTGAAACATAGAGCCATTTTTATTAGCTAGTCACAAGACTTTTTTTTTATAAGAGGGTTATTTTTCTTTTCACAGCCCACATAGTCGGACAGCAGTCTCACACCACAACAGATCATTGTTATTCAAATACAATGTATGTTATAAGAAAAAAAGCATTTTCATAATGAAATCCAATATTTCTAGCATTTTGAGATGGATTACTGAAACACAATCGGGCTTTCTTTTTTCACTTTCTATTGCATTTTATTGTTATAACCTGCATCATCAGATAGCATACTGAACTCACAACAGATCACTGTTATCTGGTTGAAACAATGCAACAAATTACAGATACCAGGCCATGAAATAGTGAAATCATAGAAAAAAAATCCAGCAATTTAAGATAAAGTAAAGAAAATTAAACAGGCATTCTTGATTTTCACCCCCTATTGCATTTCATTGCGTATAATTTGCATCATCAGAAAGCAACTGGACACCACAGCAGATCTCTGCTATTCAAGTTGAAACTTCGGGAGCAGCTTCTGATGAGATGCTTGTTCATAGAAAAATGGCACTTAACGTGTTGTTATGATTTAATTCTAGCATTCTAAGATATGAGTACTGTAGAGACAGACTTTTTTTTCACCCTTTATTGCATTTTTTGTTACAGCCCGCACCATCAGATAGCAACCTGACACCACAGCAGATTACTGTTATCCAGTTGAAACTCCAGGAGCAATTAATGATGAGGCATCATAAGCTCCAGGATGCTATCCTTCTGCAGCAACAAGAACTGCAGCAGGTATGTATTCCTCATGCAATCATCTGCTCTCCGATTCATTGTTCATAGGTTTACTTTTTGTGAATGCCTTCTTCTCTTTCTCTGCGTTATCCACCGCAAGTTTAATTGTGAAAACTCTCTCCCTCCTCTCTCTATCTTCTATTATCTCACTCTCTCTCTCTCTCTCTCTCTCTCTCTCTCTCTCTCTCTTTTCCTCCCTCTCTCCCTCCCTCTCTCTTCACTACCTTAAGGAACGGTTGTGTGTCTTATTTGAATGGATTCATAAGGCATCAAACTTCTAAGTATTTTGGGACTCAAGTTCTATATTGCTTTTGTCCTTTTTTTCACATCAAATGTATTTATCTCTTTTACAAGTTCATGTATACCTAATCTTTGCAAAAATTGCTGTACAAAAAAAGTGACTATTGTTATTGTTATGATGATTTGAGGGATTAATCCAAACTTTCATCTGTATTGTAGGTTCAACAGCAGCTCATGATGGCCCAACAGCTAATGATGCAGCATCATCCCATGCTGGGTCAAATGTTCATCCAGCAGCAGGAGCAGCTCATGGGGTCCAAGACTACCCCCACAGAAGGGTCCGGTCAGGCCACGCCCATGAGTTCTGGTCCAGCCACGCCCATGGGTTCTGGTCAGGCCACACCCATTTGTTCTGCTCAGGCCACGCCCATGATGTCTGGTCAGGTCACGCCCATTTGTACTGGACAGGCCACGCCCATGGGTTCTGGTCAGGCCACGCCCATTTGTTCTGGTCAGGCCATGCCCATGGGTTCTGGTCAGGCCACGCCCATTAGGTCTGTTCAAGCCACACCCATGGGGTCAGCACAGGCCACTCCCATTCCCTCCAATCCATCTGTCCTGCAGCTGGAACTGTCAAGGAGCCAGCAGCCGCAGCACTCGTCCCAACATCCTCAGCAGCAACAGCAACGAACGCAGCACTCAACCCAACATCCTCAACCGCCACAGCAACAAACACAGCACTCAACTCAACATTCTCAGCCGCAACAGCAACAAGCGCAGCACTCCTCCCAACATCCTCAGGCGCAACAGCAGCAACAACAACCGCAGCACTCATCCCAACATCCTCAGCAGCAACAGCAGCTACTGCAGCAACAGATACAGCAACACAAGCCACAGCCTGCATCACATGAGACTATCTCAATGGAACAGCTTGTTCAGCATCAGGCAAGTAACCTGCATTTTTAAACTATAGATTAGAGCTCTGCTGTCCATAAACTGTTGTAGTTGATGCTTGCTTTTTGATTGGAATTCAGCCTTTCTTTAACTCTTTCATTTGAATTGGTTTCTTGAATATCTTAGACCCCCCCCCCCTCATATCCACCATGTATATCCTAAAAGTATTAATTCTTCTTTTAACATCGTTGTTTGATTCTACATTATTGACTGCTCTTACATGTACGATTGATTTTCATTTTGTTCAATTTCTTCTAAACTCAAATTCATTCTTCTAAAAGTAGTGTATTATTTACTTCTAAATTGGAAGCTGATTCACACAGTTAAACTAGAGGAATCTTGTCAGTTTGCAATTAATAATTATATAAAGAAAAACACATCCATTTCTTGTAGTCTCTTCGAGACAAAGTTATATTGACACATGTCCATACAGTATGAAAACGATGGATGTATTGACTAAGAAAATATATCGAAAATTATGAATGAGTTAGACTGTCTAATTCACTCGTTGGTATTTTGTTTGTTATTAAAGAGGGTCCAATATTCTGCAGTAAGAATATATGCAGTTGGCTTAATTTTTCATTTCTATGTGTTCAAATAGTTACCAAAAAAAGTACATGTAGTTCTCTCATGTTTAAGATTGAAATATAGGATGTGCATACCATTTCATGAAAATGTGCTATTTTATTACTAAATGTGAATCAGCCTCTTATTTCTGATTGAATTATATATATATATATATATATATAATTTTTATAACTTTAGTTTTAGTAAATTTCTTGATTCCTTGGTAATGGCTAGGGTCCCTACTAAAAAAAAATGTTTCGGTATGAACATGCAATGTTTCTATAAAATGCAGTATTGCAAATATAGAGCAGTATCCCATATGTTTAGGCCATGCAGTATGATTTCATCCTTATCTTTTTCCCCTACATCCTTTTTTTGAGGATATCAGGGTAAAGCAAGAATTGCTTTTCTTTTAGTAACATTTATTGGATGCTTTTGTCTTTCTGCTGAAAAATATGACTCTTTTATACATTCAGCAATTCAAATTTACCTTCTTATATTAAAGGTGATTAGTTTTTGTTTAGACTGAAAACCTTTTTGAAGGGACAGAGCTTTTAATTCTTAAAAAATGAAGTCACAGAAGTAAAGAATCCAACAATAGTCTGCAATTCACTGTAAATATATCAGGGCATTAGACTTATCAAAGCTTTGTTTGTCATTCACACTGCAAAGTCAAAACGTGTTTTATTACAGAGGTGATATAAAGCTTCTCAAAGGATTGTCTTGTCCAGACTTGTTAAATGACTAAAAGTCTATCACATGATGAAGAATTGCAGAATAACGAAATTTAAGACATTGTGTGGAATCATTGCCATGACAACGGAATCAAGAAAGTCTATTAACCTTTACTGATTCTGCCTTGCATCTAACCAACCCTAACACTGTTGTGTGCTCCTGTCTCTCTCTCTCTCTCTTTCTCTTTCTCTTTCTCTCTCTCCCTCAGTATATATCTCTTTCTATTTTTCTGTTTATCTATCTATCCTCTCTCTTTCTCTGTCTTTTTTAAAAATCTCCACCCGTCTGTGTATGTTTCTCTCTTTCTATCTATATATCTGTCTACCTATCTCTCTACTTTTCTATGTGTATGTTTCTATCTTTCTGTTTCTCTCTCTCTCTCTCTCTCTCTCTCTCTCTCTCTATATATATATATATGTATATATATATATATATATATATATATATATATATGTCTTTCTATTTCTCTGTCTATCTATCTATCCTCTCTCTTTCTCTGTCTTTTTTTAAATCTCCACTTGTCTGTGTATGTTTCTCTCTTTCTATCTATCTATCTGTCTACCTATCACTCCGTTTTTCTATTCGTATGTTTTTATCTCTCTATCTGCCTATCTTTCTGCTTCTCTCTCTCTCTCTCTATATATATATATATATGTCTTTCTATTTCTCTGTCTATCTATCTATCCTCTCTCTTTCTCTGTCTTTTTTTAAATCTCCACTTGTCTATGTATATTTCATTCTTTCTATCTATATATCTGTCTACCTATCTCTCTACTTTTCTATGTGTATATTTCTATTTTCCATTTCTCTATCTATCTATCCTCTCTCTTTCTCTGTCTTTTTTTAAATCTCCACTTGTCTATGTATATTTCTCTCTTTCTATCTATATATCTGTCTACCTATCACTCCGTTTTTCTATTCGTATGTTTTTTATCTCTCTATCTGCCTATCTTTCTGTTTCTCTCTCTCTCTCTCTCTCTCTCTCTCTCTCTCTCTCTCTCTATATATATATATATATATATATATATATATATATGTCTTTCTATTTCTCTGTCTATCTATCTATCCTCTCTCTTTCTCTGTCTTTTTTTAAATCTCCACTTGTCTATGTATATTTCTCTCTTTCTATCTATATATCTGTCTACCTATCACTCCGTTTTTCCATTTGTATGTTTTTTTATCTCTCTATCTGCCTATCTTTCTGTTTCTCTCTCTCTCTCTCTCTCTCTCTCTCTCTATATATATATATATATATATATATATATGTCTTTCTATTTCTCTGTCTATCTATCTATCCTCTCTCTTTCTCTGTCTTTTTTAAAATCTCCACTTGTCTATGTATATTTCTCTCTTTCTATCTATATATCTGTCTACCTATCACTCCGTTTTTCCATTTGTATGTTTTTTTATCTCTCTATCTGCCTATCTTTCTTTCTTTATCTCTATATTTCTTTACCTCTCTATCTATTTCTCTATTTATATTTCCTTATCTCTATCTCTATCTCTTAATTTTATTGACCTATCCATCCATCTATCTATCTATCTATCTATCTGTGCATGCTGTTCCTAACAACAGCTGTCTGCTGGGGCTATGTGGCCTTGTAGCACACCCAACCTCCTTGATTTGCCGAGTAATGCCTTACAGGTTAGACTAGACTAGGATGTGGGCCTGCCAGTCTGTACAAACACCACTCACTATGCACTGTATTATCCCATGGATTTCCGATTTAAGGCTTGTTCAGATATGACGGGTTATTCGGCCGCAAAAGAGCAACCACGTTTTTTAACTTTTGTTTAAACATTTAAATGAATGGTTACTGCTCGCAACAAAGGCCCTGCCTGCTCTGTGTCATAAGCTACAGAAATGTAAAGGGTATTGCATTTTACGTCATCATTAAAAGAAACGCTGAAGCTTTTGCCGCGTCATGTCTGAACGAGCCTTTGGAAGACATTGTAGTAGCACTAGATACAAGATATTTATCGTTTTGATTGTGATAGCTAATGCCGGAATTCTAGTAATCCTGGTTCCAGATTTTAGATTTTCAGACCAGTTGCACAGCTCTCTAATGTCTGTTCTCATATTGAAGGCTTTACAACAGGTATTGTGACCTGAAAATTTGAAGTTTCTGCAAATGGCTGTTCTTGATATTGATCAGGACGATTTTATTTGTTAAAGATATTTCTCTAGTGTTATCACAATTTCTTACTAAATTGGATTTTCATGGAAACGTATCATGTGCAATTGACTTAACTTGCACTGTTTTTAATTAACCCACTTTCTTTTCTTTTCATATGAATCCATACACATTTTCCCCCTTGTTACCATGAAGTTGTGAACAATGATTATTAATTGCACTGGGATGAAAATTAAAAAACTTTAACATTTCATTTCTTAACCACGATATTTTTAAGAAATATTGAATAGTTTATAAAAAAAGAAAAGATCTTTTTGTGTTTCATTGATACACCACAACTCATATAAATTTAATATAATATTAAACCTACATATATTTGGGCTATGTGTCATATGAAGACTCTTTGATGAAAAAGATGAACACTCCAAGTAATTATCAATTTGCTTTCAAGAATTTTCCAATTTCAATTTTTAAGTCACCTTTTGCACATTTTTGTTCAGAATATTGTTTATAATTTGGTTAGATTTCATCTTGATTCAATTACTTTGAAATTTCAAATAGTACAATTAGAATAAAATGAATTCATATTATGATGATTTCTTTTTAGTATAGTTTGGATATTAAGATGGTATTGTAATACTTTGATCTGCTAAGTCTTTTTTTACTCGTCTTTCTGTCTGCAGTCAGCAACAAGGGCTCCGTTTGCTATGCATCAGACTCATCAGTATCCCTCCACAAGTGGACAATCATTGCATCGTGAACACCTAACCCCTCACAGGACTAACAATACCGCCCCACCACCACCCCACCAACAGGTGGGCCCGCCCGGTCAGCAGCCGACGCCCCACCTCCCCCAGGTGCCCCTCAACTGCCACTCCTTAGCCCAGCCTACCATGCACTCCTCAATGACAATGCCCCCAGGGGCGCAAGCCGTGCCCATGCAGGACCTCTCTTGCCTTGGACTTCCAACGCTGGACATGGGCAGTGACCAATACATGCATCAATCGGAAGGGCAAGACAATTTATAGGGGTGCATGGCTGCCCCCCTCCCATGGATTACCCCATGGATTTTAAAAGGTGCTTTTATTATGTGGCATGGAGCCTTGATTGTACATGATGCATCAGACACTACAGTGCACGCATTGATTTTGCAATGGAAGGGATACCAGAGGAAACATCCTTTTTGCATTGAAACCGGGAGGAGATGCTCTTTATATATCCACTGATCGCTCATCCATAACGTTCTGGTCCAAACCATTGCCTGTATGGACGTGCCCAGAGAATCGAGGCCTTTTATACAACACCGCTCTTCACGTGTCCAAGGCCAGCAGGCACCAAAGACTTCATGGTTTATATGTCGTTGACATGTGGAGTACAGTGTATTATGTCCAAGCTACTGTCGTATGTGTTGGTATGCCTGTTCTATCTAACCGTACTACTCATCGCTTTCTACGTGGCAGCAGGTCATCATCCAGCAAAACTATAATGTACCCAACGAAAATGTGTTGTTTCATCTTGTGTGATCGGAAAAGTGCCAATCAGTGTATAGTTAGCACATTTTACTTCATCTACAGGTTTTTTTTTCTTTTTCTTCTTCCATTTTCTTTCTCTCGTACTGTGAAGACGCATCGCACATCCTTATACTACACAGATGTACAACAATATTCGGTTTCAATGTTAATGCACAAATATAAAAAGAGTTGTACCTTTTCATGACCTTTTTTTTGCTTCATGACAATTTTTGATACCTCTTCTAAAGTATAAGGATTAGATAAAAAAGGTACCTAAAAGATGTGTCTGTGTTGCAATTTTGAAATGATGTGGTACATATGATTCGGAAGAACTTGGTTTGTTTTCCAAGCTTCTTTCCATATGTTTGTAGAGGAGAAATACAGAAAAAGTTTTGGTTTCGTGCAAATTAGAAATATATATTTAAACATCTCTATTGAATGCTTGAACTGCATCAGTCTCCTAGGATAGCAAGTGTATCACCCGACCCTACAAGACAATCGTTGGGGAGGACCATTACTTACGCCATGCAAAAGTGTGGAAAAAGGATCATGTAACCCTGTTACTGCCCATGTAGGATTTCCCAGATATTCTTTTATCATTGTCCCTCAGTTTTTACACATGCCTTTTTATTCATAGCGATCCTATTAGTTCCCCCATCTACCCTCACTTAGACTTATCCAGTATAGAAACATTGTTTGGTACCAGAAAGTCATTAATTCATATCATATTACATAGAATACTGCCCTTCTGGCTCCAAACAGACGGATGTCCAATTCTTTCTATTGTAAGGTAGCATCGGTGCTTTGAGAAAGTGATAGAAATGCTTCTATGTCTTATTGACCATCAAATTATACAATTTTGTGCAATCGTGACTTATTTCTTTTTGTTGGAGAGGGAGGCATAGTGTGAATGGTTTTTATTGAAATGAGATGGTGCTGGTGGTGATGGTTTTACAGTGCCTTGACGTGAAATGATATTAGGTGATACCAAACGCACAAACAAAGTAAGTGCCTCTGTATCTCAACATAATAGTCATATCTAAAGCCCATGTACAGTCACAATAAGCAAAAGTTGAAATCTAGATTATCATTTATTCAAATAGGATATATGAAAAATACTTAAGATTCCCTAGTGGCGATCTGGTTTAAACACCTTTAGAAGGCCACCCAACGGAAACACAAAAAGTGGCCTTCCTAGACAGATTCTTCAATACATACCTTCTTCTAGATGGAGGCAATATACCTTCTTCTAGATGGAGGCAATATATATGTGACCACTGTAGACAAGTAGCCTTTATATAGAGGTGGCCTATGAGACACGGGATTGACTGTACTTATTTTCCTCTGCTTCTGACATCTTTACATAGTTTCAAATTTACAATTTACATCTTTACAGAGTTTCAAATTTACATCTTTACGTAGTTTCAAGTTTACATTTTTTACGTAGCTTTAGAGTTTTAGCTTTTGAGAGCTGTCAATACCTAGCATCAGAGTCACTTGTATTTCCGAGTAGCTCTTTCTGTTCTGTACATGGGCTATAAGCAAACCCTTTCATCATGTTAGTATTACAATCATGTGCTGGTACCTAGGTAGGGTTTTAATTAGAATGAGAAAGAAATGAGAGCTGATGTATATACAAATTATGAACATATTTTTTAAAGTGAGAGAATGATATTTAAAATATCTTTTAATTATATTTTGTGCAATATTGAAAAGGCAGCAGTTGAAAGCAGAACAATTGACTATAAAATTGAAAGTGAAAGGTTTGAAAATTTCATTTTTTTAAATTTTTTATCAGTTAATGAAATGTGTTTGAATCGTAGAGGTGTTTTTTTTTTTCTTTTTGTGTGAATAAAGTCTTGAAAAAATTGATGAATTATGGGGATTTTGTAATCAGAATATATTTTTCTCACAAGCTTAAGAGAATTCAACATTTGCATTGTATTTAAAAGATTATTTTTACTTTGACGTACTTGATGAATTATACGGGGAAGATGAAATATGGACCAATATAGATATAGATATGTGCAGCTACAGTTACACGCTTTGGGCATTTGTTACATCTTAACTGAAGAAAGGTCAGTGCCCAAAAGAAAACAAAATAATTTAACTGTTCCTTACCCTGTATTTCTAATTGAAACTTACCAGTGTAAATTATTTGCAGAAATTTACTAATAAGATGACTGAAAATTATTTCATGAGCCACTAAGCACTGAAATGTGCAAACAAAGACTTCTAAAATAACTTCAAGTAAAAGGTTTTACTGTATTCAAAGGTTTTAGGTCTAAAATCTTTCTTCTGTCAAAGCTGTTCAAAAATTCACATTTGACACCTGGTTCCATGTCATGAAAGGTTTGACATAACTTTCAGTCACCCTATTAGTAAATTTCTGCACATAATTTACGCTGTTAAGTTTCAATTAGAAAAATGTGTGAATGTAATAGTTTAGGAAAATGTCAAGGAAGATTTATTTTGAAAGTACTTACAGTCCATGTCAAAAACCTACATGTAACTTTTATCATTATGTTACTCGAGCTTTCTCCTCGATGAACGAAGGGCATTTTGTTAATGTTTTCTTAAAGTGTGTGACACATTTATGTACCGGTACTATTTTTATGAAGAGAGAGATTTTTGGAGACATAGAAGATATAGAAAAAATAGTCCATTTCATTCACAAGGGCTGTAGTCCATTCAAACTATCATGTTCAGGGATTTTATGTGGTGCGACCCGTTGACTGAATTTTTGCAGTTGCTATTTTTATCATTTGTAGGTGCAAACTACCTTCATCTTCATCTGATTTTCAAGATTGGGTGGGAATCTTTGGATTATGAATGTATAGCTTTAATCTCTATCATTTTTGCAGTTGCTATTTTTATCATTTGTAGGTGCAAACTACCTTCATCTTCATCTGATTTTCAAGATTGGGTGGGAATCTTTGGATTATGAATGTACAGCTTTAATCTCTATCGTTTTTTCAAGAAGGAACTCAAACGGATGACTTCAACATTTTCAACCTGGCGTATAGTCAGGAGTAGGCTCAGGATTTAGAGCCATATTGTACCTGAAGTCCATTTTAGCGTCAGGTCAGGTCTAGCAGTATGGTCACGTAACTTGCTGCTTCCCTAGCTGCGCTGTTGGTTCTCACATCGAGTCCTCTGTCTGCGAAGTGGAAATTAAGTATTGGGTTACTGGTACGCACTGATGGCAAGTTAACCATGGCTGGGGCAGGAAGTTCATCATCAGTTCAGTATCGCTTTAAAGCTTAACTGCCGTAGTTTACAGGAGGGATTAGACCGCTCTGCAAGGTCACTGGACAGGTGGTTATCTCATCAACTCAGCTCTCAGTTAACATAAGAAAGAGAGGATCATGGGGGACCAATGGTCACCGATTAGGCATCGTTTGTTATATAGAGGGAGCAAGTAGCTACCAGTAGTGCAGTGGGCCTTTAAGACTTACTCTTGTGAGAAGCATAAAGACATGTGTCAAGAGCTGAGTTACAAACAGTGTACCATGGAGAGTGAGGTGTCAGTCAATCAGCTCATAGCAGTATTCTTCTCATGAGATGCAGAAGGCCGGAGCCCAGTCAAATAATGGGTTCATGGTTCAACACTCCAGGCAGACAGGTGTACATACTCTGGAGCTGATCAATTACGAGGATAACTTGACTGCTACAACTTTATGCCTATTAGTAACACTTTTTGTTCTCTTTTGGTTCAGCCAATTTCATTTGTCACTTTTGTTTTCAAACATTCCAAAAACAGGTACCGTATTTCAGGATTATTTTACATCAGTTTATTGCTTCCTCAGGAAACCTGTAGTTTGAATGCACAGTTACTTTTTCAATTATATTTCTTTTTCTTTTTCTGTCATATCACTCTACATCATTATGATGAAAGGAAGGCCATATATCAGAAATATTCTTCATTTAAAAAAATGTAAGATCTTATTTTTGTAAATTATTTTTCCAAAGGAATAGTTGAGTAAGTTATGATAAAAATGATTCAACAATTCAAACTATCCTGACGATGGACAGTCAACCTGTTTGAGATGTCGAGCGTCTCCTACTCCCCATCCTCTCCGACCAGCGCTATAGTTCTCATTAGAACTATAAGCTCAAGAAAGATACCAACAGTCCTTTTCAGGACTACACAATCCTCCCCTCTCTTACATTGTGCAACCGTAAGCCTACTGTATATCTACATCACCATGCAAGCCGATACTTATAAGCAGCATTAAACCAGACTTTGACGAAATATGTATAAGCATGCAAGGATGAATTGATTAGGTTTTGGGTGGAAGATAGAGATATTGATTATACTATGGAGTTACTATTCTATTTTTTGAAGGATGAATTCTGTTTGTATGAAACTGACTTGTTATGGTCTTCTTAAATGATGATTTTGCTTATTATGTGATATTACTCTATTTTATTTCCATAATGAAATGAAAATGAGGCGGCATGATATGTGCCCATATGCCTATTTTGATGTTTGTCAAGGCAAAGTAGTGTAGCACTTTCTGTACATCTCTTGCATCAAAAAGATAACTCTCTACCAAAAAAACACTCAACAAATATTTATATCCTGCCATATATAAATTGTACTTCATGTCTGCCAGCCATATTTTACGCTACTGAAAAATATTACATTATTCTCTATTTTCATTGCCTATATGTATTATCAAATTGTTGGAGGAAAAAATGTGTGTGATTTTGTAACTGCTGTGTACTTGTATTTCTGGAAGCTTTGACTACTTATTTTTTGGGGGTGGTAAGCTTTCATGTACAATGTTGCAAGTGGAGTTCTGTATCGTAAAATGGTTATGTGTTAGGTGTTATAATGTAAGTGTTTATTATGTGTGTATTGAAGTACTGGAAGTACCAGTATATAAGTCTTCAAAATGTCATTCTGAATAGCATGCGCTGGCTACCTCATATTAAAGGCCTCAGTGAAGGTGGATAACCTCCCTCTTGTTATCAGGAAGTTATCGCAACGTTTCGTATGTGGATGACGGGGAAGCAAAGATAAAGATTTTTTTCAAGAAAAGGGTGATCATTATTACGTACCATGTTGTATTCTCAGCTTTAATACAGAGATCAGTTTTATTCAGGTCCATTACTTTGTCTCTCTTCTCTCTTCACCTCTACCCCTCTTTTTCTCTCTTTCTCTCTTTCTTTCTACTTTCTCTCCTCTCTTCTTTCTCTCTGTCTTTCACCCTTTCTCTCTCTCTTTCCACCTCTCTGTGTCTCTTTCTCTGCTTCTCTGTCTTTCTTTTCTATCCCTTTCTTACCAGCATGACTCAAACAAAGTATATCAAAATGTGATGACCCTTAATTGCTACAGTTGCATATTGCTAAAGTGCATATATTTTTAGAAGAAAAAAAGTACAGAGTGGTACGTATCACTGCATATTAAATCACCTTTAAAATAGACCTTGTTTTACTGCCATATTATATTCAAATGTTCCATCATGAAAAATCAAACCCGTACTGCAAGCAATTAAGAAATGAAAATCATTTCAGAGACTTTTGTTTCCTTTGCTATTTAACTTCACAAAGTGCTTTTCTGTTGTCTTGAAAGGCCAAGTATGCTAAGTAGTGTAATGTTGTACTAAATTGGAAGTGGGTGAAAATTCGCCTTTATTGTTATTATTGTGTGTTGATTATAAACAGAATTCATCAAACACTGACAGATATAACTTATTTTCACTCAAATCTTGCAGGTTTGTTGTTTGTTTGTTTAAAGGATATTGTGCATGTCTTTTTTTATAACATCAGACTCGCATTTCAACAATATGAAATTGTTTCAAAAATTGTAAAAAATGAATAACAAATAAACAGGATCAAACTGTTCAGTCTGTGTCATGCAGTTAAGGTATGTGTGTGTATTTTTGTATGTGATATGTGTACTATATATAAGTCAAGTATTGAAGGAGTTTCTTATAAATAGACTTGGTGCGGACTCCATTTTTCATACTCTTCAGAGATTTTAATGTGCCTGTCTGTCTTTACATCTGTTCTGTGTCAGGAGGTAACACAATGGATTTGTAAATACTTTTTTTCTTTTCTCTCTCATGAACGTCTTGAGGAGTTTTAATGAACATGCAAATGTATGTCACCATTTATGTATATTCAGACTTTGAAGAAACAAAGTTGAATAATTGTTGATTACACATTGGAAAAAAGTGCTTCTTTATATATTTAATGATGGAAAAGTGATCATGTGTTTGTATAAATGCACCAATAAATTTGGAAATCAGATTTATCTATAAAAAATAACATGTATCTTGCAATTTGTGGCCAATATGAATCTTTGTGAACTAAAGACATAATTGTTCGATGTGGGGATGCAGGCTTGTGTGTGGGTGAGTGGGTGGTTATGTGTGTCTGTTTGGGTCGATGCCAAAGAACAGAATGATTTCCTGGAATTCAATAGATTTTCTTTAATTTGTCCAAAATGCCTCTTACATGCTTTTGTTGTTGTTTTTCTTTCATTAAAAGAATATGAACTTTTAGTTCAAATTTTTTGAGCACGCGTGACGAAAAAAAAATGTTTACACTTGATTCAGAGAAGTGGGTAACACAAATGAGACAATTTTCACCTTTTCTTTAAATTCATTTTGATTTTCCTTAATTTCGATTTTCCTTACCGTTAATTTTTCTTTAGTTTCAAATTCCTTAAAAAACTTTTTCCTATTTTTCTTTTGAAAAAAGAAAAGCGGAAGCCCTGGTTTGGGCGTTCAGCGAAAGTATTTGGATGGATGTGTGGGTGTTTCAGCACTGGTTTCATATTTGTGTGAGAAAAGAAAAATCGTCGGAAATATGGAGGAAATTTGAGGGAACAGAATACTTTTACATCAAGTTCAAGTTTTATTTCCACATTGTATTAAAAACATACCCTTAAAAAAAACCTTAACCCCTTTTATTTCACAAAAAGTATACATTTTGATATTGTTTTTAAAAAAAGAGAGAAGGGGACATCTTAAAGTCGACTATCCCTATAAATATAAACTCTACTACAGAAGACGTGTATACAGCATGTATAATTATCTATCATGAATTTGTAAAAGTTCAGTCTCCTTGTTTTCATCATTCTGTCCTATTCAGGCAGGAAAGTATTTTTGAAATTCTTATGAAGTTTCAAAGATGTTGTTTATGATGACGGCTTTGTTAGTTCTCCTATCCAGCCCTTGTCCGGGACATATATAGGTTTATACGGTTTGCCGTGGGAGCCATAACTGTCATATTCTTCCATCGCTTCCAGCTCCAGAAGTGTAGGACTAGGCTCGGATAGATAATACATCCAACATTCCATTGTCGTCCTCTCTTGGTCTAGTCGAGTGTCGGTCTCCGAGTCGGTTTTTGAATTGGTATTCGAATCGGTGGTCGAATCCGTCTCCACGGTTGTCATGATTATTTCAACCTTGCGACGGCCGTACACGTCGGGGTAGCATTCAAATTGGTCCAAATGCGCTAACAGATCGTCGTCCACGTCGTAAACTTCGCCTTTGATGTTCTTTAAAAGAAAAGGCAAAATGACCAAGCGTTATGCTACGCGTCACAAAGGTTCGTACGAACGATAATTTCGTACGAATCTCCCTGTTTTTTCATTGTCTGAAAATCGTTTGTACGGCGTTCGTACGGCGTTCGTAGCAGTTCGTAATGGCATTTGTGACCGGGGCTTAACGGTACTATGTCCCATTTGCAGGCCAAAAAAATGAAAAAGTCAAATTCCAACTGCATTTGAAAGATGATACTTATTTAGAACTTCCCTAAAAAAGGTGGGGCTTGAAAATGTCTTCAAGTGGGAAAATAACGACTATTAGTTGTTAAATCGACTTGAGGGCTATAGAGCCCAAAAGTAATAGTCTTGATTTTCAGACAATTGTACCGAATGGTCATACGTTTTATGCTGCGCAAAGATTCAATCAGTTTAATCTAGGCCATCACAAGAAGTGGGTTATTGATGTATTAATGCTCATGTACCCTTTGCAACTCTTTTCATGTATGTTATTACCAAAGAAGAAAAAAAACCAGTCAGTCACTCAATAGTGTCTGACAGTGAAGTCTAGCAAGTAAACGGGTTTCCTTGCATAATTTGAATATGAGGACACTGCTAACGTTTAAATTTCACAGATAGGACATACATGACAAATTCATAATTCATGCAAAGTTCTACAGAATTTGAGGTTGGCTGCAATAGGGACATAGTACCTTTAAGGAGCACGATCGCAATTATCTTCGGAAAAATCAACTTTCGGCAATTTCAATTTATACCCTATTGTATATCACATGGAAATCATGTTCAGACTTAGTAATACGTCATTGTTATGTTCACACATTTCAATGGATGACGCTCAAGGCTATTCAACTTGGCTTTATGTGTTCAGGTTATCTTTATCGTGGAAATGACCGACTGAGAGTTCTGGAATATTTGTGAAAATGACATGTTTGCTACTAGGATCGGGAAATTTCCCTCACCAAAAACCTTTTCTTACTCTACTCAGCAATTAAATTACTTATTTTCCCTTGCTCTCAGATGTCCTCGGCTCAATTTTGAAAGTCCAGGTGCCACCCACAATTGAAATAAACACCAGTAATATAATCCTTAACTCACAACACCCCTGCACCACTCCCATCCACCCCTCCCCTATCTGTAGTATTTGGTCCTGTATACGCATATGCGTATAGGCAGTGGCTAAATAGTGGGCGTGGCACTTTATTAGTAGGCGTGGCACATTTTCCAGCATGATCAAGTAGGGAGGGGGGCAGGGGATCTATCTGCACAAAAAATGAACATATAGTATAGAATTACGTTATACATATCTGACGTAACGTACCGAGAGACTATCATGTTCTTTCTGACAAACGTAACACGAATTTAAAAATATAAAAAAATAAAAATAAAAAACATCTAAATTATTCCGGCATACCCCCTCCCTAAAATCTAGATCCGCCCCTGTGCCTGAGGGGCACCTCTCCGACTCCCCCAAACTAATCTTCTGGATCTTCGGAGCCCTTATGAACTGCAATACCATGCAAGCATACACAAATCATCAGATTTTGTCTTGAAACTTACGTATCCGTCGCCCTCCTTGTCCAATAGATATGGGATATTGTGCTCTGAAGAAATGACGAGGGGCCACTTGGTGCTTGTGTAGCCCTTTCCGACATATTTATACCGGTCTTGTCCAACTTCGGAAAGCACGTAATGCAAGGGTTGCCCCTGTTTTAGCGTACCGTACATGAAGACACGATTCATTGTAACTAAACAGACCCAAATGAATATGAGGCTTGCACTGAGTCTTCTTTTGTCGTTTGTATAATATAGGAGGTAAACAGAATGAATTATAAACACGCGAATTTCTGATGTCTGAGTGATTAGACCTTGTACTATGCAATAGTCACACAAACGTGGGATTTGGGGAGTTTAGAAAAGGAAGTGATTGTTATTTTACTGTCATAACAAAAGCGCCAAACAAAAATATACCACGCAAACAGTACTAATACCCCACCCACAACAGCGAGACCATCACCAGATCAACAACAGACCGATCAAATATATTATATTACCCCTAAAGACAAACAAATCAGTCGGTTTGGAGTCGTTGAGGAGTAGATTTGTCAGGGTGAATGAGGTGTAATGTACTGAGCAGCTGTACGTTCCACATCAGTATTTTTTTTCTGCTGCAGCAGCCTGGCAATAACACCTAGTGTCAATCCAAAAGCTAGATAAAGTCTGATCTATTCATTGATGCATATTACGTATATGCTACCGTTTCTTATATGCACGGTTCCGAAAAAGTCCCTCCATTTCATAATAATATAATAATAGTCACATTGTATAGCGCTTAATTATCATACGTTTCTAAGCGCTTTGTAATCATTATTGCCCCATTTGCTGGATTCAATTCAATCACACATGATATTGCATGCACACGCTCCGTACATATTCCAGCTATGGGCGCCATTTAACAAGCGCACACATCCTACTGAGCGGAGAGTGGCAGATGCAGGGCATGCAGATGTAGATTAATGTCTTGCTGAATTGATTAAAGTCTTGCCAAAGGACGGTGGGACCGAACCGCTAACTATGTGATCCACAGTCCGGTGACACACGATAGACCACGACACCTCTACCATAATAAGCCACTTCAGAGCTAGCATATGTAAAAATCGACCCGCGATTTTACACAGATCTTTTACACATTAGAGACATCCTACTTAAGTTGTTGTGTATTTTAAAATAATCAATGCCAAAGGGTTGCTTCACGAATACATTTTGTTTTCCCTCTTGAAAAGATTACATGTACTTCCAACGCACCGGTGTAAAATAGAATGTACCACCAGTGCATAAATGAAAAATGATTTTATCCACCATTGATCTCAGACCAGTTGTTTATTGCTGTTCAATAGCCAAACAACTGCCAACCATTCGCAAATATATCCACGAGCGGTCACAAATTAGTTGATGTTCAAAAAAAATTGTACGACATTCGACAGCCGATCGGATATACTGCCCTACAAAATATTGGTTGTCGATGGTCAGCTTTTTTTGGTTGTCAGAAGACGGCAAACTGTCGTACGCCTCGTGTGACTCAGGCTTCATGAAACCATGGAGTTGATGAAACGCACTCAGAAAACGAAGAAAAATATGAGAAGCGATATCTCCCGAATACCGGTTTGACTACATAATTGTGACAAAAAATATGACGATGTATATAGCTAACGTTGGGCAATATTCCATTCCTTAAAACTGGATTAAATAGTATTGCAAGGTGCTCTCTCTCCTCTTTCCTCTCTAGATCTGACCTCTCTCTCTCTCTCTCTCTGTCTCTCTCCTTCTTTTGTTTCGTTTGTTGGAAGTAATTTTGGAATATGCTTCCAACCAGGATTGTTCCGACTGATCTAAGAATGGAGAGATCAAGAAACTCCTTTCGTAAAAAGATCACAAAATTACTCTTGGGTGAAAACCACGAATTATAACTTTGTAATTATATAGTTGTATATAGCAGCCAGTCTGATTGTTTGGATTGTGATATTATACACAAATCTTATTTATAGGATTTGGAAACCCATCATGTATTCTTATTTTACTTTATTTTAGGATTTAGATAACGAGAGTCACTCAGGCCCGAATAGCACAAGTCATGTGCCACTTCTTACTCTATTTTACCATCGATCACAAACTTGTATAAATCGCGGTAGAACATGTATTTTAATGCATGTCATGTTTATATTAATTGTTATGTTATTGACATTGTCATTGTACATTTATATATCTTTCGTTTCGATGGTTTCAACGGTGGTGAATAAATAAATTCAATTTAATTCTCTCTCTCTCTCTCTCTCTCTCTCTCTCTCTCTCTCTCTCTCTCTCTCTCTTTCTTCTCTGTTATAAATGCCTCTCACTCTATGTACCTATATTGTATTTTGCATCAATATAGTGTTAAGCTGGCTTGACCGTCGATCCAAAGTCCAATGTGGTACCATGGTCTGCGTGGTGACCTCCAATTCCAAGGGATAGTCAATACCACTGCTTTATACCCAGTCAAGTCAACAAAACAAGCTAGTCGGGACTTTTAGATTTGCACGTCGACAGCTTTGACTGCAATGTGTGACGTCATTTTAAGGCACTGCGCATGCGTTACGTCATCTCAGTCGGCGATCGAGAATGCGTCAACCTTGATTTTCCTAAATCTAGTACATACAGTACATACATACATGTTGATATTTAAGTAGCGCCTTTACATGCTCAAGGTACTAGTATGCCGCGTGCGCATAAAATATACAGTTCCTCAGGTAGACAAATTTAAGGAACATCCCTTCCCTGCTATTATGTAAAAATGTGTAGAACAGGTGTCACATGCATATTCACCTGTTAAACACATTTTACATAGCAGTGAAGGGATGTTCTTTTGTTGAAGGTAGAATGAGGAACTGTATATTTTGTCCTCTTTCTTTGTCCGTGATGTTCATAGTGTTACTTCCTGCATGCATGTATATTGTCGATTGCAATCTAAAAATTTTTTAATTGTAGTCAACATGGGCAGTTAAGTACGTTGACACGCATGATCAGTCGGCGTTCGTCGTGTTCTCGTCCACTCAATCTAAAAGTCCCTAATAATGGCGTGTCTAGGGGTTGGACCGCATAATGCGTATACGCCCCTCCCCCTCCCCCCTCCGCTATCAGCCACATTCAAAATCAAACTCTTCTTTTAAACCATTAGCGACAAGTGCCTCTTATTCTAGTAAAGTGCCAAGATTTAAAAAAAATATATATATTCTCAGGGAGCATAGCCACCTGACCCACCCCACCCACAACCAAATTGACGTGCATATACGTAAAAGGCTTCGGCTGATTCATGTTAGAGATTGACATTGACATAGACATTGAGCATTTTTTTGGATTTAGGGGGGTCTCCAATTAAGGCAGGAAAAGCCCGCGAAAAGCCCGCGAAAAGGGGGTTCGGAAATGTTGGCAGTCCTCAGATAGGGGGTGCTTTCAAAAAGAGGGAACAAGCATACGCGTTCCTAACACTGAGTGGGGGGGGGGGGGCGGGAGGCATACAGTTCAAGTGTACAAAACTTATTTGCCCCTCGGTTTCCGCTAGTGGGTTACTCTTGAATTTGGTGTTGTGCAGTTACGGATGAACATGGACAGTTGAATAGTTCATCAGGATTAAACTTGTCCTTCTTCAGTGACCAGTACTTGTCAAGATTTGATTTCAAAGAATTGAGTGATGGACTTTCTGCTACATAATGATCGGAGACCATTCGTTTACTACTCTCTCCTTTCTCTCTTTCTCCTTGTCTCCGATCTCATCACGAAATCGTCACAGAGTTCATCTATGTTTACACTGTCCAGGATTGTCTGATGTGCATTGCAGATTGCTATTTTTGCGCTTTGCGCTTAACATTTAGCTCGTTGCTTTTTGACGCAGCGTCTTTGCATTTGGCGCACTGCATTTCTATGATGCTGTTGATTGAACAAATTGAATAAATTCATCAATTCCTGATGAAGCCGTATGAGCGAGAATTCAATTTATTCTTGTCTCATATACGGTTGTCTTATTTACTTCGTATATATGTATGTATTATGAAAATGAGATAGCAAAATGTGTATATTGATGGTCATCTTGCGAGTAATAACCATTAACTACTCTCATCGGGCTCTCATCCTTAATTTTTCTCTTCATTTTTTTTGTTTTTGTTTTTGATGGTGAATTATTGGGGGGGGGGGGATGATTGTACAGCCCATCCCCCACCTGAAATATCCCCCCATCCCCCCCCCCCCGGGATCGACACCCATGACGACGTCACTTTGAGAATGTTTCTTTTATAAGGGTACGTGCCACACGGGAGAGCAGTAATCTAGTGCTGGTCTCACAATTGACTTATATAACTGTGCGAGTCCCTTGTTGTCCGTAGTTGAACAAATACGGTACGCTTATCAACTAGAAGGAGTCGGTTATCAGTCAATATGGTGTCGAAATCACTGAAATTACGCTCTGCCCGAGGTGCTGACGAACCCCCGACAGATTCCCGGCGTCATGTCGTCTTGCTTGCAACATTTTTCTTCCTAGTTCTCGAAGCAGGTGTACTAAAATCTTATGGAGTTCTTCTCTCACCCATGGTTTTCCAGCTAGACAGTAATTTTGCAACCATTGGCGTCATATTTTCTTTGTCATGGACCCTGGAATACACATGTGGTTAAGTAAAAACTTTGAACGATTAAACAAGCGATAAAGTTGGTGTGATCGACATAATATTCCTCAATTAATAATGCGCATAATTATGGAGATCTATTCTACTATTATTATAAAGATATATTTTACTGCTGTTTCAATGCAATGAACCTACCTTTGTAGTTATAAAGACTATCTTTTCAGATTAACAAAAACCTGTAAAAAAACAAGACTTTAAACATATTGTACTTTGGAAGACTGTAGCATACAATATGTAGAACATGAGATACAAGCAGGGGCGGATCCAGCCGGCGGCAAGAGGGGGGGCCCAAATCTTGAGAAAATATTTAGCGGCGAATTAGCCAGCAGGTGAACGGCAAATGAGCGGGGGGGGGGGGGGGGTAAAAGCACATATTTTTTTAAATTTTTTTTTATTTATTTATTTATTTATTTATTTATTTATTTATTTATTTTTTTTTGGGGGGGGGGTCCAGTTTTGGGGGATTTTTTTGCGCCGACTCAGCAGGCTGGTGAATAAGCGGGGGATGCTGGAAGGGAGGAGGTTTAAGGCATTTAATTACGGTCAGAGAACTGAGCACAAATATTTTGATGCCGCATCTGTGTCACTGGCAGGTCACAATATTTTTGTTGAATGACATAAATCATGGTCTGAAGCATGCTTTTAAAAAAAATGGTAAAATTTACGTTACTATCCTTTTTTGTTTTAACAGGTTCGGGAGGCTAGGGGGGGGGGAGGGGGGGGGGGCTGGGCCGGTAGAATCGGCCCGTGGATCCGCGCCTGGATACAAGTAGCATATACAAATATGTTCATGTTCGGATTCAGCCACAAGTAAATAGAGCTAAGAATACGTGCAATGACATTATCTTTTTTTCTTCCTTTCGTTATAGCGGTAGTTGTGAAGCCACTGGTAAATCGTATTGATCCAAACAAGATATCTATGGCTGGGGGACTCATAGCTGGTGTTGCCCTGACAACGTCTTCTTTCACTCGTACTACCTGGGCTTTAGGAACCCTCTTCATTTTCTTCGGTAGGAAATCCAACATTTCATGGCCTTTGGCCAGTTGCAATGAAAAACTCTAAAAATGAAACGTAAGATCGAAAATACGCGATTCCGGTTTGCTGAGCGTCGAGTTGTGTTTGATTTCGTCCTTTTCGAGAAGTATATTTTCATATAATATATATATATATATATATATATATATATATATATATATATAAATAAATGTATATATTACACACACACTCAATCCATATACTACTTTAAACCTAACATGTATATTTGTCTTCTTTCTTCCAATTCCTCTAGGTATTGGTCAAAGCATGGTATTAGTTCCCGCAATCATCTGTCTACACCGTCACTACAAAGAAAGATTCGCATTCGCCTGCTCCTTTGCCTTTGTAGGTTCTCTTGTCGGGGTGCTCATTTTACCTATCGTAACTGAAGTTTTGATTGAATCTTACGGACCACACAACGCTCTCCTAATCTTAGGTGGACTTTGCCTCAACATGTTCCCGATTGGACTTGTCCTCAAATTGCCGAAGGAAAAGCATAAGCAACCATCTGTGTCGACTTGTAAACATCTCTTAGAGTCTGTTGATGCTGGTTCAACCAGGACAAAGGAATTTCCTTCAGAGAAAAACGTTTCCCAAACTCACCAGGTAGAATGCCATATTCTTCAAAATCCAGGATATAACCTAGCTGAATGTGAGTCACCTAACCCTGATAAGATGACTGGAGCAGATTATATTATGGGAAAAGAAACTATCATAGGAGGGGGATATAATGAAATGAAAATGACAGAAAGCACTGAATCTTTCAACGACTCTGGAAAGAGATACAACGATCCAAATGTTGACTTCAAGGATTCTCGCAAGGGTACTCGAAGGCGAATCATTGAAAGGATTTCAAGTCTGAAGACATACACAGAGGAGGCAAAGTTCTTCCTTGCATTCGTTTTACCGTGTGACTTCATCGGTGCTTTTGTACTCATCAGCTGGACCATATTCATCGTACCTTTCGCAATCTCTCTCGGAATCCCGGAATCCCGGGCTGTCTTTGTTGGAACTATGGGCGGAGTGGGAGGTCTGGTCGCCAGGGTCATGGGTACTGTCGTCTTGCACTTTCATCCAACCTGGGTGTCCGGTCAATACGTCGTGCTCTGCTCTCTGACATCGCTGATGTTGTTTGTCCAACCCTTGAGGGCGTCTTACACCTACCTCCTTGCATGTTCCTTCTTCATGGGCTTCGGTCTCTACGGTAGTGTGTGCCTTGTGGAAGCCCTGGTGTCCAATGTCGTCAGTCCCAAGGTGTTCCCCACATCAGTTTCCATCACGTATCTTTTGAAAGGCGTCAGTGGAATTCTGACTGCTTACACCTCTGGTAAGTACATTCGAAGCTGTACCAGTATACATGCAGTGATATAGCCCCGTGTCTTTCAATGTTTATCTATATAAAGATAGACCGGGGCGCCACTAGGCCACTTCACCATTTGGAATGGAGGGGATCGATGCCCCTGCCCAAATTTACCGAAAGCCTAGACAAGGATTTGTTTGTGACATATAAAGCTAACATCTAAAGTATTCAACAAAGGCCCCGGGTCAACCAATCCATCTTTCATTCTTGAGTTACGAAAATTACAAAACATCAAATTTACAAAGGATATGAATCTGTAGATGCGCGCGGCACTTTCATGAATGTCACAAAAATGTAAACATAATTAGACTGTGTGGATGTATGATTGAATATTAGTTGTCCGGGATAGTGGTATAGATGAGGACATGCATGGGTTAATACTATCACATTGAAGACTTTTTGAACGCAGTCAATGAACCCATGCATCAAACTTTCGTAAAATGTATAAATATTTATTGTTACCTATCGTTATTAAAAGTAAAATGATCTTCCATTTTTGTTTCCATTTACAGGATCACTCTATGACGTGACTGGATCCTATCAGATAGTCTTTTATATTCTCGGGATCATGGAAGCGGCTAATGTGGGCATCTATCTCTTACTCCTAGCCATCAAGAAGCGATCGAGTATGAGACAAAACAAAGACCCGGAATAATTCAAGCTGGGAAATTTATCTCAAAGACTTTCCAAAAATCAATCAGTATTGCATACAGGGGATACCGGGGGCACGTGTTCCCCGCGCCGCCCCCCGCCCCCAACCAAACAAAAAAGGCTAACGACTCTTTCCTGGAACGTACTGGTCTGTACACCTGTCCATCACCCCTTGCAATGACGTATTTAATCCGAAAATGATTTCATAAAGATGCATAATTATAATAATAATTGAAATTGCCCCTGCGTTTGTATCTCGAATGTCTATGCGATCGCGTTCTCAATGGGTTGAGATTTGAGGTGCTAAATAAAACATAACAAAACAAAACAACAAGGGGGAAAAACGAAATATAATGCTAGCTGTACATAATTGGCCGGTACGTTTTATGATACTTATGGCTTGTTTTAATTCGACCTTTCACTGGCCTAACTGTGTGTTGCTCTCTGTTCGATGATAAGGCGCAAGGCTTATGAACAAGTCCAAGATATTTTGAACCATACGTTACCCACACAGTGCCCGAATTTCATCATGTTTTGGGCCTTAGCTGTGTGCCCAAATATCTATATTCGGGAAGCGGGATCCTTTATCATTTAATTTCTGTGATTTTCACTGCAAAATTGATAGAGTTGATATTCAGTCAAAGGGTGTGACCCCCCCCCCCCCCCTCTCCTGGCGTGCCGGTACATCTATGCTAGAACTTGCCCATATCAAGGCCTTGTTTGGTATTTAACAAATTACAAGTGCTACGTACATCAACATTTAGAAGGGCCGAAGAGGACCAATAACATATTGCTTCCGCCAGAAACCATTTACTGAGATGTTTATGGGTTTAGGAAAGATATACTAATGTTTTTTTGTATGTGTTAAGAACAATTACGGGCTGTAATGTTATTTACAACTTCCTTCATATGTGACTTCTATTTCCGTTATCATTGTCTCAAAAAAGAGACAACCAGCCCTCGACCTAATCTATACCGAGTTATATTTGTTATAGTTTAAGATTAGAAGATTGTGGTGATTTGAATACAGCTAAACCCTTTTTAGGGAGCACCTGTATTGTAATACCAACTGCTAATATAAATCATTATACATACTTTATTCCCCTTGAAAGGTGTTTCGCATTCGGAGACCGGTTTTTAACCCCGGCCCCCCCCCCCCCCCCCCCCCCCCCCCCACTCAGAGGTCGGAATGACCGCATGCGTGTTGCCAAAATGTCCGGTAAAGGGGTACTTTTCGTGCGACAAAGTCCGGCCCGAGATTTGTAAAAAAAGGGGTGTATTTGACTTTTCACCCGGAGATTTCTTTAAAAAGGGGGTGTTTTTCTTTTTTTCTCTCATCTCTTTGGACTCCTGAGAAATTATTCCGAATTTAGGGGGGTACATTGAGCATTTTTCCTGATTTAGGGGGGTCTCCAAGGCAGGAAAAGCCCGCAAAAAGCCCGCGAAAGGGGGGTTCGGAAATGTTGGCAGTCCTCAGATAGGGGGTGCTTTCAAAAAGAGGGTACGAGCATATGCGTACCCTAAATAACACTGAGTGGGGGGGGGGGGCGGGTTTTTAACACTACAAATCTGCCTCCATTGCCCAGTCTTTTTTTGGTGTGCTCTTTGATCCCTTATCCAGGGGCGAATCTGGGATCCTCGGGAAAAAGAAAGTGTGAGGGCGACTCAACGGAGTTCGAGGGGAGGAGGGTATTTAGAGCTACCACTTTTTAACAAAATAACACGATCGCCGCAGTCACTTTCGATAAATCAACTTGAGGCAATTTCTCAACACCTATTGAAGTGTGCAAACATTACAAATGCCATCCGACCTGATTTTAACGGGATATAAACAAATAAAAAAAAAATTGAAATTGCCCGCGAGTTGATTTTCCGAAAGCATATGTGATCGTGTTGAATTCACACTTGAAAAAGAAAGCTCACATTGATCTCTTGCCTACCAAACATCCAAATAAAGGGATGCCAATGAAGATAAAATAGATGACTTTGGAACCCTCTTTGTATACAATTTCATTGAACTGTTATTGGTTTCAGTTACTGAAAACTGAACTTTTAATGGTGCATGCGAAAAATCAAGTATGATTGATAACTCTCCTGATTGTGTTATTGTCATTGCATAGGGAATAATAACCCCTTACTGGTAATTCTTTTAAGTATACTCCCTTATATACGTCGCGTTTGTCAAACAGGCAAAGTTTTATATCTGCACTTCACATTAGTGTTTGGCAATTACCCTGTATCAATATTTTGATATCTATTCATTATTAAATTCAATTTGATATAGTATATACAACTGTGTATGTATGAACATGTAGTACATCATTAAAAATCAAGTTTACCATTTTTCCAAGAGACTGATTTAGTTACTTATGCCTTCCCCAGTTTATACTGATGCTAACATGTTTTAAACCTATGCAAGTATTCTTCTGTATTTTGCACAATTTTTAAAACAAAATATGAAATGATGTTATTTGTTTATGGCAAAAATATAAATATTTGTTTAATATCATACATATCCATATTACATCTATTTTTTTCTTTGAAATGAATTGAGGCTCTTTGAGCTTTTGCTATGGGCTCCTTTTATCTTTCAAATAGCTTCTTATCAGGTCCGTGGACTCTATTATAGGGGATTATCGATGCTTTTTGTACATACAAAAAAGATAACGTTACCATCAAGAAAACCATTTATGACAGAAATATAGAAAGTGAGCATATGGATAAACAAATGTGATGGTCTGATAAAACGAATGATGATAAAAAAACACATACACATAGCTCAAATATGTTTTTAATTGACTTTTATTTTGTTATATTTAAAAAAAAAATAATAGCGTACACATGTTAAAAAAAAGAGAAGAATAACGTGCTAAGTTAGCACGCTATTTTCTGCTAAGTCATTAGTGGCATTTAAGAGTGATATTTAACAAAAAATACTATAAACTACAACCAACAATGAATCTGAATGAAAAAAAAAAAACAAGAACATTTTGGAACACTGCCAGGCTGGCATATGTATATTTCACACACTTTTGTCAATTGTCATGTCCTGTACAAATATATACATAATGATGATGTAAGTACATAATAGTCTTTTATAATATCAATACCTTAACGACATTAGAGATATTCCTTCACTGCTAGATAACTTATAGTATGCGTACATGGTGTACACATAACTAGTACATCTTCCCGAGTTAACAACATCAAGTCTAGTACCAGTATATGGCTGAGATTTAGTTTGAAATGAAGATTCGTCTGAAGGTATAATGTTGGTCGAGAAGTAGAAAGGTGTTACATTTGTAAAATAAAATGATTTACCGGTAAAGGTATTCTGGCTTTTAGCAAATGATGAGAATTCCAACTTGGTACCTCAAATGTTCCACGTTTTCTAATATACAATAAAATGCATGATTTTCCATGAAAACATTTAATTAAAAAAACAAAAATTGCCCATCTGTTTCCTTCATCAGATTTCAGCCAAAATGAATTATCAACAAACGGAACAAGTTTCCTTTTGTCTTGGAGGGAGGGGGGTATTCTGTTGGAAAATTAGTAATTTGTTTTTCATATATAACCCAATAATACATGTATATACTTCATTAACATGACAAAACATTAAAATGAACCCTGTTTACCTACACTGTCGCTCATAAAGGTGAAATATTTTTTTTAAATCCCAATTCATGGAATTATTTTAAAAATAATTTAAAAATAATAGATCTAGATAATAGTATACATTCTCAGATTTTATTGAATAATAATTTGCCAATGCGTGTTTTTGCGTGACTGCTAAAGCATGTGTATGCTGCTATGCTTATCAACTAGGGGACCTACGCCCTTAAGTCATAAATTACAGTAATGAGCATAAATGCCCCACAAAAGGGCGCTAATAGGGCACATCGACACGGTTTTGACCCCGGGGCCTCACAGTTACGAGGCCATTGCTTTGTCACTGAACCATGACTGTACGCAGTGGGGGCTAGGGTAGGGGGCAGTTCCCATAAATAAAAAAAACAAACACAGAAAATGCAATACAATTTCAATAATTTATTGCATTTTACCCCAGTTCCCAACATAACAAAATCTTCTGTGTGCCCATGCCTTGAGCCATAATGCATGACCGTCTAGAGGATTTTTAGTGTATAAGAAATATGGATGGGTTATACATGCTTACAACAACAACAAGAGAAAGAAAGAAGAAAACTAGATGGAATTTTGACTGCGTGCAGTCGAAAATGATGCCTCCGCCATAGAGCAATTTAAACAAGTTTGGAGTTTAAATCTCCAGTGGTTCTTGAGATATCATGATAACAATCTCAATGTATGGAATTTCATAAGTTGACCTCTGTGACCCTTGACCTTTGACCTACGTGCTCCAAAATCTACTCAGATCGTCTTCCTATGGTGATACATACTATCCTTAAGTTTGAAGTTTTTACATCTCCAGTGGTTCTTGAGATATCATGATAACAATCTCAATGTATGGAATTTCATAAGTTGACCTCTATGACCCTTGACCTTTGACCTACGTGCTCCAAAATGTAATCAGATTGTTTTCCTATAGTGATACACACTATCACTAAGTTTGAAGTTTAAATCTCCAGTGGTTCTTGAGATATCATGATAACGATCTCAATGTATGGAATTTCATAAGTTGACCTCTGTGACCCTTGACCTTTGACATACGTGCTCCAAAATCTAATCAGATCGTCTTCCTATGGTGATACATACTATCCTTAAGTTTGAAGTTTAAATCTCAAATGGTTCTTGAGATATCGCGCTAACAAACTCAATACAAGGAATTTCATAAGTTGACCTCTGTGACCTGTGACCTTTGACCTACGTACTCCAAAATCTAATCAGATCATCTTCCTATGGTGATAAATACTATTCCCGAGTCTTAAGTTTAAATCTTAAATGGTTCTTGAGATATTGTGATAACGGTCAAACGGGACGGACGTACGGACGTACGGACGGACGTACGGACGGACGTACGGACGTACGGACGGACAACCCGAAAACATGATGCCTCCGGCACCACCTTCGGTGGCGGAGGCATAAAAAAGTACTTGTAAATATCATTGTTCTTTTTGAGCCTATTATGAAGATAAGATGTACCAATATTATACAAATGTAACAAGTAACATCTATTGCCAATAGCATTATCTTTTACATGAAAATGTCAACAAAATGCATTTAAAGATAAAGTTGAGTTCAGGGGGGTGTTTCACAAAGATCCTAAGTAGAACTTAACACTAAGTTTGACTTAAAAATTATGGACAGCCATTGGAGCCTTAAAATGAAATATACTCAAAAGCAGAAATTCAAGTATTTTAGACATTTTATAAATTCCACAACAAGAATATGAAATCTCCTTGATGATAGAAAATATGAATGATTTGAATAAACATTTTATGCCTTTCAAAAATATTTTTACCAAATATTTTCAAAGATGCTAATGGCTGTCCATAATTTTTAAGTCCAACTTAGAGTTAAGTTCTACTTAGAATCTTTGTGAAACACCCCCCTGGAATCATTAAAATGATAACAAAAATTGGCCCAGTCTTGGTAAATTTACAAAGATGTATATGGGACTACACAAACATGTGGCATAAAAATCTGTCCTGATTGTTATGCTGTAACATGCCGTATTTAGCATATGAAGGTATTTGAAGAGCCATGCTTTTCAGGGAACATGATGTTCTTCCACACTTGCATAATAACAATGATAACGCTCACAAATTATTGTTCACCTCTTCCAAGAACTCGACCTTCTCTTTAACCTTACCCTTGTCCACATTATGAAGAGAATACAAATAGCTGGAACAAAAAACATTTACATCGATCTCACATTGAAATATCAGTGATAAATATGAACACGCATGTATCTTGTTTGAAAAGTACTTTGGTATTAATCTGAGGTAATATGTGCCGTGCCGTGTATAAAGTTGTAAGGAAGAACTGAACCTTACGTGTATACCTTGTAATGATGCCTGCTTTCATAGTGGAATACATAATGTACTTTCACATATCGGGTACTTAAGCCACTCAGCATGCGTCTATAAACTGAATGAGGGTTGGGTTACAAGATGGGTAGTTATAGTAACGTATAAATGGTGGACTTGCTTACAAGCTACTAATACTTTATAGATTTGAGTGGTAATACTCTTGCGGTAGTTATTAAGTGCATGCCATTAAGAGACAGCACAACTTGTTCGATACTTAAAGATTCCCATTTAGAAATTGAATCTTGCCATGATTACATCAGAACTTTTTTCCTTGAAATGTTGATTTTCATGGACAGCGATCCCTATATATACAACTACATTTTATTCCTTTAACATGTAGAAATACTACACATAAATATTACTCTACAACCTCATGTTCAGCAAACTGAAACAATTAACTCCAATATTATAAAAGAATATTGCAATATTATTATGAGCACCCGGATATAAAATACAATAGACTTAAACATTAAACATTAAACATTGCGAAGTAGCCTACAGAATTCCCAACAACCAATTTTGTGCTTTCCTGTATCTTCCCATAAAATATCGTCCTTGTTTTCACGAAGTGACGGTAGTGAGGAAAATCGTGACGCAAAGTGAATGCAATTTTTTTTTACTACCGTCACTTCGTGAAAACAGCGACGATATAGTGCCCAATTGTGCAGGTGTGTGCAATTGTGTTAGGCGGTGCATTTTTGCCCTTTTCTACTTATAGTAACCAAATGTCAATTCATTTCATTTCAATCTGGTTAAGCTTAAGAAGCCAAACTTTACATTTAAACAAAGGAAGTTCAACTAGATTGTTCTAGGAAATATCTAAAGACTTCTAATACTGTATGCTTCCTATTTTCAATCTGGTTAAGAAACCAACTCACATTTACACAATGGAAATTTTAACAAAAATGTTCGAGGAAATATCTAAAGACTTCTAATACTGTTTGCTTCCTACCAATAATCTCACTTACCTGTCCACAGAAATATAAAGATGTCATTATTATGACCTATGATATCTCTTGAATAGCACCACACAACATGTTATACTTCTATGCGCTGAAGATTTTTCTTTCCATAATATTGAGAAATTGGAAGACATTTTTTTATTTTCTCTGACAATACATGTATAAGATTGAAAGTAATACAAAGTGTTGGTAAGGACAAGACACCTCTTGGGATAAAATTTTCATGTTCTGTTTAATAACTCAAATAAGAATTTGTCCAGCATATTTATCATCAAGCTAGCCAGCTTGAAAACTCATTATTTATCAATGCCTTGATAGATAGTTGTCACTGAACATGCAATATACAAATGATACATCTTTGCGAGTGCATTAGTAAATATGCACCGCACGCAGGAAAAGTTACAATACGCTAATGAAAGAGACTTCATTATCAAGTTCATTGTCCGTCTCATTGTGGCTTAACCAAGTGCAGTGCATATCACTAATGCACGAGCTAAATCATGTATTATTTGTTTTGTAAGCTGGGTCTACAATATGAGTATAAAGTCGATAAATTGCCTAGGAAACCCGATCAAAAAGCCAAGTCCCACATCAAGAAGGCAGCCATTTGCTCTATTGGATGAAGTCACATCATGCAGTGCGCGCGCCCAGCCAAACGTATGTACAATGCATGGCTCGATGTACGCATTATCATGCCATATGAAATGCATTAGATCGCGTCTGAGCTTTGAACGCATCAAGTTGCGTTGACGAAGAGTGGTTGCACAGAGCTCACATAATGCTGCACAAAAAGTGCAAAGCTGAGCGTGATGGAAAAAATAAAGCATATATACATGTGACCTGATACAGGTTTGCTATTGGCTACATTCTTAAACCCATCTTATAATGTCAAATAATTCAAGGTAGATTTATGGCGTTGTGTTCTATCCTTGTAGATGCATCCAAAAACTATTGGAAAATGACTTCATTTCATGTTTTATATACCAACAATTTGTATTGCTTTTAAATATTGTGATAACAAAATATAAATATATATTTACAAATGACCTTGAAAGACAGAGATAATCAATATGACCTTGAGGTGAGGTACTATGAGGTGTTAGAGCTCCTCCTCTTTCTGATTCTCGTCCTTGGGTCTTGCCTCTGGATCCAGCGCATAGAAATCTATGGTGACTGTTTGCTGAGACGGTGTGAATTTACTGCAAACGTCAATGGGTAAAGAAGAAAGGATAGACGATAAGAAAGGAGGATGACCTTGTTCGTATTTGAGGGAATTATGGCAGGTGTTTTGGTAGCAAGATCTCTCAATAGCAATATGGACTTTGTACAACATGAGAGAATCTGAATATCTTGTGTTTGCAGAATAATAAGAACAGCAAGACTGCATTTATTTTCTAATTATATTGAGTTAGCTGTGGAGATATTCAATGCAAAGAGTGTCACAATTTTCTTCATCTCTTTTCTCCTACCTCTGATACTCCCATAAAGTAATAACGAAAACAGAATTATAACTTTCTGCTACATTGATAGGCTACATGATTACAGAGCTTTTTAAGTACATGTAAGATAATGAACTTCCTCAGCTGTTAATCAAATTAACAAAATGATTTATCCCCTGCCAAATTTCTGAATTTCTGTTCGGACTCAAAGGAAAATGTGTCAGTCATCTTTAGTTTTAAAAACGACATTGTTACTATACAGTAGGTTTGCGGGTGCACCATGTGAGAGAGAGAGAGAGGGAGGATTGAGGAGTTTTGAAAAGGACTCTCGGTCTCCTGATGACGGATAGTCAACCTGTTTGAAACGTTGAGCCACTCCCGCCACCCATCCTCTCCAAGCGCTATAGTTCACCTTAGAACTATAAGCTAAGAAAGATAACCAACAGTCTTTTTCAAGACTACACCAACAGTGTAATCATGTAGCCCATCAATGTAGCAGAAAGTAATAATTCTGTTTTCGTTATTACTTTATGAGAATATCAGATTTAGGAGAAAAGAGATGAAGTAACTGACCACTCAAAGCCACACCTCCAGTTAAAATTCCCTAGTGGAATGTTCCGGAGAAATCCAATCTAAGATCCAAGAATAGTCCTTTACAGGACTACACACCCTCAGAAAGATTACCGAGAGTCCTTTTCAGGACCCCTCAATCCTCCCTCTCTCTCACATGGTGCACCCCCAAGCCTACTGTATATCTACATGTACATCACCATGCAAGCCGGTACTTACAAGCTGCATCTGACATTGTTACTATTATTTGTGACAAGTTCGCAAGCACAAATCGGTGCCTTCAATTTTGCTTGCCTTGCAGCAAAATGAAGGTTTTCTAACGTACTGCGGTATCTGCTAAAAACCAGAAAAGCCATCCCCCCAAAAAAATATATTTTTGTTGGTCTTAAAAATAGGGGTGCATCTTATATACGGAGAGATACGGTACATATATCTTCAAGTTGATACAAAATACAAAATAAAAATAATTTTTACCTGTAAGTTACTCCAGCATAATCGAACATTCTTTTGGATGCCTTTATGGTGTCCTTTTCCTGGTACCTGTCCGAGAGAAAAACGATCTTCCTAATCCCTGATTGGATTATGACCTTAGCGCACTCGTTACAGGGAAAGAGAGCTACGTACATAGTACATCCTTTGACGTCGGCGGAGTTCTTGTTCATAATTGCATTCAGCTCAGCGTGGCATACTGGAAAATAGAAGTAGGTTATATAAACATAGCAGTGTTATCTTTTTGTTTCAGTGGCTCTGCATGCTTAGTCAAAGATAACAAAACGCTTAGAAACTGTTTGTATAGGTTATAAATACGAATCCAGATGCATTGTACTTTTTTTATAAAAGTTATGAGCATTTCATTATTCTATTTGCTTTCTCATTGACATAATATGTTTTGGTATTAATATCTATCATCATTATTATAACTATTACTATCCCATGATTGGCAAATGCGTTTCTGTACGACATCCTTTGTTTCCAAGCATTTGTTTCCAGGATAAATTGCATATGTTTAATAGACCTAGCAGTGCCTGGTATTCATGCAACTGTATTTTCTATGAAATACCTTGCTTACAATATCTTTCATCTCTTTAAAAAAAAGTGAAAAAGATGGTAACGCTAACAGACCCTTCTCTATATTTCAAGTTTTCAAGTTTATTTATTTCACTTTATCAAAGATAACATAATTGAACATAATGAACAATGGTAATTATTATAACTAAACATACAATATAGAAAACAAAATGTACATGACAATAGTTATAACAAAGAATACAATCATATAAATCAATCAATAATGTGGGGGATTTACTAAAAAGCAAAGCTTGTATTATGTAGGTCCTGGCTCATAGGTTTATATATAAATTAGGGTATCTGAATTAACATATTTACAATTACAAAAGCATATGATTACACAAGGGTTATCATTAAGTGACACATTTTATTAAACATATCGTAAACAATTGAGAAAACAAAGAAAGAGTTATGTGCTTTCCTCAGCATAAACAAATATATATATATATATAGCCTACATTAAATAAAATGATCAGTGCTTATTTTAGCACTACTTGTGTGGAGAGAAATAATAATTGCAAGGAAAACAATTCAGAAAAGAGGACAGGAAAGATGATTAACTCACCATAAGGATACTTTGTCTCCAGCCAATCTTCACTATCTCGACTCCATGGCAACACATCATCGTTGCATCCATTGGGCATCCCATTGTAGCCAATACCAACAATCTTCTTTTCTTCATTCACGATGCAAGCACCAACCTGTCAAATGAAAATCAACATGATTTATATGAGACTGAGAGTGAGAGATAGAGAGTTGTATTTTCTGCTTAATAAAGTTATACCTTCAAACATTTCTTCATATATGCGAAAAGGAATAGTTTGTCTACTCCTCATTGAGTGAGTATTTAAGTTTTTAGATACCATACTTGCACTTTTTTAATGAGACCTCACAAGGATTAGCACTTGAAATCCCTTCACTTCTCATGGACTAGGAAAATAATGGCAAGATATTTTGAGGTAATCTAATGACAATGTCATCATTTTTTAAAACAATGTCTACAGGTAAGATGAACACACCTGTGAGCTTGGGTCCTTGCTACGCTGTGCAGATAGAAAAGCTACAGACATGAAGTAGTCTTCCCAGGCTAGATAGTCCAATCTCTTGGTGGCTTGTCCACTGGTGGTATTACTGCTTTGATGAAAATAAAAGACGAGCACTTTTCACTATGGACCTACAAAGTACAATCTATACGGTATGTAAATCTACTAGACCCCTTAATAAGGTTATATCAATCATGGCAAGTAAATCAAGACCATCATTTTCTATATATTTAAAGATAAACTTTAGTACTGGTAATGCGATTGCATTGTGAAAGAAAAGGTGTGGAAAGGATCAGAAACAGTTGATCATGTAGCATGTAAGTATCGGTGTGCACTGCAAGGTTCTGGAGTCATCAAAATCATAATAAATTTGACCGAGTCTTGGTAAAGTAACAAGCACATACACAGAAAGCTATGTATGGGACAACACGCATGGTGTCGGGGCTGGTACTACCTTGATTCCTTGTCTTCTATGCTCATTACTCAGCCAGTATACATTTTCTTCCAAAATTGTTTGGCACATGTCATTTACTTGTAATCTTGAACATTCAGTGTAAGTTTCGTTTGATTCTGTGAGAAATAATTTTCTTTTTTTTACCAGTGGCAGTAGACCCTACTCAAGTTTATCTTTAACTCCAAATCCGGGCAGTACCGGTATTCTTCCAAAATTTCTGGTAAAGCCTAGATTTAAGGTAAACAGGGTCTCAACTTGACAACAGTACAGTGTTGGCAATCTGGATAGCATTGCACAAGTTGAGTTGATTTTACTTCAGTTAATTTTGTATTGGAAAAGTTAGTCAATTTTTTAACACATTTTCATGGGGTGTAAAAGTTAGACCTCTACTCAGCAAACATTTTGTGAAATGCTGCCCGGATGTCTAAACTTACCTTGGTTCACTCTTCTCATTTTGATTGACATCTGCACTCTTTGACTTCAGCGTCAGGTTATTTAGCTTAGTTGGAGTAACATTGGCAATCTCTTCTGCAGCTTTGCTTGGGAAATGTTTTGGTTGTCGTGGTGGTGTCTGCATCATGTTGGTTGGTTTGAGGCCTTTCCAGAATAAAACAGCTCTTGAAGATATACAACTTAGATTAGACCTAGATCTAGAAGGCAATCCAACAGTCAACACTCGATTCACTCTCTAGGGGAAGACTTCAGAATTCAGATAAACTCTTGTCAGGTCAGGTCTATGCAGATCACGCAAACTAGTCTATAACAACACAGCACCACTGCCACTGGTGACATCAACTAGCAAGTGGCATGATCATGACCAACTTGCAAAATTGTCATCTTTGCATGTGATTATGGGTGTCAAGTCAGGTCGGGACAGTAGTCTATAGACTTCACATCTCTATACCGTGACGTAAACAAAGCTTAGTTGGCGAAGGCCTTGGGAGGTCAACATCAAACAGACTCTCTTCGTGCTGCTGACACAAGTACACATCTACGTACGTGGGCGTATTAAACATCCACACATGCACACATGTCAATGGTGTTTTCCCTTTTTCCCGCGGCAAACCAGCTGGCGCAGCCGAGCTACATGCACTTCCTGTAGGTCATGGACGGACTCGACGAGGTCAACAATGCACGCAGTCTTCTTACTTTTAATCTTTAGGTTGAGAAGCAACGAGAGTCCATTTTCCGAGCATCTAAAGTTCCTAAAAAAACTCTCTTTCGGCTGTCAGATGAGTTTTTACACGTCCACAAGAACTTCAGAAGAAGGGCGAAATGTATGAAAAAGCAAGTGCTTTTGATCGTATTTTCAGAAGTTTGCTGCTATCCAAATTTTTCACCAGAGGATGGGGGAATCCAGCGACAATCAAACGGTGAGTAGAACGGAGCCGCCCCGCTCCACCGGCCTACGATCTCGCACGCACGCACCTCCTTTTGCCAGACGGCAAATGCAATGGGGCGGGTCAAAATAAGAAAGAAAGACAAAGAAAAGGAAAGAAAAGGGATCTGAACTAAGATTTGAAAGAGAGGAAGAACATGATAAATGATAAACATGAATGATGAATGCAGGCAATGCAGCTTTGGAATGGTGTAAAAGCTAGACTTGAATTTAAAAGTTAAAAAAAACTTTAAAAAAGTTGAATAGATCTATTAATTTATTAATATTAATAATATAATAATTAATAATAAGATACAGATGCTGAGTAAGACTGAAGTAAAACTAAAAGGTACAAGAAAGAAGAACAAAGTTGCTCAACTGAGCCTTTGTTCTCACTGCTTGTCACTGCTTCTCACTGTCACATGCACCAATTGTGTGAGGTCTTGACTGGGTTGGGCAAATTAAAACTTTTCTTCAGACTGAACTAAAAGCAGAAGAAAAGTTCAGAGTCGGCAAAATGAAGAAGGGATAATGAAGAAAACAGAAATTAATCATGAAGAATGATCAATAAAGAAAGTGAGTAAGTCAAGTCCTACCTCATGATTTAGACTTGGGTCTGTCTATGATCAATAGATGAATGGTAAAATTATGTGCAATGATGTGCATGCACTCTTATTTGTTTAATATCTTGTACTGAAATAGTGAAATGAAGTACCTGGATAATCAGGTCAAAAGCTTTCAATTTGTTAATATGAGGTCAATGTCACTGCAATAAAGCTAACCAAACACTATATACAATCCTTCTGCAATCCAATTTTCTAAGAAATGTAAATTAAACATTAGATATTGAACTTGAAAGTTAAACAAATTCATCTTCCAAAATGAGATTCGGAATGATCATCTGTATACTAACAACTTGAATTCTAGTGCATTGCAGCCTTTTAAAGTTTTACTGAGTTAGAATAATCAACTTCAAATTGTAGACAATCAGGCAACTACATTTAGTCTGGACTCTGAAGTCACTTCAATTCTCTGTAAGATTTAGATATTTCTCGAAGCAAGAAAGCCTGAAATGTTATTATTCACATGAATTTTCAGAACATTGATCATTAGATTTTACATGTTTGGATGTCCATATCAAGTGCTTTTGCAAATTCTTCGAAAATGGGTTCGTTCCCAGGCAGGTATTATGGTATGCAACAGACTTAAGATCTTTAAAAAATGACCTCAAATATTAATTTCTTGGAGAGTGGCTTCCCCCCCCCCCCCCCCATTGCAAGAAAAACAAGCTCTTCAAAGTTTGCAGTTTCCTTGTTAGCCATTCTGTCATCATAGTCAGCATGTCAGCATAGTAAATATCAATTGACCTGCATAATGCAGCTGATGGTGTTGCAAAATGACTGGCTATTGTACAGCCAGGGCCATTGGCAATTTGGCATTGATGCAAACATCAGCCATCTTGTTACTCCAGCATCTGAAACATGATTTCTTGGAGCAGTTCTATGTACCGGTATGTCTTTGTATTTTTTTTTTAAACAAGTGGCTGAGCTTTGTCTGAGTAAGCAACAACTTTTGTATGCCAAATGTTGCTTGACAAAAGAAGCTGCTCAACTGTTTGAAACAGCTAAACTTCCTAAGCTGAACCAAATATCTTGTCTAAATATGTTATCAGAGAACATCCATTCATTTGAATGCATAACAAAATAGTTGATTGTTGGGAAATAATCATGCATTTCACAGGCAGATGTTCTAAATACTGTAGCTGGAATACACATCAGTGGGTATCTAAGAAGTTGTCACTATGAATATGACGGACAAAGAAAGCGGACAAAATATACAGTTCCTCACACTATGAAAATGACGCACAAAGAAAGCGGACAAAATATACAGTTCCTCAGGTAGACAAAGGAACATCCCTTCACTGCTATTATGTAAAAAGGTGAATATGCATGTGACACCTGTTCTACACATTTTTACATAATAGCAGTGAAGGGATGTTCCTTTGTCTACCTGAGGAACTGTATATTTTGTCCGCTTTCTTTGTCAGTCATATTCATAGTGTCATTCTACACTCAACACTTTCTGCGGTAGACAAAGGAACATCCCTTCACTGCTATTATGTAAAAATCTGTAGAACAGGTGAATATGCATGTGACACCTGTTCTACAGGTTTTTTTACATAATAGCAGTGAAGGGATGTTCCTTTGTCTACCATAGCAATTGTTGAGGGTAGAATGAGGAACTGTATACTTTGTCCGCTTTCTTTGTCCTTCATAGTGTGTACTCTTACTTCACCATTTCAATCACAATGTCGACTCTACCACAGGAGAATGGCTAGCACAGAAACTGCAAAACTGTGGAGAGATTGTTTCCATTGCTAAGTATTCAAATACACAAATGTAGGAGTAATTTCAAGATATTTTGAAGTGCCATACTATTTTTATTAAGACTATCAGCTATTTCACTGTCAGGTGTTTTATCATTTCTCTGGCAGGGATGTTCTGATTAAATTATTACGCATGTACATTTTATGTGTGGGTCGGTTGCTAGGACTTTGCCTGAAAAATACTTTGCATTGTCATGGTAGAGCACTTCTGCACTCAATGCTAGGTTGGTTGAGTATCAAGCAAGCTAGGGCAAGGTGGTGTATGTTTGTACAAGTGCAGCCATTTTTGTTTGAATGTGTTTGGCATCATGATTGCTGCAAGGTTTTTGCTGCGCAATGCTTACCAGAGGGCAATGTCTAGATGTCAGAGCAGACAGCCTGCTGATCCAGCCATTTTTATTATTTCACAAACAGACTGTTATTTTGTTTATAAGTTATCAAATGAATATCCAGGTAAATTTATGATTTGATATTAATCATTAACATTTTATGAGCTCGTACACGTACATGTAGCTATAATAAAGTAGTATAAATGGAAGTGGCACCTACATGTAGTATAAAAACAGTTTTATTGCATATTGAAACACTTATTATGGCATTCTCATTCACTTTGTACGTAACAGTTCATTGCATGCTTTGCCTATGGTGGATTCCACCTTCCCTTAGACATTACACACAAGTGTTGGTGTACACACTCAATAACTACATGCTAATTTCTGAGAAGGCCCTTACTTTTTTTGTATTGAATACTATGAATAGTTTGTATTTCTCATTTATGAGAAGAAAGTGATTCTGTATAGACATTCATATTTTTTGTAGGTATTGGATTTGACAGTTATTTCCGTTATCACATGTACATTATCTAGAATAAGTCATAATGTTGCAGATTTTTTTGACAGCCCTTTACTTTGTTATTTTAATAATGTAACAAATGCTCTCAGATAAACTTTTTTATTCCAAAAATATAAATATCTATTTTTTAGATGACCATTTTTATTCTTGATTTTGAGGCAGCAACTGTCTTTAACCTTGCATTATAAGTTTACAATTTATGTCTTGACTGCATGTATTCAATATTGTGATATGGTGAGGATCCACAACACCTCTTGAAGGAAGTCTGACAGGAAAGTTATGTAGGAGTACACGGTCAAATTGAATGACCTTTTACATCAGTGGGTCAGGTCTAAGTAATGGTTATCAAAGGGCGCGTTCATGCTTGATTTTGAAGGCAGAATGAGCGATTTGTAACGCTCATCGTAAACGCTCATCGTAATCGCAGTTCCACGGTGCACTGTTCATGCTCACTTCTCCAGGCAATTCTCCTTGGGTGGCCTTCAGCTGGATTCGCAAACCTGTGTGCGCATGTACGTAGACCCACTAGAGGTCAGTGCGTTGACCCCATTTAAACGCGTTTACAAATTGTAAACGCATCTTTTTGTGAGTTTACGATCGGCGATCGTGATCGCCGTTTTTCGGTGATTCTACAAAAGTGAGCATGAAGTTTGAACGCAAGCGTGTTTTAAAATAAACGCGTAACAGATGCCTGATTCTGGCCGTCAAAATCAAGCATGAACGCGCCCAAAGAAAGAAAACCAATTTCCTGTTTTTCACTTGACCTTAGACGGAACTTCAAAAAACCTGTATGGTATATGAAGTTAAGTAGAGTACAGTGAAAAACTGAAAATCGCTTTAATGTTACCTGCATAGAAAAGGCCACCTGTCTATATAGACCACATTTTTGTTTCCCCTGAAAGTCTGAAACCATGTTTCTCTTTGACATATTTGTTAAGATAAACCTGTCTAGAAAGATCACATGCCATAAAGACCTCTATTTATGTCTCCCTTACGCCGTCTCCAATTATACAGGTTGAACTGTACTAGCCTCCCCCCATTTGTTTAAATAGTTTGTTATTGTAATCATTAGGTTACTTTTCATGTTCTTTTTTCATGTTCTTTTTGATCTTGCAGGCAATTTGATTTTCTGAGAGTTCTGGCAGACCGTTCTTCGTGTCAACGCCTTGTCAATGAACATTACCCAGTCAACATAGACAGTGTAAGACATGATTTTTCAATATTTTCAATTGTTTTGTGATGACATTCTATTTGTAAACATCTTAAACGATGGCCTAGCTACTAAAGTGGAAGGTGGACTCTGGAATCGCAAATAAATGCTGAAAAAAGGAAAGAGAAAGAGATAGAGAATGAGAGAACGAGAGATATGGAGATGGGAAAGGTACAATGACAAGAAGATAGGATGATACCATGCCCATTCTCCTCCCGAATTGTTAGCCTTGTTCTATATCATTTTATTCTCCAGATAACCTCCTCCCCTCTCGCCCGTATGGCTGGGTTTATGCTACACCATTGTCATTTAATTGGACAAATAATAAGAATGTTAAGAATGTTTGAAATGTAAAATCACTAAATCTTTGTGAATCTCAAATTGGCAATTTAGCCAGTGGATTGCGACTTATTCATGGTGAACTCTCCAGCTCTTGGTCACTTCTAAAAAATCATAAATTTCTGTTTTTTCTTTAGTAAGCACCATCTCCTGTGGTGCACTGACTATATATTATAGGTAGCAGATTATTATATGCCCTCCAAATAGGGCTCAAATTAAATTAAATTAAATCACGGGGGCTCTTTTAGTGCTGACGGGGGCTCTTATTTTAATACAAATTTCCATTGGATTGATACCCATTAGTTAGTAGATATAAGGTAGATGCAGGCGCGGATCCAGCGGGGGTGAGCGGGCCTTGCCCCTTCCCCCCCCCCCCTTCCGCAAAAGAGAGAGAGAGAGAGAGAGAGAGAGAGAGAGAGAGAGAGAAGGAAAAGAGGGAAAAGAGGGAAAGGGGAAGAGGAGAGAAAGGGAAAGAAAGAAGAGGAAGAAGAAATGAAAAGGGGGAAGGAGACTGAGGGGGGGGGGGGCGAAAGGGCCTTGCCTCCCAGGCTTTTGCCTCCCCCCAATAAAACAAAATACGAGAGAAGGAAGGAAGGAAATGGAAAGAAAAAAGGAAAAGAGGAGATAAAGGGAAGGAAAATTGAGGAAAAGTAAAGAAAAGAAGGGGGATATCATGCAGTTGCAATTTTCCCGCCAACAAGTTGCGGATGGGGATGGGTCAAAAGGCCTTTGCCTCCCCCCGCCCCCGCTAAAAAAAAAGAGAGAGAAGGAAGGAAAAGGAAAAAAGGAGAGCTAAAAGGGACCAAAAAAGAGGAAGAAGAAAAAAAGGGTGAAAAGAATTTCGATGCGGTGTTCGAGTAGAATTCTGTGAGATGATGATATACTTTCTCGTAGCTTGATGTGACGAAGTGTCTCTATCCAGATATCTGTTGATAGTATAATAGAATATAGAAGCCTGATATGACCTTCTGCTCGTAACCGACAAGTCACCGTGTTAAAATTAAATTGCAAAAAGTGTTCAACAACACGATGGTGGATGAAACTTTCTAACATTCAAAGATATATGACCTTCAGACCATATTGTTTCATTATTTTTTATTCAATCAATCAACGTCAAAGAATTGATTTATCATCGCACTTCAATCTATTATTTCACCTTTTAATGTACTTTCATTCTTATGCATCACGAAAGAACACTGAATTGGATTCTTCAATGTTTGTTTTGATTAATTTCCTCCCCTTTCCTTCTCCCTGTTTAATACTGATAAAATTTTCAATTTTTCTTAATCAGGGCAAAATATTATTTTCATATTTTCTTTATGCAAGACAGGGAAAGAGAGAGAGAGAGAGAGAGAGAGAGAGAGAGAGAGAGAGAAAATTAAGTGAGAATTATCGAGTACAACTATGAATTGCATCCTTTTCAATATCATTCAATTCGCTGAAAATATTCAGAATATGAATATGATAAATCCACATAATACACCAACGCTGATCAACGCATCCAATGCTCCAACCATAGCCCATATGTCAATGCACCATATTTATCAAATATGAAAAGATTTTTAATTAAATTTGAAGAAAAATCAAATTTACAATGCACTGACAGGCATCAGTTGAAATCATGATTTCTCTGTGACTGGATTAGCACTAGTTTCTGAGGGACCAGTCACTGAAGAGGAGATAAAGGGAAGGAAAATTGAGGAAGAAGTAAAGAAAAGAAGGGGGATATCATGCAGTTGCAATTTTCCCGCCAAGAAGTTGCGGATGGGGGTGGGTCAAAAGGCCTTTGCCTCCCCCCGCCCCCGCTAAAAAAAAAGAGAGAGAAGGAAGGAAAAGGAAAAAAGGAGAGCTAAAAGGGACCAAAAAAGAGGAAGAAGAAAAAAAAGGGTGAAAAGAATTTCGATGCGGTGTCGAGTAGAATTCTGTGAGATGATGATATACTTTCTCGTAGCTTGATGTGACGAAGTGTCTCTATCCAGATATCTGTTGATAGTATAATAGAATATAGAAGCCTGATATGACCTTCTGCTCGTAACCGACAAGTCACCGCATTAAAATTAAATTGCAAATAGTGTTCAACAACACGATGGTGGATGAAACTTTCTAACATTCAAAGATATATGACCTTCAGACCATATATTGTTTCATTATTTTTTATTCAATCAATCAACGTCAAAGAATTGATTTATCATCGCACTTCAATTTATTATTTCACCTTTTAATGTACTTTCATTCTTATGCATCACGAAAGAACACTGAATTGGATTCTTCAATGTTTGTTTTGATTAATTTCCTCCCCTTTCCTTCTCCCTGTTTAATACTGATAAAATTTTCAATTTTTCTTAATCAAGGCAAAATATTATTTTCATATTTTCTTTATGCAAGACAGGGAAAGAGAGAGAGAGAGAGAATATGTTAAGTGAGAATTATCGAGTACAACTATGAATTGCATCCTTTTCAATATTTTTCAATTCACTGAAGATCTTTATTTTATAATTCCACGGAGGCGATTTTTAATTTTGCAATCGCCCCCGTGGACAACCTGATTGGGGCGATTATGGAGCTCACGGGGGCGAATCGCCCATCGCCCCCGTGTATTTTGAGCGCTGCCTCCAAAAGAAAAGATCATCCATAAGTTGTAATACATTTTGAATATTTTGCATTTTATCCACTCTCTATAATTTTAACAAATGGCAGACTAGCAATTCACAAATTCAGCCATTTTTGAAAGTCCCATAAGTTTTAATGATGATAACTTTGAAAAAAGGCCACTCTTCAAATCCATTTCTCTGTACCCATCACAGGATGTGGAGAAGGGTGATGTCCGGATCGTTGATGGGAACTTCAGGTCCCCATTTGACAGGTACCTTCCTGATATCATGCCAAAGGAGGTCAAAACAGCAAGGTGAGATGCTTTTAAAGGGAGTGTAGCTTGGCAAATACTGGTTAACGCCATCTATGACTTCTTTTGAACAACTGCACATAAACTAATAGACTTGATTATAATGGTCGCCCTAGCGTTCGCGAAACAGACCAAAGTTCTCCTCACGCATCGATTTCTTGTATGTTGCACGCACGTGAATACTGCGGTTGCGTCGTCTGTAGACATATTATACCCGATTGGCCCCAAGTCAGGCCACAGGAAAGACACATTGTCTCGTCATGCTACACCCCCTGTAAATCTTTAAAAAATTGGTTCAGTGTATGCCATGTTTGTACATTCAAATAATGTGAACACAATAAACTTTAGAACTGTCTGAAGCCACGACTTGTAGCAGAGTTGCTTTGGATAATTCTAAAGTTATCAAGAATGCTAATGTCAACTAGCGAATGAACGACAGCTGTATGTTAATTGTTTTTTATAAAAATGTGAATAAATGAATGCTAATCAGCCAATTTGCATGTGATGTAACCTATGAACCTCACTGCCCTTGCCTGTCAATATGCCATTTTTGTAATGTAACCAAATTTAGTACGTAAGTATTTTTGAAGTTCCTCAATACAAATTATTTCATTCACCTGTTTAATAGTAGTATTTCAATAGACAGAATCCGAACTGCATACATTAGTTGTTGCCAGGTAGGACAGATTTTATGGCTTGATCTACCTAGCAACACTTAATATATGCAGTTCAGATTCTGACTATAGGAATACTTTTATTCTTATCAGGTGAATGAAATAATATATATTGAGGCCCTTCACAAAGACTTATGCATTAAATTTGGTTACATTACAAAAATGGCCTATTCAGGTGGAGGCCCTATTCTTGTACTTGAATGCTTTGCAAAAGCTATTGCATTCACCTTTCAAAAAGTGGTTGTATTTGAGAAGTCAGAAAACAGATTGCATGCACTAGGTGCTGGTGTTTTAGAAAGCCTAACACAAGGTATTATAAAATAGTCATGCACTGTTTATGATATATTCCTACACTAGTATTGTGACCTCATAAAAGCTATTGCATGGAGAATACAGATGGCTGTAGAAGAGGCCTTTATTGAGTTCAATTTCATGTGAAGTGGTCTGTCTAACACGGGGGCTTCTTGTTTTACAATATGGAAAACTTCTCCCCAATCTACATTTAGTTGTGAGGATACACTACACTAGTTATAGCTAAAATCATGTGTAAGAATACAGTTATTTCATGACTGTTGATTGATTTTCCAGGTTTCAACTGATAGTACCCACACAATGGCGCACCGAGAAGAAACCAGTGTGCATCCACATGGCAGGAACAGGCGACCATGTAAGTATATGTAGCTATCACACTTACTTAAGGAAGGAACTCTAGATACCATAATAGGAATTCAGTGGGGAAACTGAAATCATGTTTGTTTCTTACTTGTTACTAAGTAAATGTAATGTACTTGACAGATTTTAAGCCTATATTGAAGAAAGACGTGACTCATCTGAGGACCTACACATTGTACTTTTAAAGTTATCCAAAAGACGTATGCCCGCCCCCCCCCCACTCAGTGATATTTAGGGTATGCATAAGCGTGTTCCCAGCACCCCCCCCCCCCCCTTTTCAGCAAAAGTCTGGTGTGTAAATTTGATACGGGTAGACCTTTTTCTTTTGTTATACAAGCCTTTTTAGCAAAAGTCCGGTGTGTAAAGTCAACGCGGGTAGACCTTTTTCTTTTGTTACGAGCCAGAGATTTTGGGAACATGCATGGTATCCCTCCGTTCCCAGAGTGGGGGGGGGGGGGGCCGGGGATGTATGTCAGTTTTTAATTGTGGTCAGTTAGAACACTGGTAGGTTCTAGGTGAAGATGGAGAGCTTACTACTTTATAAAATCACTTTTAAACATTTTTGATGGTTCACAAATCTGCAGTGGCTATATCTAGAGAGAGGGGGAGGATTTTTTTTAAGCAGTTCTACCTAATGCCTCAGTCACACCTTTGCGTATTTGGCTTGCGTATTGCTGCGTATTTATGGCAAGCCGTTTTAACATTTATTCCTATTTCATGATATCAAGAATTACCATCGGTTTACAACAGAAAATAATTTCTTAATATCAAGAAATAGGAATAAATGTTAAAACGGCTTGCCATAAAAACGCAGCAATGCGCAAGCCAACTACGCAATGGTATGACTGAAGCATTAGGCTTTAAAAGGGCTGAGAGACATACACGTACCGATACATTGAAAAAGTTTTAAATTTTTAAAAAGTTAACAAAAGAAGAATTATTAGAGATATTAATGATATTTCTATGTCATAATATGGAACTATTTAACAAAAAAACAAAAAATTAGTAAAAGAATATGAAGGTAGAAAATTAAATTTTGTTTCCCCCTTCCAAATATCTTGTAATGTGTGATGTCTTTATTTTCAGTTTTTCTGGAGGCGGAGAACGTTCCTTGCCAGGCCTCTCATCAAGGAATATGGTATTGGATCATTGCTGATTGAGAATCCTTTCTATGGATACAGGAAGCCCAAAGAACAGCTGTAAGTACTCAAAGAGGCATCATAGACAGGTTTACCAAATTTTCAGATTTATGGATGTTTCTTTCCTGGGGACCTATTGACAAGATTTCCATTAAGCTGCTGATAATGAATGAACTACAATACTTGGAATCCAGTGGGCATACATTACACTTTGCTATATCAGGCAAGCGACAAGATTTCAGATTGTCAAGAGCAACCTTTATTTAAAAAGACTCCATTCATCTTTTCAATTACCGTTTGAGCCAGTAACTACAATCTATGTGTCATCAATAAACTTAGCAATAAAAACGATGCCGGTAATAATTATACTACTCAAAATGGTAATCGATAATAATAATAATAATAATAATAATAATACAAATGACAATAATAATGATTTATGTATTTATTATCATTTTAAGATTTACTATGGAATAATCATTGATATTAAATAATTTAGCTTCATATTTTGTAAAATGGAATCTGATATTACCTCTTTAACCACCATATATACCGTGGCTTACATATATATTACCTCATCTATTGTATGTTTATCATATGTGTATGTTTATCACTGTCCTGTAATATTTCATTTATATATCTGTATCGCAATACTCTGTAACCAGTGGAAAACAAATTTCCTGAAAAGGACAATAAATTACTATACTTATAAAATTTGAATAGGTTAATAGTAAACCAGTAAACACAGTTCATATTTCTGGACATGGAAGATAACGATAGTTTACAGAAATCATACTTCATAATGAAAGAAACAGATTACCTACCAATATCTTCCAGAGTCTTGTAGTTTTCCAAACTGCATTTTTCTATCTTACCCAAATTACTTCTTCTAAATGAATTCTTTGGCTTGAATTCATAAAGATTTTTTTTTACCTTGGTCTTGTAACCTAAAGCTTAGCAATTGATCCTATGATTGCATATAGTGATCAATGCCATCAATCATGAAAATCAATTGTGGGATCCATTGCTATTAAAGCTTTGCGTTATGGTTTAATTAAGTTCTTTTATTTTTAAAGCTTTAAAGCTCCACTACACTACTTATAGCTACTTGCGCCCTGTATATAGCAAACAATGCCTAATTAGTGACCATTGGCCCCCCATGATCCCCTTTTTCTTATGTTGATTGAGAGCTGATTTGTTGAGATAACCACCTTTCAGTGACCATGCAGGGAGGTCTAATCCCTCCTGGTCAAACTAGTGCAGTGGGGCTTTAAGAGGGAGCTCATGCAACCAGACCCCCAAAAATGTCATTCCTGATCCCTTGCAAGAAAAGGTTTTACCATACGATTTTATTTTCAGACGGTCCAGCTTGCGGCATGTGAACGATCTGTTTGTGATGGGAGGAGGTCTAATCCTAGAGGGGTTAGTTATGCTACACTGGTGTGAGAAGCAAGGCTTTGGACCACTGGGCCTTACAGGGATATCAATGGGTGGACATGTGAGTCAGTCTAATTCAAATCATTTCATAATGTTATGGGGCATTGTCAGAGTGGGGGGGGGGAGGGGTGACACCCCCTATTAAAATTGTTTTGGTTGGCAAACATTTTTACAGTCTGTCAACAAATCTCAAAAACTGCTTGTTAGGATGAAAATATTAGCATTTATCACATATGATAAAACAACATCCATTATTTTCCTTGTCAGCAAACGGCATAACTTAAATGTTGTGTTTTAGTATTCAGTTTTCTTTTGGCTTCTTTCATGAGCCTTAAACTAGCAAAAAGTGTTGGGTTTCGTAGTTTCACAGTAGACTGCCTATTCTTGATTTAACTTCAAATCTTGTGTACATGAAATCTGTTTGATATTTTCAGAATTTCCAACATAAAAAATTATGATTTAGTTTTCTCTTAATATTGCAATATCATCTACCATTTGACCCTAGATGGCATCTCTAGCTGCAACCAACTGGCACAAGCCCATCCCTCTGATCCCCTGTCTGTCCTGGAGCAGTGGTACCCCTGCCTTCACCAAGGGGGTGCTGAGTGGGTCCATCCCCTGGCCCGTCCTTGTAACCCAGTACCTGGGCCAACACTTGGAGTATGAGAGGGAGATTATGGGCAAGCTTCACAAGTGCCCAAAGGTAAGAGAAGGTGAATGAGTCAGAGTGTATGGTTTTACCAAGGATTGGGAGGAGGGGCAAAGATGAAATAAAGGGAGTTCTGTCCTGGATCGGTGCTACCCCTGTCTTTACCGAACAGGTGCTGAGTAAAGTAAAAGTAAAGAGGGTTTCATCCTTGAAAAGCTCCTTAAGGAGGGAGTACTTTCAATCAATTATTGGTGTGGTGGGGTGCGACCAACTCTTTACAGTGCCCTAGGTTTGAGGGGGAGTGATGACAAACATCATTTTATATGCATCTACGACATAATGGACATTGGTTGGAATCTGTTCCTGAAGAGGGGGGTGTGTGTGTGTATTGTGTTTTTACAGACGTGTGTCAATCAGATATGATTATTTACGTCTGGGGTCAGACTTCTAAACGTCACCATCTGAAAGACGTGACTCAGTTTCGAACCTGCGTCCTCGGCTGAATCAGTTTGTAACTTCCACTGTTAGCTGGATTACAGGTGCACGCCACAACGCCTAAATGGGGGGGGGGGGGCTCTACCTTTTGGGGGATTTTTACACCCAGAATTTGTTTGTATCTGCTTATTGAAAAATCAGGTAAAACTTTTAATTTTCTTTTCTTTTCTTTTTGATACAGACGGATTCCTTCACACTTGGACAGGAGTTTGTCTGGAACTATCCAGAGAGTCTTGATGATCTCAACGGCATGCAACGATCTACAGACGACCAACGACCAAAAACACCTCAACCTTCGTATCACAATGACTTTAAAGCAACGCCGTGTGAGGATAATAGCAAGAGTTCCGCCCAGGAGTCCATTTTGAGTGCAATAGATAATAGGCCGATGGGTAAGCTGGACTTGCAAGAAGCCGTTGGGATTTCATTAAATGGCCCATCGAACGGACTGCAAGCCAAGCCTGGTATAGATAGATTTTGCAGAGACGATGAAAGAGTACACCCTACACATGACTCAGAGACACATACCCACAGCATGCAAAGCACCACCTGTAATGGATCATCCATACCAGATAGCAAACTGCATGCTCATCTTACAAACGTAGATGCAGATACCAACAAAGAATCAACTTCAGATAGGAAAGACAAAGAAAGCCATTTTCGGTTTTCCACAAATAGTGATCATACAGCGAAGACCACAGTATCGGAGGAGAGCAGTACTGCAGGTACAAAGAAGAAGAAGAAAAGAACGAAAATCACTGGTAAGCACCTCATGAATGCAAATAGTGGGGGTATTAATGTAACCATTGAATTATTGGCTTACTTTGGCAAAGTTGCTGTGACAGAATTATTGCAAGAGTAAAAACATTGGGTCTGAAAATTCTCCTGCTGCAGAATACTGTTTGAAATGTTTACCCACAAATGTTTTGAATTGATGTGATGTTGCAGATTTAACAGCAAGCTTTTTTTCAGCATATTTTGCTGACCTTAGATGAGACAAAATATGAAATAAAGTGACATTCTTATGTCAGTTCATGTTCACAATTCCATACCTTGGACTTTCAAGAAAGCTGTGTTAATTAATCACTCACTCTTTTTGGCAATTGGTAAAGTTCATAGCTGCTTAAAGGGGAGGGAGGTCCACCGGGCACCCTGATATTAAGTTCGTTTTAATAGAAGCAGAAAAATGAGAGGAACATGTCAGTTAAAGTTTGAGCAAAATCTTTTTTTTTAAAAAGTTGTTAATTTTGAAGTTGCGATCAATCAAACACAAATTGGCTACTCTGTGATATATCTTGCTAAGTTCCCTCCCGACCCCCCACTACGTGAACGGAGGGATACCATGCATCTTCCCAAAATGTCCGGTAAAGGGGTACTTTTCACGCACCAAAGTCTGGCTCGTAGTACACAAAAATCCGGCCCGTATTGACTTTACACACCAGACTTAGGGGGGTGTTTTCAAAAGGAGGCAACATGCATATGCGTACCCTAAAGAACACTGAGTTTGGGGGGGGGGCCGGGGTTCCCTCCCCTTTTCCCTGTACTAAATAATTCAAACATTTCTATTTTGCCTAAAGAAAATGTTCAATCATACACACACCCTAACTATAGTTATTGCATATGTGTTTCTGCACGACCCCTGTACGAAACGAAACTATTCCTTCATTAAGAACTAAGAAAATGAAAGGTTATGACATTTTTGTACAGACCAAATTGGAGAGGACTTCGCAATATATGTCAGTGTCTTGCCAATTTATGTTTGATTGATGGCAACTTCAAGAACTTTCACTAATCCGTTTCTCTCATATTTTTGCTTCTATTAAAACCAAATTAATATCAGGGTGGACCTCCCCTTTAAATGGTTTTCTGTAAATGCTATCAGCATAGCTGATAACAAGATATACAGTGCATTTATTAGAACCACTTCAGAGAATTTTTTTGAGGAGAAATCTACACTCTTTGCTTTTCAATATACCGGTATGTGTACGTTCACAGGGTCATGCATCGATGACCATGCACCATTTTCCAGAGGGATACGTCTTTGGAAAGCATAGAGATTTTCAGACTACCAACCTAGAACATTTACCCCCCCCCCCCCCCATTGGACCACTACCCTCCACCCTCAGGGACACTTGATACTTCACAATGAGCCCCCCTCCCCGTTCCCCTTCCCTGCGTGCCATTAATCTTTGTCTTCATTTCAGATATGGAGAACTACCAGGAGCTGAAGAAGGAAGCCTTGGAGTTTATGCGAGGGGTGATGGATGTGACTACCTATGTGGGCAACTTCTCAACCCCTGTAGATTCCAGCTTGGTGATCGTCGTGAGCGCGTTGAAGGACGGCTACATCCCAAGGAAGGGGGTCCCTCCACTAGATGACATCTGGCCAGGAGTCGAGGTGAGTCTGTCATTTTTCTTGTCCCTCTTTCAATGACAAGTGAACTATCTGTGATACACTTCTTTTTTTTTATCTCGATTCGAATTTAAAGCCCCTCTGCACTAGTTTGGCATGGAGGGATTACACCTCCCTGCAAGTTCACTGGCAGGTGGTCTCATCAAACCAGCTCTCAATTAACATAAGAAAAAGGGCATCAACGGGTACCGCTTAGGCATTGTTGGCTGTATAGAGGGTGCAAGTAGCTATAAGTAGTGCAGTGGGGCTTTAAAAGAAAAAAAATCTCCCAACAATGGTTACCAACATGCTGAATGTTGATGAAATTAATTTTCTCATTTGCAATATTCCTTGTTTGCTGATGAATCAGAAATCATGTAGTCATGTATTGTATAGAGCATTATGAACTAATCCTCTTTTAAAATCTTTGTTGCTCTTACAGGTTCGATACATTGAGGGAGGACACATTGCAGCCTTCCTCTTCAAGCAGTCAGAATTCAGGTAATTTTCTGAACAAGTTAAAATGAAGAATGGGATTGAGATGTGTTAAACCCTCCAAAACAAGCTGTAAATTATACAGGGGAAATTGACCAATTGATATTCCTCATATCAGAACGTGCAAAAAAAATGCACATACCGAGTGGTTTCTGCTCTTATCGAGGCTATTTAAGCATCAATGAATGCAATTTTTAATTTGTTAACGAAATGACAAATCTGCATTTGATGTATTTTATTCAAGAAATTATCGGTGAACAGTTGCTTCCTCTCAATCCCGCAATGATCATTCTTCTGGTTGGCAAAATAATAGGCTCAATGAGGTCGTAGAGGTCAGCATAGTAATTGACGAGGGGGTATAGTATGATAAATCGAATGTCCAATCACCTCCTCTTTTTCTCATATAGCGTTTAGGCCCAACATCATTCACTGTGCTTGCACAGTTTGTGTGGAACGATTTCGGGGCAAGAGAAAGTAATGCTCCTATGAACTGTCGTAGGCATGTAGAACAGTGAAACTGCTCGGTTTAACAGGAACGATTAACAATGTTTTACTTTTTGTAGGGCGCGGGATTCAGCTTGTAATAGCTGAATCTCGTTTTAAGAAGCTCATACGGCCATAGAATTACAAGTAAATTAGATTTGGCACATGATGATATCCTTGTTATAAGCGTTACCTCATTATATCGAGTATACCAAGCATGCAGTTTTTACCTGGGCCTATCCTTACATCCTTGTCTAAAAAAGGCTCTAGTATTCTACAAATTATTGCATAATTGATCTTGAATGATTATTTGCTTCATGCGAAACTGTCCTGTTTAGTATTCTGTGTAATTGACAAACTTCCTTTACCCTTTTCTCCTTCCTGCAGGAAAGCTATAAACGATGCCTTCAACAAGTACACAATCAAGTATGAGAGCGTACCCACGTCAGAGAGCAAAACGGACATAAAGTCATGACAGGAAAAGAACTAAATGGGAAGGATTTGGATAAAGTCAATTCCAAGCATTATGGAATGACATTTTCAGAATACGGAATATTCAATATTATGTGAAAGTATATCTTATCATATTAATTTTGTTCATAGAAGTTTTAATTTTAAGAACCGTATGATCTGATTGTTTTTATTTGATATAGAGAATGTATATACATATATCGCGTAACTTGTACCTTGTGTTCGTCTCTTCCGAAAGGTCTGAGAGTATAGAGTATAGATTTGTGTATTTCAGGGGTTATGCTATTTGATTTAGTTTTGGGGTTGCAGGTGGATGTATACACATTAATTGAAACAATAGTGCATGGCCATTTTGTGAACTAAATTCAACTTTTCTTGTGTATGTTTTTTTCTGAAATCATGCATGTTCATTTCCCTGTGCAGCTGTCAAATAAAAATCATGATTTCAGCAAATTTTAGTCTTGTACGTTTTAAATAATTATGTATATTTTTTTAATGTCATTATTCTGCCAATTGGATACGACAGTTCTTTAAAATGTATCTGAATCTACCTACCACCTGCCCTGGACAAGAGGAACGTGAAGGTCCACTCGTTCAAACATTTATTCCTATTTGTGTATATATCATATCAATAAATGTTAAAACGGCTTGCCATGGACACGCATGATTGTATTGTACAAGAAATGAAAAGTACAGCATCAAGTTCTTTCTGAATTTTGTTTTATTTTTCATAGTAATGTATTCAAAATTTCTGACTGCGTTTTAGAAACCTCTGCAGTAGTTTGGCCAGGTGGTTATCACATCACTCTGAATGACAGAAATGGGGGACAGCTTAATCATTGTTGGCTATATAAAGGGGGCAAGTACTGAAGTCCCACTTTAATTATTTCATTCACCTGATAAGAATAATAGTATTTCAATAGACCAAAATGAATACATTCATTGTTGCCAGGTTGGTCAAACATTATGGATGACCTACCTAGCAACACTTAATATATGCAGTTTGCATTCCGACTATCAAAATATTATTATTCTAACCAGGTGACTTAATAATTTGTATTGAGGCACTTCACAAAGACTTATGGCTTATTGGGTTAAATGACTTCTAACTCATTGGCAAAAAGGTTGTCACCCCTATTCGCCCGAACTTCTTCAATAGTCTGAATAGTTTGAAGATCAATAGACATGATTGAGGGTGTGTTTACATAATCCTGCCAATAATTTTTGGCTGCTTGTAACCAACACAATTTGATAAACATAGCTTACTAATGAAATATCAATTGACACCAAATTCTTCTCGTCAAAAGATTTTCTTTATACTACAACCCTTTCTGATGAATCATTTCATCTATTCTTGTTTTGTATAGCCATAGGTTTTCCTAGTTTGGTATGCCAAACCAGACAGATACAATGTAATTTTGAAAGGTTAAATGGGAATTCACTATTCAGAGCAAAATCTTGAAGAGAATAATTATAAGAAATTATTTCAAATGTGTTACTTGGTTACTATTATTTTCAACAAAGGTTGGATCTCGATACAAAATAGGTTTTAGTTTTATTTTAGTTTAAAGGTTGATTCTGAAAAAACAAGATAAAAGCATATATTACTCATCACAATTAGATGTCCCTGACTCGATTAAAAGAGAAGAATGTCATACAATGTAGCAAGAATCGTAAATATATCAAAATTACTACAACAAAATACAAATTTCGGTTTTGTAATATTTAAACCTAAAGGGAGTTCACATTTTGATAAATCAACCTTTTCAAAGTTTGTAGTTTCCTTCTTACCAAGCAAGTTGCCAGTTTAATTAAAACACTGATCTCAGAGGGTATACGTATCAACTGATCTGCATAGAATGGATATGGTGTTGCATAAGGAATGAAACTGTCTAAGCAAAATGGCAGACATCGTGTTACTCCATGTTATTAGAGAATATCCATTCAATTGAATGAATTACTGAAATGATCAGAAACTATTGCTATGCATTTAACTGGTGACTATTATTAAAATGGCAAAGGAGGAAAGTACAAAATTTGGAAAGTTCAAGAAATTTTTTAAACATGATATTCTATAATGATATTACCAGCTTAGGGTTACTTGGATTTAGTTTTCCTTACATAAAGCCCCGAAAAAAATATATGGCAAAAACATTAAATTCTACATCTTCTCCACAGGGTGTAGTCCTAGAATATCAAAGCACTTGGCCATGATGGCCGCGGTAGCTTCACAAAGCAGCAGGCGACCTGTGTCAACACTCTCGATTTCTCCTGCAATTATAATGGGAAAGAATGTACATCGTTAATAATAATAATTTAATCCAGAAGAATTCAAGAGTTATGTCAAATGTCTTTCTGAAAAATGGTGGGAGTTTTGTCCAAAGGCATGGGGCCCTTCTATTTTCATACATAATACAACACATTCATAGTGATTGTGTAGTTGTTCTCCAGAGTACATAAACTGAAGCTGAAAATTATCTTTCTATTCTAGCTACCGTAATGGTTATTATTAGTACTTTTACGCACATGGTAGAAGCAAATTCCATGACCTGTTATTAACTTTTCACATGACCGGGGGGGGGGGTTTCACAAAGAAATTTACTCTAAATTGGACTCATTAAAGGAGAGCCATTTGTTAGCCTTAAAAGACAATATATTCAAAAGCAGAAAATCAATTATTTTTGACTTTTCATAAATTCCACATCAAGAACATATGATTGATTTAAATTAACTTTTACAGAATATTTTCAAAGACGCTAGCGGCTTTCCATAATTGTTAAGTCCAACTTAGAGTTAAGTTCCACTTAGGATCTTTGTGAAACGCCCCCAGATGAGTACCATTTTGGTATGGGTTGCAGCATGTGAGTTGTAAACTACTACCTCATAACACAGTATTCTCACTTGCTTTCGGGACAATTGCTCCGCATTTTGTACACTATACCCAACCCTAAACCCTGGTCACCATTCGTACCTGTCTGTTTATTCTTCACGATGCAATAGCAGACTTCGTAGAACTCTGTGAACGTGTTGGCCACCTCGTACAGATAATCACAGATGCCATGGATGAAGAGGTCGTCCAGCGTGCGGGAGATGACCTCAGGGAACCTTGCAAGGCACTTTGCTAGCTTCCATTCCTTGGGGTGCTCGACGGGGATGGACGTGGTCTTGGCAGCCTCCTTCAGGGTCTCGGCCAGCACCTCGGCTTTCCTAGAGATCGACCTGTAGATTGGAAGCAAAACAATTCTCTTTGAAAAATGCTATACAAGAACCATACACGGGTCTCCAGAAAAACCTTTCATGACAACTTTCATACAACTAGAACATTCATTATTAATATTATTATGTTAAAAATAAACATGGTATAAACAAAAGAATCCTACATTGAATCAGGAGGCCTACACACGTAATAGTAAAGAGATAAGGAGAGATAAATGTACAAAGGAGAGAGAGAGAGGGGGATAGAATGATGTGAATACTAAATACAGTGGTAAAGAAAAAAGAGCCGAGAGAGAAAAAAAACTAGCGGTAGACCAAGACGGTGTCTGCAAAATTGGATGAAAAAGATGGGGCAATTTTTCAACAAATGGCACAGTTTGCCAATGCAGGAGAATGAGGGAAGTAAATGAACGGGTGTGCCAGAAAATTGTTGTGACTTAATTTCACGAACTATATGCAAACTTGGAGCAATGATTTTCATTTCATTGCGTGCCACTTCACTGCATATCACAAAACTAGGACAAAAATTCATCCAAGCATGAGAAAATATATTTTATCTGCTGAGGGCCTGTAATGTCACTTTAATAAAGATGATTTCAACCAACAAACTCACCTGATCCTGGTGTAAGCATAGAGAAGATAGACGGCCGTATTCCCCTTGTCTTCCAACATCTAAGCACAAAATGAACAAAACATAAACATCTCAATAAACTTGTGTTTTCAAATTTATGGATTTTTATAATCATATGGATAGCATTTTTATGGAGGAAATCTACTTTGCACTAGGACTGTTGCTACATGAGACAAGCTTGTTGCTAGATTTTGGTTGAAAAGGGCACTCCTCCTGTTCAAGGAATATGCAGTATATACAGCAGTAAATTAGTACATAATACAAATCCTCAAAGAAATTAGTATTGATAACCTGCACTTATCCAACCCATTTCTAGCATTTGAATAAAGGGAACACGATGTAAACTGAGATTAGGATCGTGTCAAAGGATGTCGGTGCTGTGGCAGGAACTTGAACCCCAAACATCATGATTCAGTCCAGTGACTTAACCACTAGACCACAACATGTATTTGCTTAAAGTTGCCTAGTACAGTCAAACCTGTCTATAGCGACCGCCCAAGGGAAACACAAAAAGTGGTCTTTGGAGACAGGTTCCTTTATTACATGTTTCAAGGGCTTTATAGACAGGTGGTCACTAAAGCAGGTTTAATTTAAAATTGTGCAGTTTCTGAAAGTTTTCATTCTTCAGAAGATGGGGTTTTCCTTCATTTTGAAAATAAAAATCTGAAAGGTTGCCAATTTGCTTTACCTTATCGAATGAGAAGATGTAGTCGTTGGTCCTACGATGGCTAAGGTCAGCGTACTTGATGCATCCATAAGCTACAGACTCCTGGGCTGCTTTGAGTTCTTCAGCCGTCAGTACCTGAAAATATTGGAATATCGTCGGGTTACATCAGTTTATACCATCCAAGGTGCTAAAGCATGGTGAACCCAAAAAAAACATGCCAAGAGCAAATCCCCCCCCCCCCCTCCCCTCAAAAAGGGAAATAAATATATGAATAAATACTTTCAACCTACAAATTTAATTTTTGTCCTCCCAAAACACCGCTAGGGATGACATAAGGCCACATGTGTGTTCCAGTTAAGTTGGACTAATAATGCATGCACTTTTAACCTGCAAAATAAGCCAGTTTGTAAATAGCTTCGGTATGCATGACCTTTAAAAAATCCACATAACTTTTAAACGATAGATATGTCCCACTTGTGAATTTTAGAATAATCACTGCTGAAGTGATGGAGGTGCTTCCAGAATACCTTTTGTTCGACTCTTGAGAAGAATACTTCCACCTGTGTATCAGATAAATGTACTGTCGGTGCATAAATAAATACTGATTGCATAATTTTCATGATTCGTCTCGATGGGTTTTACAATTTGGAAAAAAATGACCTTTATCTGCCCATGCGAATATAGTGTTTATGAACTGGCTTATTGCTTTGAATCCTCCAGAAGATTGGTACATGTTGGAGTACTTTGACCTATTGACCTAAGATTTGACCTTGAAATTGACCTTGTGGATCATTTGACCTTGATTTTTTTTTCAAGAAATGTAATCTCTGACATGTAGGAATTTGAGGAAAGTGGTCTTAATATATGCAGGTTCTACAGACTCATTTCAATGAGAACCTCTGCCTGAGGGCAACAAACATGTGGTCTTTCTATACAGGTGGTCGCTATTAAAAGCAGGTTTGACTGTACCTTATCTCTACCCTTCTCCTTGAGTGTTTCCAATGATCGCCTCAATCCTTCATCCAGGAGCGATACCAGTTTAACTACATCTCCGGAGCGGGTCTTGAACTTCTTCCTGGAATTGAAGAAAAGATTGCATTTTTTTTGTAAACACTTACAAATCTTTTGTATACAAAAATGATGTAGTTTCATGCTTACTTTTTAACAGAATTTAACTTTTCCTGAAACTACACTCTGGGCCCTAGCCCAGCAAAAAGAATCTGAAGAAATGTAAAAGGTTCTTTTGTCTGTGATGATGCGTGATTACATAATCAACATTGTCGCGTCAAATGAATGTCCTCATCAACATACACATTATCAGGTGGCGGTGGTCATGTGATCAAAGAAAGACTCATTATTAGTCCATCGGTAGTAGGGTCCATGAGCATATCATAGTTTGAGCACGTGCATTACGAAAAATTACTGTCTCAAATTTGTCCTGTACTATCAAAATTGTCGTGGGTGTACTATTAATAGTTTGGGGACAAGCCTTTGATAGGCCTTTGTTTGTCCCCCCACATTTTGGTACTTCTATTCTGTTGTGTTATTTGTTGGGATTGACTGCATATTGGAAATGTGTGTTATTGTGATTTTTATCAAATGTCAATGTCAATATCAATGTGAAAATAAAATGAATTTAATTTAATTGAATTGAATTAAAATTGTGGTTGCTGGAAAGTTCAGTGCAAGTAAAAGACAAGGTGACAAAGTCATATCAGGTATGGTTATGGAGGCAGTTACCATATCAGCGGCTGGAGGAGGCCTAGAGAGAGCCGGATCGGCTGCACGTGGCGATGCCGATGGGGCCCATTTTTTCGGCTTAATGTTAATTCCAACGTGACAGATGAAAAGACGAGACAACAGATTATTGAATTGCCAGTGAAGAAACGTGCCATAATAAAAAACGTGTTAAAATATCCGGGAAGTGGTCGCTTAACTCCGAGATCAAAAGTAAGTAGACCCAATGCTAAGCATACTAGTTTATATAATAGATTGATTGATTTACATTCCCCAAGCCTCCAACATACAACAAATACAGATCAAATCAGCTTGAATAGTACTCGTATTTAATATGTTGTTCATGTCGATATAGATTTGTTGCTGAAAGTGTATTTGATTTATTTTTGTATCATTTTTGAAAATGTACATGTAGATTATTATAATTTTCATTTGTTCGTGGTTTTTGTAGCAATTGTTGTGATTATAGGCAGTTTTATTTAGTTTGGCTTTAATAGTATTATATCTTATGAGGATTTTATTTTGTTCTTTTATTTCCAACAAAGAGTCTACAGTTGATTATTGTCAAGAATTGGGACTTATAGGTAGAGAAGCGTCTTGCCCAAATTGTAAAACTAAATTTTTAAAAATCTACAGCATGAAGCGTGCCGGAAGATCTTGCGCAGAGCGCAGGTTTCAGTGCAATAGGAAGACTTGTAAGCAGAAATCCAAAAACCAAATATCAAGTCGCAAAGATACTTGGTTTGGAAACAGTAATTTGTCTCTTCGCAAAAGTTTGTTATTAGTGTACGGTTTTATTCATCAAATGCCATATAAACAAACTGTATGAAACAAGTATTTCATCAGCGGATAGTGACTCTGATAATAGCAACGTTTTGACAACATCTAAGGAGACCATAGCGGATTATTTTTCATACTGTAGTGAAGTCTGTCGGTGGTCGCTGGAGACAAAACTGCACACTAACCAACTAACCAATAGACGAATCTAAATTCGGCAAAACCAAATACAATCGCGGGAGATTTGTCGAAGGACAGTGGGTGTTGGGGGCATATGCCGTGAAACCCGACAAACTTTTCTTGTCGCATTGCCAAATAACAAGCGAGATAGGGCCACACTTGAACCGATTATACTTCAGCACATCAAACCAGGCACAACAGTAATTAGTGATTGTTGGAAAGCTTACGACAATCTCGGAGCAGTAGGTTTCCAGCATCTCACTATTAACCACAGCATCAACTTTGTAGATCCTGTCACCGGAGCTCACACTAATAACATTGAAAATTTGTGGTGGTGGCAGATTAAACGGCAAATGAGTGAGACGCACACACGACACATAAACTTAACAAGCAACCTATTTTATATACTATATTATTAATAGTTATATATTTTTTTTTCAATTTCGTGGTAAGGGGGGGGGGGTGCAAAAGGAACTCTTACCCAAATGGAAAATACAAAAGCATCTTTTTAATAGAGTAATATAGTCTTACTTGTCCTCTCCCAAGACTACACCAAAGCTGACATGCTCTATCCTGACGTTGTTGGGATCATACCATCCAAGCTTGCGACATCCACTGAAGATGGCATCAAAATGAGTTGCCTGTAGTCATACAAAGGAAATTTGGAGTAGGAAATGAGTTATTCATGTAATAACAATAATATAATAACATAATTCATGTGCTAACATTGATATAACAGCATTTGTAAGCATTAATATGAAGTGTTAAATATATGAAGGCATTAATAGTATCTACAAGAAAGCTGCTGCATCCTTCTCAAATTGCAACCAATAAGTAGAAAATGAAGAGCCATGGGTGAGAAATGACCCAGTCATTGATTGACTCTCTGGAAAACGAAGAGGCCCAAGGGAAATGGCCGTTGTAAGCACCTTCAGCACATGGCTATGAATGACATGCAACTGTTGGCTATATGTACTGGTATCGGGTGTGGCTCTGACCAGAGCTGCCCTAGCACTATAACAGTCTACGGTCTCTGTACAAAGCTTGTTGTAGACTGACCCGCGCATTCACTCAACCAGCCCTGCTAGTACATATCTGACAAAAATACCTTAGTGCATGCCTGACAATGCAGTTTGAATAGAACAAAGATGAACACAAATGTAGAGCACCTGGTATCTAATTAACATAACGCCCCCCCCTCTCTCTCTCTATCTCTTTCTCTATTTCTACTCAAGCCAGCTGCAGAATGACAAGTGTATTAACTAAACCAGCCTTGCTAGTACATTCAGAAAAAGAAATACCTTGGTGCGTGCCTAACAATTTGAAAAGAGGACAAATTTAGGGCATGTGGTATCTAATTAGCATAACAAAGTTGCCCTGACATACATGTAGGCTTTAAAATCAGACCCTAAGTTGAGCAAGATTGTGAGAGCCTAATTTCAGGCCAGGTTTGAATCCTGCCTACAGGATGCGGCAAAACAGCGGCTTTTTTTATGGTGACGTAAACTGTTATAGTCGTCACATTTCTGTATCTTATAACACAGAGCTCAGTCAACACATTTCCTGATTAATTGGGCACCAAATGTCATGTACCAATCACTATAATTCTGCAACAAAATGAAAACACACAAAATTTCTCTATTTGAAATCAATTCCTCATTTTCATGAACAGATTCATAGTTACAGCAATTTATGGTCATAGGTCAGACTCATCTGAATTATACTTGCCACCACAACCATGGCCCTGTAACACAAAGCTTAGCAATTGATCGTACGACTCATTGGTCAACGGATTGAACGACTCGTCGGTCACCGGATTGCACGACCCGTCGGTCACCGGATTGCATGACCCGTCGATCACCCGATTGCACGACCTGTCGGTCAATCGATTGCACATCTCATCGGTCAATCAATCGATTGTACGACTCATCGGTCAATCGATTGTACGACTCATCGGTCAATCAATCGATTGTACGCCTCATCGGTCAATCGATTGTACGACTCATCGGTCAATCAATCAGACCATATACAATCAATTTATTGTACATCATGGTCAATTACAAAGTAGCAGTCTATCAGGAAGTCATCTTTGTGTTACGGGGTCCTGAAATCCACAATTCTCTTCACTCACCTGCCCCGCGTCCACCACATATATGAGCCTTTCACCCTTATCCTCATGCACTCTTTGGTAGAGGGTAGCCATGTCCGACGTGTCGTAGGTGTAGCCTCCGTCAGACTTGACAATAGTCAGAGGCACTGCGCTGTCAGGGGTGAACATGATCTTTCTGCCGTCGTCAAACTCCAAGTGTCCTACAGGAAAAAAAGAAAGGTATCAATTAATTGGAGGGCTACGTTTAAGGGTAACTTTGATTTCTGGTAATGACCGAATAATGAATATTATTACCCGTATCAGACATCTGAGCTGGTCATTTACAAAACCGTATTGCCCTAGTTTTCACTAGCAGTGGGAACGGAGGGGTATATTCTTTGTATTTTCCTTGGTCTCCCTGCGCGTATTGACTTTGCGTGTAGAGACGAGTGAAAATATACCTTGGTATTTTCCACGGTCTCGCATTTTCATTGCGCATCTATTAATATTATGCGTACGAGAACCTGCGCACTTTGCGCGCACTCTATTGTGACGTAATAATCACACCAAATACACACTGTAGTGTATCGAAAATTTTGTCAAGCACTGGATGCACAGTGTTGGTTCGACAAAGTTTGTTCAGTTCTTGAGATTGTCATGGTGGATGTCTGTATTTGCTCTAGATGTCTGATTTGGATAACAATAAAAATATTGACTGGCTTTACTTTCGGGGGATATCAGAAATATTGACCGCGCTAAGACCATATTGCCCTCGTCTTTCGACTCGGGGCAATATGATCTGAGCTTGGTCAACATTTCTGATATACCCCTCAAGGCCAGTCAATATTATATAAATGAATGAATAATCCTAAATTACACTGATTGTTTGAAACATTAAAACAACATATACAATCTTTGTAGATGACTATCACCATATATATATAAAGTGTGATTTAATGGGCTTGAACTATCTCATGGGTGTACAAGCCCAATTTTTTCTGAGTGCGGATAGTGTACCTGTCACTACTTCCCTGAATATTAATATTTCTGTTTTTGATAATCTATTATGACATAGTAACTTTTTCTTGAAATAAGGGCTAGCTTGCTGCCTAATATTGGTATTTTCCAAATTCATAGGAGGGAGGCTGACGGCCCATAGCCCTCTCTTCATAGACCTCTGATACTGCAACACTTTTACAAGCAAAATACAGTAAAAAACCTGTCTAAAGCGGGCACCAAAGGGAAAGTGGCCACTATAGACAGTTTTTTTGTTTATACACCCAAGTACATTTAAGTTTATGTGTATCAACTATGCAATAAAATGTCACATTTTGGCGATCTTACCGGCAGTCCCGCTCCTAAAATGTGAAAATTGCAACATGGTTTAAAAAAAGTGAGCTTTATTTCAAGAACTTTTTCAGATCATGATTTTTCAAGAGTCGCAAGCTGTCACCATGGCACCCACCCGCATACAGTCAAATAATGAAGCAAAATAGCATTTTTTTTCTTCTTCTTCAAGATAATCTGCCTCCTTCAATACTGAAGATTCTTGCAGATGCATTATATACTCGGCCTGGTTGGGGTGTGCAGGTGAACCTCTACACCGGGGTTTCCCCCTACTTTTATACGATCAGTGCAGTGGGTTCTTAACGTGCAAGGGTGGTGCCTCTCCTGTACGCGGGGCCTCCATTGAACATCCTATCCAAGGGAAGGATCTTACCTCCTGCCTCCAGCTTCTGCACCACCACATTCATCCTCTCTTGATAGAAGGACTCTCCTCTTGGGATTAGATTCTTCACATCAAGACGGGCGTAGATCTTGTTGAATTCTGAAAGAAAAAGCATGAAAAATCACTTTAAAGGCATCGTTTAACAATGTTAAATCTGAAATGCACGGCCCTACGTGTTATCAGTGTCTGTGATATGGTGTAATATTGAAGCTCTAAAAAAACTGCGCTTCAAAATGACCAAGAATGCCTCAAAAAAGTCTGACCTAATGGTTTATAATTATGATTGCAGCACAAGCTAAATTCAGGATTTGTTTCAGAATCTGAGACAAAGTTACCCAATCACTAGCAATTACCATCCACTAGAAACTTCTCATAGACCTAAACCCTGGATCCAAAGACAATTACTTCATTGAGATGTTTACTACCCCAACAATAGGAGGAGGAGGAGAAGTGGGGGGGGGGGGGGGGGGGGGGGAGGGGGGGAGGGGGGGGGGGAGGGATATTATATGATGATTTCGACTGAACATATGGCATCCCCCCTGAAATATAACTAACGGTATCCTATCTTTATTAACAAAATAATCTGACTGCACAAATCAGTAATTAATGTGCTTTTTATGTGATTCCTTTTTTGTTTTTATTTCACAAGTCATCAATAGTCAAGTGCGCATTGAGCAGTTGATTTCAAGGGGATTTGGAACCTTACAAATCTCTTATATCGTTATCATTATCAACTTTGTCTATGTTGAGGGTTCAGTGACACAAAGACGTAACTCCATATTTTGCCAAAATGAGTATTTGATATCAAAATGTTCAGAAAAATGTGGGCTTTTCAGGAAACAGAAAAACTTCACTCCACCCTAGGCTAGTGAAACATAGACTTAACTCCTTAAGGTCCAAGTGCTCAGTGACACATACACCACTTTTTTTCAAAATGGCCAAAATAGAGTTACGTCTTTGTGTCACTGACCCCTCGATGTGTATTATCCACAAAAAAAACACAAAACACACACACAAGAAGGTGGGATTATCATTATGAGAGAGAGTAGTCTGACCAACCTGTCTTTGAGATATCACAGATGAGTTCCCAAGCCTTGATGATACTTGGCTCACCACCCTGGAGTCTGACCACCATCTTGTAAGCTCTCTTCTTGAATTCTTCATCTCCATCAAACCTCACCTTAGATTCCTGAATCAAACAAAACAAAGAAACGAGATCAAGTCTGTGATACATCAAACAAGCATGAATTACTGAAGAGCTTTATGTCAATACACTTTAAAGGTATAGACCAGTTTTGTCATGCAATTGCATTGTGAAAGAAACGTTGTGGAAACGATCAGAAAATTAGGTTGATCATCTAGCACATAAGTATTGGTGTGTACTGCAAGGTTCTGGAATCGTCAAAATGATAAGAAATTTGGCGCAGTCTTGGTAAAGTTACAAGCACTGTACACAGAAAGATGTATGGGGGACTACGAGATATCTATCCAGGCCGGATCGATATGATAATTTACCAAATATATCAATTAGTAGGCAGTTTCCCGGCAAAATTTGTATCATCACGTATTAGTCAAAACATATTCTTTCACATGATTGGTAATAAAAGGTTCCATTTCATTTTTTTTTGAGAGAGAGGGGGGGGGGGGGGGCGTTTCCAATACTGGTCTATACCTTTAAGGATACTATTGATAAAGCATTTGATACATATGCAATGTCGCTAATCAGTTAACAGTTGCACATTTCGCTTGCTTTTCCCCCAATACATATTGATACTAAAAATTAGGACATATGCACACATAGGCATAGGCACTCAACCATACTCTGTAAAAGTACCATACCTATTGTAGCCATACCCTTCATCACAGATTTGTTTTGAGTAATACTTTAGCCACTCACTATTTCACAGGCATGCTAATCCTAATATAACCACACATACATTTGCATTCATCTAAGTAGCCATTTAACCCCTGGGTTAAGAAAAGCAACATAGATAAAATGCTTTGCTGGAGGACACATTTACCTGAAAACCTGTCTGCACTAGTTTGGCCAGGAGGGATTAGACCTCCCTGCATGGTCACTGACAGGTGGTTATCTCATGAAATCAGCTCTCAATTAACATAAGAAAAAGGGGATCATGTGGGGGGGGGGGGGGAACCAAGGGGTACCGCTTAGGCATTGTTTGCTTTATAGAGGGCCCATCCCCCTTTAATACCCGGGATTGAACCTACAATATTTACATCTCTTTGAATCTCTACAATACCATATCGCTATGCTTTTAGCGGGCACACACACACACAATAAATACCTTGTAAAACTTCTGAAGGTCCTGGATGGGAGGAGACTCGTTGAGATAGTTAGGAAACTGATCGGCAAGATGGGTGATGAGCATGCCAAACTGAGTGCCCCAGTCTCCAAGATGGTTTACCTTCAACACATCATGTCCTTAAACATGGAGAGATCGCAGAGGGAAATGATGTAATCAATAGGGAAATGATGCAATCAATAGGTAACTAATGTAATCAATAGGGAAATGATGTAATCAAAAGGTAATTGATGTAATCAATAGGGAAATGATGTAATCAATAGGTAACTAATGTAATCAATAGGGAAATGATGTAATCAATTTGGAAATGATGTAATCAATAGGGAAATGATGTAATCAATAGGTAATTGATGTAATCAATAGGGAAATGATGTAATCAATAGGGAAATGATGCAATCAATAGGTAACTAATGTAATCAATAGGGAAATGATGTAATCAATAGGTAACTAATGTAATCAATAGGGAAATGATGTAATCAATAGGGAAATGATGTAATCAATAGGGAAATGATGTAATCAATAGGTAATTGATGTAATCAATAGGGAAATGATGTAATCAATAGGTAACTAATGTAATCAATAGGGAAATGATGTAATCAATAGGGAAATGATGTAATCAATAGGGAAATGATGTAATCAATAGGTAACTGATGTAATCAATAGGGAAATGATGAAATCAATAGGGAAATGATGTAATCAATAGGTAATTGATGTAATCAATAGGGAAATGATGTAATCAATAGGGAAATGATGTAATCAATTTGGAAATGATGTAATCAATATGGAAACCATGAAAGAGGTCTTCATTTAAGATGGTTGTATGGCAAATGCAGTCATATTAAAAATGCAAAGTTTGCATTGTGTGTGATGGGCTCAAGATTCCTTCAAGACTGACCTACGAACTCCATGAGCCGGGAGATGCTCTCTCCGATGATAGTTGACCTCAGGTGACCTATGTGCATCTCCTTGGCGATGTTGGGAGAGGACATGTCAATGACGACCTTCCTCTTCTTACTGAGGGGTGGAGGAAGCACCCCTTGGGTCAAGATCCCGGTGACGAGGGGGGTGATGAAGGATTTCTTGAGGTGGATGTTGATGAAACCCGGTCCTGCAATATCCACCTGGTGAAGATGATAAAGATGTTATAAATTGATTTAATTAGTCACTAATGAGGGGTGGAGGGAGTGCCATATGTTCAATTTACATAATTCAATTTGTCAATAATAGTGACTAATGGGATTATGTACAAAATAATTCAAACTAAATTTGGACAGAGATTATTTGTAAGTATTTACCTTTTCAATGACATCATTTGAAGGGATGTTTGCTTGGATCTGCTGGGCAACGACTCTTGGAGAGACTGGAGAGCCCTGGGCCTTCAGTTGCTGTAAGAGGGATGTAAACAAAACAAACGCAAATATTACATTTGTAGAGGCTAATATTTTCAACCTCTTCATAACATTTTTGAAATACACCAAAGGAAAATGCATGTTTATACATTGTCATTTGCAATAAAGAATTCTTAGTTATGGATGAATTATTTTGTTTCTAAACATTTTCTATCATAAGTTGCTAAAATGCACATACTCTGATCAAGACAGACAGAGAGTTGACAAGTATATTTTTCATAATTCTTGTAACTTAATAATGAAAGGTGGAATAGTGTATAAGGGACTTAAACATCGAACGAATCAATTTTTCATATACCGTAATTAACGGAGTATAAACCGCACCTTTTTGCCGCCGAAAAAAATTCAAAGTCGGGGGTGCGGTTTATACACGGTACACAAAAAAAAAAAAAAAAAAAAAAAATATTAAAGTTTCGATTTATGCCCCTCCACCTGGCGCTATGCCTGGCAATGTCTCCCAGCTCAGTAATCGGTGTGTTGACTCACCACTAGGAAACTAGAACAACACTCAAATTTGTCTGTCATCTTGGTTTAAAGGTAATCTTTCTGATAGATCTCAATATGTAGTTTATAATAATAATTCCTACACACGGTGTACCACAAGGTTCTATCCTAGGTCCTTTACTGTTTTTTAATTTACATTAATGATCTTACACATTCAGCTGCACCTCGCAGTTAAATGAAAGGCCTTCCCGCGTGGGTTTTTTTAACACGGACCTGGCTTGCTGCCGACAGACTCGGCCAAAAACAAAAACATTTTTTTTTTTTTAATTTTTTTTAAAGGGCGAAAAAGAGGGGAGCGGTTAATACACGAGGGCGGTTTATACAACGTTAATTACGGTACTTAAAGAATAACGAAACTTGGTACGGGTGTGAATAATTTAATTGTTAACTGTATCTTCATGAGGAAGAAGAGAGAGAGAAAGGAGTGGGGGAGAGAGAGAGAGAGAGAAAGGAAGAGGAGAGAGAGAAAGGAAGAGGGGAGAGAGAGAGAGAGAGAAAAAAGAAAGAAAGAAGGACATACATGTATGATGCCTAAACTTGCAAACCTCATCCTCCCTATTCAAAATGCAGCATCATGGCAATCATGAGTCATGACAGTGAACTATTAACCTTTTAATACCTGAGCAATGATCATTGCACTGTTGCACTGGTAGTCTCCAAACTTCTCCACCTGGCTGGGCTGTACTGCGACAGGGGCATTGGTGAGGGCTGGGTACGCAACACGAAGGGCAGTCCTGAAGATCTCAGTTAGCTTGCCGCATACATTGTTTCCAGCTGCATCGCCACCTTGGGACTCCTCCTCGACAATGCTCTGATAACAATTTAACAGATGATATCCATTAAAAAACTTAATATACTATGAACTTTTATTATTGTTCCCATTTATTTGAAAAGGATTTTTCCCAATGTCATTAGATTTCAAGTCAATCGCTGTTCATACAAGAAAAATGATTTTATTATATTTTACTTTTCTCTTGGGGGGCCCTGCAAGCAAGATTTGACATTACAACTTTGAACCCAAATCATTCAGCAGATAACATACTTATGGCCTTGAACATTCTGGGTAATTTTTTTTATTACCTATAAAGAACAATTAAATATTTTGTATTCAATTTTGAATCGAACAGTAGTCTAGGTGTAAACAAAAAAGATTCTTGTCTTTGATGAAAATGAATTTAACTATATAAGTCTACCCTCTTTAGATGCGAAATGCGGTACTTGAGCTTCTGATTCTCCGTCTGGAGTTTCTCAAGTTCTGGAGGAACCTGCTCCCAATCCTCAACGCCACCATTCTGAAGCTCTTGAATCTGTTGCTTCAGCTCGGCAATTTGAGACTCCTGTAGAGAAAGCATTGTTTGGATGGAAGTTTGAACAGGAAGCATATGCGGTCAACAATCATACAGCAGGTCAAAGGTTAGACAGAAATAACCATCTGATTTGGGTCATTTCTTTAATAAAACTGACATTTGTTGACATTCCCCAATACAGATGGTAACCCAGAGATCTCGTACCGTGGGGGTAGCTAGAGCCAACAATGTACATCTTTTCGTTCAAAACATTTCCTCCCCGATTTTCTTTATTTAGATCTAATTTTCTGATTTCTATATCAGATGTAAATTAGGTCGGTATGTCATTTGTCCTAATTGCAGTTATCAAAATTTGATAACTTAATATTAAATGTATAATTTACGGACTTACTTATATGAATTATCCAATTTGTATCTCAGAACTGTGAAACAGTACGTTCATTTACTCGAACATAGGGCTATATGACCCGGCGGCCAAAATATTTCCGGGTCAACCTACCAAAACATAGCCAAATGGCCAATCAGAGCACTCGTTTCGTGGGAGTTCGTTGGTCAAGCCGGGCTGACTCGTACGTAGCTACGGTAGCTATTGGACGTTCGAAAAGAAAAAATGAATATTCATCAACTAACACCAAGACGGATAATGTTGACGACGAGACTTTCTCGGATTAATCATTAATTTAGGATGTAAATGAGCAAGCTATCGTAAGTCAAATAAGCTATATATATGTTATTTTTAATTTTTATTATAATTGCAGCAGTTATGAGGATGTAAAGAGTGAAAATCTCGTTGCATATCTCATTCATCGCGGTCCGGTCGAACCGAACCATTTGTTCCGCACAGTCCCGTACAGTCCCGATAGGCCATACTTCAGTCTCTATAATCGGAGGTCTAGTGGAGCCAGACGTAGTCTCAGGTGAACAACCGATGACTAGAGAGACTGAAGTTTTCGGTCTAGTCAAAGGTCACATGTCAAGCCGTGCTGCCCTGCCCAACTAGTACTTAGTACTATAGATAGAGCATTGAATTATAAAGTGCACGACTAATCATAATCATTCATATTCCCTATTCACTCTGGACTTTCTCTAGGCGCGCCTGTGTGAAGTTATCTACCGTGATATCTCAGATCCTCATTACGGTAGATAACTTCACACAAGCGCGCGCCCTTCCGCATTCCTCGTTTATGAGGACGATCCTCATTCTTGGACCAGCGCCCCTACTGAAAATACTCCAAAAATAACAAGAAAATTGACACAAAACAGGTAATAAACATAGATCTAACAAGTTAGATCTAGGTCTAACGACTTTTAAGTCATGATCTTTATTTGGACATTTAGATCTAGGATAGAGATCTACTTAATATTTACTTTTATGTTTTGGTAGGGTTGGTATCTAGACCTAGATCTATACGCCGGAGTAACAGGTCAAATTTTGGATAGGCTCCTGAACAAGCACCCAATTTTTTTTTTTTTTTAAAGAAGTGTTTAAAAGTTAGACTAGATTCTAACTTTAAGTTAGATCTAGGTTTAGATCTAGGTCTAACGTTAGGCCTAAAAGTTAGATCTAGACTATAATAAGAGGACTCTTAGTCTTACTTGTTGAGAGGCTCGAGATGTCAACTTTTCAACCAGGCTGTCCATTCTTTATCTGTTCTTCTTAATCTTCCAGGCTGTTCTTCTTAATCTTCAAAATAAAGTAGCAGTGCAAAAACGTTACGGATTTGTATATATTTCGGCACAAATTTACACAAGCCGTCCACCTTCGGCAAAGATCACCCTTGTCTAGATGCTGAACAGGCTTTGACAAGTAGTAGAAGTAGAAGTACGGTGAAATACCCAGTGAATGTGTTGCAACAGCGCGCCTCAGCCCCATAAGCTCAAATATGTGTTGGTTCTGCCGCGCCTACACGTACCTACCTACATGTGCGCTCAAACCGGCAACAAATGATTACACTGGTTATTTATTTATGGAATGACTTTAGCTTAAGTGATACATATCATGAACAGAAATTTAAAAATATAGGCAGCTTTGTTTATTTTAAGAATCAAATATTTTTGTACAATTTTTAAAACGATTATCGTAACCAAAATAATCTGAGATTACTAGTTGTGAAAGAGACTAACATGGCAGCTTCCTATGGACATTATGTACAGGATCAGGACTGAGGTCAGAACTTTATTTCCCACATTCTTCATTCTTTAAATTCATCATAATTTATGTGTTTCGTATTCTATGTTGGTATAATGTGTATTATATTAAAGGCATCGTTTAACAATGTTAAATATGACTTTGAATTGAACTTTAAAACCCTAAAAAATGCGCTTCTTCAAAAATTTATGATGATCATGATGATGAAATGATGAATTGAGCTGAACTGAATTGAGAGCCTCAAAGTAATAAGTAAAAATCTTTGAGTGACCTGTGTTACCATACTCATTTTCCCCAGTAAACCGTAGCGTTATCAAAACCATTTGGAAAACGGATTGATTTTAATTTCCAATCATAAATAGAGTAGAGTCTCCGGTTTGCGGCATCGCCCGGTTTGCGGCCAGGGGTATTTGTTTTAAAAATAAAATGAATATGACTCGATAATAATCATTGAAACCTACCGTGGATTCCACGGTAAGTTCTGCTTTGCCGAAAACGTCCGTAGCAGGTGCTCCTGTCGGTACGGAGTATCCGTCAGCGATGTCGGAAATCTACGGCACCAGTCGCCGATGAAAATTCCAGCAGGTGCTAACTTTTAAGTTAAGAGATCGAGGCATGACTAGATCAATATTGTAGCTCTATTTGTCCGATATTTGTCCGATTGGAGGTGAAATTTGATGTTTTTTTGGAAGTATGATGGCTGTGGTCTGTCTCCTATCGCAGATATTTTGATTGTGCCACCGCATGGCCAGTTGCATGGGGTGGCCGCAAACCGGCACGTAATTACGTGTTTTTTCTGGTTTAATACACACATAACATGCGGGATCGTGTATGATGGTATGTGTGCTGATGTGTGTACCCGCTATGACCCGATAGTTTCTAGTAGTACCTACCCCCGGATGGGATGATCCATTCGAGGAAAAGGTGAAATTGTTTAAAACTTGACAAATTTACCGTAGCAACAGATAAACATGAGAATTTGGGTTACCCGTAGTAATTTGGTACATGCTTTCATCGTGACGTAGCGCATAAAGCTTTGTGACGTACGCGTGCCGCAAACCGGTAATGCGTGCCCGCAAACCGGGGAACTCGAAGCATTTCGAAACGTGGTCAATGCTGACCATGCTGTGGGTCAGTTAGGTTATTTGTGACTTCTATTTAATAAGTAAGTATATGGACTCTTTATTGAGGGTATTGAAGTATTCTGTGAGTATTCCAATAAAAATAGAATCGGCAGTTCCCGCCGATCGGCCGCAGACCAGAGCCACTACTCTAGGGTCTATCTTGATAGCAGGCAATTGGCTTGTAAAACAGGGCTGTCATTTTGGGGAACTGCTTCGAGGGAGATCATAGATCTATAGACCTCTACAGGTCTATGCAAATTTTGTTGATGTGCTCAACAGGTGGGGTGGGGGGTAGCAGGGGCGGATCCAGGGGGGGGGGGGGAGGTGGGCCCGGTGGGAGGCTTGCTTTAGTTTTTTAGTTTAATAACATTATTTTTTTACCATTTTTTTTTTGGTTGGGGGGGGGGGGTGTTTAGTGGCTCGATCGAGCCCCCAAACGTCATCGGTTGACAGTTTTTGAATGAGAGCGACTTTTTTTCTTCTTCTTTGTATTTGATGAATATTAGATTTAAATATGATGCAAGTTTGTGTTCATTAAGCAATATTTTTATAAATCATGATCTCAGAATGAGACATTGGTTTGTAAATACAACAGAACTTCACAAGCAGAGAGGGGTGCGGCGCTGGTCCGGGAAAAGGATCGTCCGCATTTTTGCAGACGTTTCATATTTTCGATACGCGCGATCCTTATTTTTTAGAACGCAATTTGTCCGCATTTACGAGGATATCCTCGTTTATGCGGACGATCCTCATTCTCGGACCAGCACCCCTACTGACAAGTAAAGATAGGCCAATTGATATTGAGTACCAGAGTTTGTTGATTGTTAACGTCAATTGAAGGCAAAATAATGGCATGGAATTAAAGACAAATCATCTTCCAATCTATGTAACAGACATTTTCGACAAACTTTCTACTGAAACAAAGATTTCTGAACTGCCTGTGGAATATTGTGAGACTACCTTGGCCCAGATTGTGGACATTCACAGATCACCATGGCAACCGTTGGTTGTCAGCTCTGTAGCAACTCAACGGAGGCCATCGAGTTATACGAGAACAAGTTCCTGTATCTTAAGCCGATAGCCAAGATCAATATTTCTGTGACTTTACCTCAGATGAAGACTCCAGGTTAGTCAGGCATTTTCTTTTCTCTCTTTCCCCTCTCTCTCTCTCTCTCTCTCTCTCTTTTTCTCTTCCCCTATCTCTCCCTGTTACACCACAAATGTAATAACACCCACAAATGTAATAACACTTTACCCACAAATGTAATAATTTCACCCACAAATGTAATAATTTCACCCACAAATGTAATAACCACTTTACCCACAAATGTAATAATTTTGAATCACCCACAAATGTAATAATTTTGAATCACCCACAAATGTAATAATGACTTCACCCACAAATGTAATAAATTTGAAGGGATATTTTGTCGAATTTGTTCAAAACTAAAACCCTGTAATAAAGCATGGGTATAGCGCCCAGTCTTTACTCCAGACCCGGTAATTTCAAAAATTTAAAAAAATCTACAAAACTCAGACCCCATAATCCTTTTCCTGTGGAATAACATGAGAATCGAGCGTAGTCTTTCCTCCAGACCCGGTTATTCAAAAGTTAAAAAAAAAAAAAAAAACTTTTAAACTAAGACCCACCATCTTCCAAACTAAGACCCGGTAATAAAGCATGGGTTTAGAGCGAACTTTTTAAAAATCTTCAAAACTAAGACCCCATCATCTTATTTCTGTGGAAGAACGTGTGTGTGTGTGTGTATTGGGTTTTTACAGACGTGTATCAATCAGATATGATTATTTACGTCTGGTACCGACCTTTAAACGTCACCATCCGAAAGACGTGACTCAGTTTCGAACCTGCGTCCTCGGCTGAATCAGTTTGTAACTTCCACTTTTTAGCTGGATTACAGGCGCACGCCACAATGCCTAGTTGAACATGAGTATTGAGCGTAGTCTTTCCTCCAGACCCGGTTATTCAAAAGTTTAAAAAAAAAAAAAAAAAAAAAAAAAACAAAACAACAAAAAAACCTTTTAAACTAAGACCCCTCCATCTTCCAAATTAAGACCCGGTAATAAAGCATGGGATTAGAGCTCAGTCTTTACTTCAGACTCGGTTATTTGAAGAAAAAAAAAAAAATCTTCAAACTAAGGCCTCACCATCTCATTACATTTGTGGGTAAAGTCATTATTACATTTGTGGGTGATTCAAAATTATTACATTTGTGGGTGATTCAAAATTATTACATTTGTGGGTAAAGTGTTATTACATTTGTGGGTGTTATTACATTTGTGGATAAAGTGGTTATTACATTTGTGGGTGAAATTATTACATTTGTGGGTGTAACACTCCCCCTCTCCCCTTCTATCTCTCTCTTTTTGACTAGACACCACTCCTCAATTATATAGACCCTCTGGTAAAACAATGGGCCATAGGTCCCCTTGGTACTTGGATCAATACAAGTTCAGCATTCAATACATTGTATTGTATTGTTTTTTTTAGAATTTGATATTCCCTACAATGTTGAAAGACTTCATACAAGGGGTTCCCTTTCATAGCTCAACTATACTTCTAGAGGTATGTATCTGCTAGGACCTAGTGATTCATCCTATTTCAATGATAGTACTAGAACTTGTTGACGTCAGGACTGGAGAGGATTAGGGATGTATCGTAACTGATGGTCATTTCTTAGGAAAACAGCCTTGCCTAAAAAGGAGTTTGCACAAGAGGTAAACAATATCCTCTTAGGTTATTGAACCTTCTGGGGATGCAGGGTTAAATACTATGTAAATGGAATAATGGATGGAACTTATGAGTTATATTGTACCTCTCACCTTAGCATTACTTGTACTTTGTTCTCATTGTGTAATCGTATTGATAGTTTCATTACTGTTGACTTTGCAGGGAAATCAATCAGCAATTGGGAAGTGATGGAGAAGCTGAAGAAGATGGCTAAACCTGACTCTTTTCTTGTCCTGCGAGTCACCAAAAGCTCCTTGGATTTCCTGCGCTTTGAGGCTGAACTCGAGGCCCGCTCCATCATCAAAGTCATGATCACGAGACTCGATACCAAGAATATCAAGCTAAGCGGGTTCACGGAGGTCTTGAAAGTGCGAGCCGCCGAGGCAAAGCTTCCTTTCCCGAATCGCCACGATTGGGATGTCTTCTTTCGTGATACAAAGCACATGAACGAGAACAATCCAGGAGAAAGACCGGATACCATTCATGTGGAGAATCTTCCAGTGCGATGGTTTGCCATTGATGTCGAACCGGACAAACCTAGTGAGATCGTGGTGCGGAATGTGTTCGGTACGATTGGCGTCATCAGGAACATTGACATTCCTATGTTGGATCCATACCGACATGAGAGCCAGGTGACGGGAGGGAACTTTGGCAAGATCTCCAGTCTGGGGAGCAATCTTACATTTGATGTCTATGTGCAATTTATGGAATACATTGGCTTTGTAAAAGCCATGGACACTTTGAAAGGCATGAAGATCATGAGAAATGGGCATGATGGCAATGCCTATACAGCTGAAATCAAGGTAGGCCACTTTGCTGACAACTTTTGTAGGTTTTGGTGCAGAACGTTGATAAAGAACAGTTAACAACTTATTTCATTTATTCCATACTACACTTTTCAAAGCTATCAAAACAAACTAAGAGATACTTACTGGCAAGCACACTCACTGAAAAAAACACATGTATTATAAAGGACCATAGTTTTCGTGATCAGCCAGCTCATTAGACATCTAGCTCAATTTGTTTATCTCTGCTCAATTTGCAACTATTCATTTTCTACCAAATCTTTTTTAGCAGATCATTTGTTTGTAGTCTGAGCTCTCAATGTTCTAGGAGAAGCACATTTGTCATCGGTACTAAAAACAAAAATGTTAAGCCTGCATTTAAATCAATGTTTATGTAATGCTGATCCAAATTTGTCATCTTTTCAGGTTGACTTTGACAAGACGAGACATCTAAGTGCAAAAGTAATAAAGAAGAGAGAGAAGGAGCAGACAAAGTGGATAGAACTGATAAGAAAGAGGGAAGAGCAGAAAAGGTTGGAGAAAGAAGAGGAAGAGAAAAAGAAGGAGGAAGAAAGGTAGGATGATCACCTCTTTCCTAAAAAGACATGGTGTAAATTGGCTAATGGGGACAAAAACTGATAAATGATAATCCATTTATCATCAACAATCCACATGCAGTATGTTCCAAGGCAATTTCTGTGAGCATTTGATCAAATTAGTGTTGATGTTATATTTTTTTTCATTTCTATTTTGTTTATTTCATTGGTCTTGTAGGACACACAAATCATGTCAAATTCTCATTGCTTATTGCAGTAGGAGAAATCTCAAATACACCCCATCACATACGTGATATATTTTGTTGTAACTTATCTTGTAAATTTAGAAAGAAGAAGGAAGAAGCAATAAAACTGAAGCAACTACAAAAGCAGATGAAAACTGCACTGAAGAAGACTCGACAGACAGAACGAGAGGAGAGAAGGAGACAGAGAAGAGAGGAAAGGAGACTCCATAGGAAGATCATGATGGAGGAGAGAAAGCTGATCCTAGCTCAGAGGAAACTGGAATCCATCCGTCTCCTCACGGTGCTCCTACAGAAAGTCCAGGTATGCCTGCTGATCCTTCATGCCTGGAACACTGTATCGGGAGGGAGCGGGGTGATCTGATAATATGCATAACGTCACCCAAGCCATAAAACACCATATTTAGACTTTTTCACTTCACAAGTTTCTACAGATGCATGTGTCGCAGTTCATTCACAGTGTACTTGGTAGAAATCCAAATTAATTTGTATATTTAAGGAAGTAAACAAGACTACTGGGTCATTGTCCAATTCAGAATTACTCTTAGCGTGCCTAACCAGATATCAGAGAGCTTGTAGGTTGCTTCAGGAGATCCATTTATTTTGATTAACTTACTTCCCAGGGCTTATCTTCTGAAGTCTTTAGGGAAGACCAGTCAGTCATAGAAATGAATTATACTTTCAATGGTCTGTAACATCACTCTTCATGTGAATACTTTAGCATCATCAACCCCCCCCCCCCCCCTCCCCCACTTCACCCCCTCCTGAGAACTCAAGACCGTATGTCTCTAATGTGACTGGGCTTAATACAAACAGATGATTTGAGGGGTGTTTCGCAAAAATCTTAAGTCGAACTTAACTCTAAGTGTGACTTAAAAATTATGGATAGCCATTTGTAGCCTTAGAGTAAAATATATTCAAAAGTGAAAATTCAAGTATTTCAGACTTTTTATAAATTCCACATCAAGAACATGAAATATCCTTGATAATAGAAAATATGAATGATTTGAATCAACATTTTATTCCTTTAAAAATAACTGTAACTAAATATTTTCATAGATGCTAACAGCTTTCCGTAATTTTTCAGTCCAGCAAAGAGATAAGTTCAACTTAGGATCTTTGTGAAACACCCCCCTGTTTTGTATTTAGGCTCTCAGGCAGCAGGAGGAGGTAGCACAAAAACTCTATGAACTTGAGAAGGCCCGACAGGAGCAGCTTCAGAAGGAGAAAGAGCAGAAAGAAGCGGAGGAGCGAAGGAGGAAGAGAGCCGAAGCCAGGAAGGAGAGGCAACTCAGACACAAGGAGAAGAAACTTCGATCTAAGCTAATCAACGCTCTTAAGGTGAGAATTATAGTCAGTAAACTTGTGTGCATGTCATCGCTCTCATGATGTAGATATGAAAGATGTGCTCTTGTGTATGGTGATCATGGACTCATGAAAAATAAGTGAGTTACAAGTCTGCCTCGTAGAAGAAGTAACTGACATTTGATATGTATTTTTCTGTAATTGTAGGTAACCGTAACATCAACTAGCAGTTACTGGATGGATGTGAAATGAAATGAATTATGGATAATAAATGTGAAGCTTGGGGACCTTAGAATGTCTGATTTCAGATCACTGATGTAGATAGATACTAGAAGTCACAGAATATGGTTAGGGTATTAATTCTCTCATTTACTTGATTTGTATGAAAACAGACCAAAGAAGAGAAAGTTCAGGAGGAAAAACGTGAAAAACTCAGGAAGCAGCTGACTAAAACACGGCTCAAGTCCAGCATCGTTACAGCATCGTCTTCAACTCACCGTCCTACCGAGCCAGAACAGCCATATACCTTCCAAGCGCAGGTGATATCCCCAGAGGCTCTTCAGAGACTTGAGGATTACCATAGGAGTTTGGCCATCTACCAGAGGCAGCTGGCAGCATATCATAGGAATATGGCTCAGCAACCTTACTATCAGAACAGAAACCAGCAAAAACGGTTTGGGAACTACCGGTCACCGTATGGAACATTCGCAATGAAGAAGAGGCAATATTATCAAGATGGGAAAGATGGAAAACATTCACACAGAGGAAGAGACCGCTATAGGTCCAGGTCTAGATCTAGGAGTAGGAGTAGAACAAGAAGTAGGACTAGAAGTAGGTCTAGATCGAGACACAGGACGAGGTCCAGGTCTAGATCTAGGAGTAGGAGTAGATCAAGAAGTAGGTCTAGATCTAGACACAGGACGAGGTCTAGGTCTAGAACAAGATCTAGGTCAAGAGGAAGGTCTGGGTCAAGGTCTAGGAAATGGAAAAGGGAAAGGTATAGGTCTAGATCTAGTTGCAGATCCAGGTCTAGAGGAAGATCACAGTCTGAAACACGGGAAAGATCAAGGTCAAGATCTGGGGGAAATTCTAAGTCTCGTTCAAGATCTAGGAGTAAGGACCAAGATAAATCTGGGTCGAGAGATACGTCGAGATCAAGAGTTAGAAAAATCCAGAAGTCAAAGAAAAAGTCCAAGTCAAGGGATAGATCTAGAGATAGGTCCAGAGATAGGTCCAAGTCGAAAGAAAAGTCCCGATCAAGTGACAAATCTAGGAACAGATCTAGACATAGGTCAAAATCTGGGGATTCCGGAGCGTCCGAGCCTCACATAAAAGTTGAGGTTGACGATTTACATGTATCTTCTGTGGGATCCAAATCTGGAGAAAGAGTTTCTTTGTCTCCTGAGCGTAATAATAAAGACGAAGATGCTGCCATGTCTCCTAGTAGGGCTAAGTCTGAGGAGAGGGTCACATTAGGAAATGCATCCACCCAGGTTGGAGAAGTAGTTAGATCAGGGAATGTGTCAGAGGCCTCTTCACCACAAGGTGACAAAGCTTCTGTTGGGTCCAAGTCTGAGGACAGAGTCGGATCTATAAATACATCAGGGGCTTCCCCTTCTCAAAATGAAAATGAAGTTAATGCCACCCAGAGTGGAGAAGTAGTTGGATCAGGGAATGTGTCAGAGGCCTTTTCACCACAAGGTGACGAAGCTTCTGTTAGATCTGAGTCTGAGGACACATCAGGGGCTTCCCCTTCTCAAAATGAAGATGAAGTTAATGCGAGCTGGGCATTTTGAGGCATATTTTTACAAGTGGGGGTGGAGGGGGGGGGGGGTGAATTCAACACCCCCTTAAATTTCAAAAAGTTGAACCGTATGAGAACAAAAAGCTTTGCATTTGTGTGCATGTATTTTTTAATAGTAGTTGGCAAATGACACCTGGTACATTTTCACGAGTTGTATAATCATACTGTGATTCTGTATAAGAATACATGTTACATTTAGAAGAGCTTTAAACCAAAATCAACAGTTATTCATGTTCATAAGAAATTTGGAGTAAAACTGCCATTATTTTGAGGCTGTTAGTGTGAAAGAGCATGTAAAGAACGTTTTATCATACCTGTCTCGCTATCCTTACTGTCATCAATTTTACTCTTTTTTTTGCCTCAAAACTTTTTATGTACCATTTCAGTACTAACCCTCACACAAGTGTGTTAAAATGAGCTTTATGATGTCCTACTTGTTATGCTCTAACTTGCCATAGTGATGAATATTTTTTAATCCTTTAATCCCAATGCCAAACCAACTCCACCCTGACTCCAGACTGAGTGATTCCTAGCCATTGGAGGCAATATCATCGTTTGATCGGTCCGTTGTTGGTCAGGTGTCTGTCTCGTAAGTGTGACCGAGGTATCATTATGCAGGGAAATTACTTTGGTCCAAAATAGCCAAAGTAGAGCTAAGATGTGGTCCCTAATCTCCCACTATTTCTTTGTTTTATATGGCCCGCTACTTATCATGACATTTGCTATATTCTTGTGTTGACTATGCATTGCTAAGTGTTTTTGAAGTCAGGTTGTGAGTAAAAGTGGAAATATGTGTTACATGGGCATTATGTAGGTGCTATCAGAACCAAATATGCATTCTTCATAGAGTTGTTGTACTCAACTCAGGCAGCTAAAGAAAAAGGGGCATCATGCTGAAAATAGTATTACTGAAGTCGTTTGGTGTTTTTAAGAAAAATACTGTGGATAATATGTGCATTTTAATATACACAGATATTCGCCATGAGAGAATTCCCCACCCCTTATGTTTTGTTTTGTTACAACAGGCATTATCATTTTGTAAAAGCCGTTTTATCTTGTAAGCTACCATAGCTTCTCTCTCCTCTCTCTCTCTCTCTCTCTCTCACACAACAAATGTTTTATTGCTACTTTCAGTCAACTCTGTCATTCAAAGATATAACGGGGAAAAAAAGAACACCTTGTTATGAAAAACATGAGTATTAAAAATGTAGCACACATGTGCTTTTCATCATTTGTACCTACATTGTGATTCTTTCTTTTTTGTGTGTCCCAGAATTGTAGTAATAATAATTGGAAAAATATATGAAGACCATATCAAGGGGTCAGTGACACAAAGACGTAACTCCATTTTGAGAAAAAGTGGTTTATGTGCCACTGAGCACTTGGGCCTTAAGTCTATGTTTCGCTAGCCATCGACTTCAATGGGGTGTTGGGTGGAGTTAACTCTGTGTTTCCTGGAAAGCCCACATTTTTCTGAACATTTTGATATCAAATACTCATTTTGGCAAAATATGGAGTTATGTCTTTGTGTTACTGAATCCTTGATATACAGTGGATCCAAGCTATAAAGGACACTTATAACAAATTCTGAATTTTGTCAGTCCGATTTCTCTGTATGCCATTGCTTTCTAGCCTTGACATGACATGAATTTGAGGTAATTTCACCTTTTCCAAAGTTTGTTCTATAGAGGTTCCACTGTATCGCAACAGGTCTTTATTCTAGTTATTTTAGAATAAATAAATGTATTAATTTTGATCAGTTACGCCCATGAAAAGAGTTTACATATATCAAGTACAATACCCAGGGTGAATATCTATCTAGTAAAACAGGCAAACTAAATTGATCCCCACTGTGCATTGCCAATTTGAAGAATATAATAGATGTAATTATTTCAATTTGAAGTGTTCTTACCCATTTACATCATATATATTACTTCAGAAATGGATTCTAATTTTAGGAAGTGTTTCATGTATCACAAACTCTAGCACTCGAGTATCAAAGAACAGCGCAAAACATCACTAAAAGTGTGATACCATTAAAGGTAATACAAAGTTTAGGGAAATTTTGAAAATTGGCTGGATAGTGATTCTTTACAATTTTGAATTATTTTGATGCCCATGTGGATGTATTATGAGCACTAGAAAATTTAGCCCCTGTAAATTTCAATAATGTTCAAATAGCGCCTATGACCATACAATGGTAGCTGCGACCATGAAAATCTCAGAATAGACAATCGGTTGATTTTAGTCAAGAAACGTTTTATAGCTAAATTAATATCTCGACCTTTAGAGGTAGCTATACAACGAAAAGAGTTTCATAACTTTAGACTCGATTTCAACCTCGACAACGATCACTGAATATTGTAGGATAGCATACGTTTCCAATGTGTTCATTTGAACTAAGTTCATGACCCCATACCAAAACTTTGTAATCCCTTTAACACACTAATTTTACGATGGGTCAACTGCTTCACTCTTTCTCAACACATAAACAACCTCCGAGTCGAAATGAAGAGGCAAAACAACTTTGTAATTTTTATTATATTTACATATATTCATTTTGTTTACCATCAAACTAAATATGGTAAATAAAAGGCTACAATGAAACATTGATATGAATTACCATCTTCGAGTAAGTAAATGAATTCCGTCTATTTGAATTAGCCAAGAAATCCTCTTAATCAATCCCATATAATTGTAAACTTTACGTATACATGTATTTCCCACCATATACATCATAACAAGATAAAATAGTGCTTAAAAAGGTTTTAGAACTTTTTTTTTGTCAAGTATATATTTTTTTTTTTCTCAAGATAAATGTATGAAGAAATGGGGTGGAAGCAAGTACTAAAAGTGAATTTGCATTCAAATACAACAGCAAACAGAAAAAAAGTGCACTCATATACGAAAATAACTACCTACATGAATTTAGGAAGTTTTAGCAACCGATATAAACAAAAGAATTAAAATCTGGGAGAATGGCAAATTACAGATACAAGATAACATTTTGATGAGTAGTACACAAGGATGAAAATGGATGGTGGAAAAAGAAACATCAGGAGCTTCATCTCTTAGAAACACTTCACCATGACCCTGGTTTAAGATGTAATTTGTAAAATCTATGAGAAAGGCACAAACAGAAAACATTTTTTTAAATTTTTATTGGAATATAAGCCAACCAGAATATCAATCCCCTTAAAACAAGTTCAACTGGAAACTTCCATTGGCTAGCTGCACTCAAAGCCACTACTAGGAAAAAAACATTCTAAAATAACTTTCTTTTTACAGCAATATTCACAATGATGTGAGCATTGCATGTTGAGAAGTCTTTAATAGATGCAATGTGCTTGGTGCGATGTCCGGAGCAGAAATTTTGTCCAGATCATTCAGATCTCAAGACTTACATGTAGCAGCGAGTGACAAAATCACGCATTCACACAGATAGCAAAAACTGAAAATAAAAATTAAAAATCAAAAACATGAAGATGGCACCTAAAACAATGAATATACAAATTAAAATGAAACTCTTCTTTTTTTAAATATAGTTAGTAAAGTTTGATATAAATGAATGTTCTTTTAAAAGAATTTTTTTTCCCTTCAAATTATCCTTGAATTAAAATCCCACATCTCAATAATGATAGGCAATATGTTAAAAAATCTGAATAAAATGTTCCAGAGAAATCAATTTTTTTTTTTGGTGGAGTGTATGAAATGTGATTGCATCAATCAAATCAACAATTGCATAAGAACATCAGTCCTTCAGATGTTTGCATCTAACAAGAGAAAATTTGTTCCAAACTGGAGATTATACATCTAATACGCTGAAGTGATTAGTCCATGAAAATCAAATACTACTGAATAAGTCGCGAATACCATGTAACATGCCTTATCATAGTTGTCATCAAGTTTCTTGCCTTGACAACCTTACACTCGGGTAACATATATGTGTGTATAAGCTGCCACAGATACAATGTACCAGTGTAATATCCAATTTCACCATTGCACAGTATAAAATATGAATATGCATGAAAGCGGAAGGAGAACATGTGACAGAAAATTAAACCATACACAAAGTCCAAACAAGGTATCCAAGTAAATGGTAAATTAACAGACAGATCATGATCTACAGTAGAAATAGAAACAAGGAATTAATTTATATCAATATCACATTACTCATAATTATATCATACGTATATCAATGTCTAGTCTCTTTTTTATTTATAGTCCTACAAACTTATTTTTTTTTTGCTTGCAAATTCATTTTTGTTCTTTTTTTTCTATTGTTTTAACTACACATGCTTTTCAATAGTGCATAAAAGACAACTCACTTTTATTTTTAATGCAATTAAATTCTTTGAACAAACAACATGTGATAAATTTTTTCTTGAAAAATATATTCCCCATACATGATAAAGAATTTAAAATGTTCAACGGATGAGAAAAAAACCCACAACTATACTATAATAGTAATACTCAAGTCAAAAAGATATTGTAATATCATCAAAAGAAATCACAGTAAAATCACCACCAGAAAAAGCATTATTTACAGAAAAAATACAAGTCTTGTTATAGGAAGATGTAAAAAGTTCAAAATACTTCTGTAAGAATTCAATATATAATCATGCAAGGCAAATGTTCATACATCACTCCATTGTGTTTTTTTTTTCATATTTTTTTTCTCTCTCCCTATTTGGATAAAATACTGTCAAATATTTCGCAACTACATGTATACTAACAAGCCAATGCAGGAATTCAAACATCAACATACTTTTCTAAAAGAATAATTACATAATTTAGTCATTCTGCAGTATATACACTATGCACATTACATTTCAAATCATCTTTTTCTCTTTTTTTTCCCTTCTTTTCTTCTTTTTTTCCCTTCTTTTCATTCCCCTCAAACCATTAAAGATCTTGCATCATTTAAAACACTATAACTAAATGGACAAACTGTCCTGCTTTCAAAAAAAGTCTATTCCTTTATATTTGCACCCTTATTTAACAGGAACAAAATAAAACAAAGGGCTTGTTGCACTAGTATCAACTTCATTTTTAACGTCCCCAATAGAAATTTCGATCGTATTTATTTAACAATCTTTAGTATAAGCAGGAACACATATGGATAAATGTTATAAGAAAAAAAATCCAAACAAACCTCCCTTTACATTTTTTTTTTCCCCATATGATTCTTCTCAGAAGCCTTGCCAATAAAAAACACGTTTTAAAACAATTTTTGAAAAGCACATCTGCTTTTAACGGTTATCACTGTTTTCATTAAAAAAAAAGTTATTTCAACATTTTATCTTCCCTTGTTTACCTTGAAGGAAAAAAAGAAGAAAACAAACTCCTGGAGCCAGCATTTTTATTGATATTATAAACATAAAATACATAGCATTCTATATTCCTGACCATAACAAACTCTATATGGCATAATACTTTGTGAAGGTGAATATAGCTTGTAATTTAAAAATAAAAATAAATATGCTTTCTTGCAGTTTCATTAAGAAAAACATATATTTTAGACATTATTGTATGCTGTCCTCAAATAAAACATAGAATCTAGCTCCCAAACCCAATTAAAATTTATAATTATTCATAAATCTATGAATCTAATCAATACCTTAAAAAAAATGTAATTGCTTGATATTTATGATCTATTCATCTTGCACATTTTGCAAAAAAAAAGGACCCTCAAACCAAGTACTTTCCGTGTCAACACATAAGATATGCCTCATGAATACACACCACTAACTAATAAAAGCTTGAGCAAGAAACTGCCATAAAAATTGCAAATACCATGAAAATGAAATGAGTGTTTTATATGAGAACTCAAATAGTTTGTAAAGCTAGAAACTACAAAAAATATTGTAATAAAATTGATCAAGGGAATGTTTATAACTTGATAGAACTTTTCAAGACGGTTATGTGATGGCTAATCTAATTCCACACAGTGGACATAAACAAGTACATCTTGGTGGCATTTTAACTAAAATTGTCCTATTATAATATCTCTTTTTATATGCGTATAAATTCCTAAGTATTTACATTCACACCGAAAGAAGTCTTCAATCTAACCAAGACCTAAAATAAGAGAAAGGGTAAATAAAATGATGCCTCCGACACCACCTTTATTGGCGGTATAAAAGAGAGGGACTTTTTTTTCTTCATTTTACTCCTGTTTTTTCCTTCCAAACATGATATATTTTAAGCATGAGATAAAATCTTATATACTGCTATCAGTATCATGAAAGGGCTCATAAACAAATTTAGAAAATGAGAAACAGTATGATTATTATTGCCTTAGAGAAATAATATTTAAATTTCTGAAATCATATTATTAATGACCTTGATGAATGTTCTGGAGGACTAATCACAGCATCTCTTGGTAGCTCTTTTCAACAACAAAAATTCTTATTGCTGACATATAGCTTTTAAATATATATCAAAATTACTGCTTTCGGATTTCATCCCATTTTAATAATTTTAAGTTCTCATTGTATTCCTAGAATTGCTTAATAACAGGAAAATAACATCTGACAGCAACACATTCTGTGCTGGAAAAAATCTTTTACTTACATACCTTCTCAGTAGTTTCATTAACAAAACAAAAAAACAAAAAAAAAATTCTCTTTAACTAAAGTCTGCTACAGAATTCCTGTGGCTTAACGAGCCATTTCCCATCTTAGTATAATTTGGACTGCAGCCATGCACTATAACAATGAATTACATAACTGCCGAGTAGATATAAACAAGCAAAACTAATGTAAACTTAACAAGAATTGCAGCATAATAAGGGTCCAAGTACATAATATATATTGACAGGACGATGCCCAGGACGAAACGAATATATTTACTTATATTTATGCTTTGTAAGTACTTTTTTGTTCTCTTCTGGTAGGTTGTCACTAAACTAGTGAGGGGGGTTTGGAGTTACCATCTAACATAATCTAGGCTAAGTCAACCTGAGAATTTGATCAAATCACTAAAGAAAGGGAATTGAGTGAATTTCTGGAGTCTGCTTTAATAATGGTTATTCACATTTACCACTGTGCACTGTGGCAGTTTACCGCAGGGGTTTTATTCTTCACATTTTTGTATCTCATAACACTTTAAAGTGAGTACACGCAGGACCAGTGTTACAGTTCCTTTTTTCATCCCCACCTAAAATTCAAGTGTAACACAAAAAACTGCCGGGGTAAACCACCACGGTTCAGCGGAGCATATACGAACAAGCCTGAAGTGGCCATGTCCTATGAGAATTACTGAGCCTTGAATCCATTTTTCTTAAACCCTGGTACGAAATCAAACTCACGCGGATAGATCAGAGATTTATCTGAAAAACCACCGAACACAAACATTTATTGCTGTTGGAAAACTAGATTTATAATACAACTTCAAATATAACATCTTACCATTTTTTTCCTTGTCAAATCAGAAAAGTTTCTGAAGCGAGTACATGATATACTTTGACTCCAATATGGGGCACTATAAGGGTATGATCTACCTTTGGCAAAAGTTCATTTTCAAGCGTTCCAAGGATTCATTAGAATGAGCAGGGTACTCATTCCATCATAATGGTTTTGCTTGTAATAATCAGATAGGATCTAAGCTACCTACACAGCTATGTAAGGAGGGTCAAAGAACTCACAGGGAAATATCTATCCGATTGGCATGTCTAACTAATCTCTCTACGTCTCTGTGATAGCTACACACAGAGACAGAAACATGGACGCTACAAGCTAGTCGCAAGCTAATGAGCAGAAGGGCTAATGCAGAGAATCAGGGCATTGTTCACGAATCCATCATAAATACACCGATATCCCATTGAAACACTATTAAAACACACATTTAAATGGGATATCGGGAAACTTGTACTTTCAACGGTTTCGTCAGACTCTACCCAGGTTTCATCGTGGGTAAGATCTGTGCTGTATTGCTATGCATGGGGAGTCTTCTTTTTAGCACATAACCACACTATGCCCACTAAGATACATTATTGGTGATGTCTACACAAACTGAAGTGAATGACTATGAGCGATTCAGGCAACTTCTGAAATCGAGGTGAGGAGAACATCGGTTGCCTTCAAGCTATGATGATGGTAGCCTTCTGCTTCATGGTGATGCCTTACTACTCGGTGTAGCCATGTATTAATTTCATGGCAGCATAAGACTCTCTGGCCAGCAAACATGCAAGGACCCATCAGCGCCAAATTGTCTTCATATTCGGTGGCGTAGAAACTGAATTTCTCTGATTGACCCCAGAATATCCACTTTTCACTTTGTATCACAATGGAGTTCTTACCACTTAGAAATAACTTGTCTTCATGAGAAGTCCAGAGTTGAAGACGGCAAGTATGTAACCAGTCCTGGTATTGAACCGTGAAGCTCAAACTTCATGCCAACTAGATGACTCCACTTAGTATCTGTTCCTGTTCACAAACATACCATAGATATTGCTAACAAGATCAGTTTTGATGATTTGGAACACTGCATGCTCACTGGCTTATTAAATCACCAACGGCAATACCGACACCAAATCCCTCAATGGCTACATTGCTGTCCAGACGATTGATTCCATGGCGGGTACCACTGCGGTGTGACAGTGTGCTAGTACCAAATGAAGCGAATGAATTGCGTGATATTATTCATTCCTCCGATCCCCCGACAGCACCTGAACCCCCGACGGCACCCTGGGCCTCCAGAGTGCTCTGTTGTTGATCCGATGTGGATTGTTGCCTGCTGCGGCTTGGTCTGGACTTCTTGGCGTCCCCAGACGGCCCACCAGACTTCTTGTTCTCACTGATAGAGGGCTGCCAAAGACAAGACAAGACAAGACGCGTTCACGTATCAATTCAAATATGTCACATCAAACAATTTGAAAAGTTTACTGTTCGTCTGTAACCATCTTTTTTTTCTAGCTACAGAACTCTTGCTCGAACATTTACAGATCCAGCCCAGTTTGACAATATACTAATCTAAAATGACACTCCACATTAACCTAAATTGTCTACCTAAATACTGTTGGCAACCTATACATCCGGCTCACATGGTGCATGGGCCAATTACAAATATCGCACGATATGAACATTTTTCTTCAATTTGAAATGAGAATCTAGAGGGGTGGGGGGGGGGGCTGGCAAAAATGTATTATTTGACAATATGAGCAATTATCCAGGTTGTCCAGCTGAGTCAGACAGAAAATTGAAATAAAAGATCTGAGGGCGTTTCGAAAACTTGGTATTATAAGCTACTGACATCCTTGCTTCTAATTGGTTATCAAAAGATTTGTCACTGATTTTTGTCATTAGTCATTGAAAAAAGGCTTTGTGAAACAGGTGCCAGACGTACCTCCACTCGGAAGTCCTCTAGTCCCCTGTACTTCTTGAGTGCTTCATCCAACTCGGGCAAGGTGGTCAGTTCTCTCAATCGGGAGTACTTCAGATAGGCCCAGAACTTCTCCAGGCCGTACAGTTGTCCTGTAGAGAAAGGGATGCATGACACAATAAAGTAATAACCATGCGAATCATACTTTGTCCATTACAGGTTCCACCTCTTCTCTTTTCAAGAAATTTTCCACAATTTTCTCTCACCATTTACTGGCATTGCTCTCACAATGGACATACAAAAAATAGGTCACAATCTACAGAATTTACATTTTTTGATAATTCATTATTGAGGGAAAAATATTATCTAAAGATCATAATTGAGAGACCAATGGTGAGAGCAACCAGTAACATGAACAGCCTGCCATAGTTAAGTCCAACTTAAAGTCGATCTTAATCTTTGTGAAACACCCACCAGCATGGTAACAGGTTAAAACCTACCTGACTCAAAGTCCCTTAACGTCTCCAGCTGGAAGTCCTGGTAGATGTCTGGTCTAAACTTGACCTCCAGACCGTAGCTGAAGTACCTGAAGAGGCACTCCAGGCCGTAGCGGTAGCCCTGCTTGGCGTCCTCCACGGCAAGGTTCTTGAACTCGTCGTACATCTTCTTGTTGAAGTTGGTACGGAGGAAGAAGGACCAGAAACGGAAGAGGGTGTTCATCTCCTGCGACTTGCCAACGCCAAGCTTCTTGCGGTCTAAAGAGGAGTAGGGAAATAATCAATCAAGACTTTTAGGAACATTTTTTAAATTTTTGATTGTGTACTGCCCTGCAACTGAATCCCAACTTTAAAAACTTCTTGTCTTCTGAAGAGGGACAAAGAAAAGCTTAATCACTATTCAAAGAGATGAAAGTGAGAACCTGTACACATTTTATGAGAAATCATGTATGCACTGAATTAAAATAACAAATAGGAATTTCAAAAGTAGAGCAGTTATATTTCACAGTTTTTCAGGCCTTGTCATCCAATCTATAAAATGTTGGTTATACCAAGACACCCAAGACAAAAATTATTTACAAAATATTTTTACATTAACAATATGACTGAGACTTCTTTATCACAATGACAAGATACAGTCAAACCTGTCTACAAAGACCACTTATCTACAACAATCACTTTTTGTGTTTCCCTTGGGCGGTCGCTATAGACAGGTTTGACCGTCTTATTAAACGATTGTGGTTAGGAAGCACAAGACTAGAGCCAAGAAGATTGAAATGTCTGGGCAAAAGTGAGCATACCTTTGAGACACTTTTGATGGAACTTGTGGTAGGCATGCTGAGTAAAGTTGTTATCCTTGAGAAGCTCGTGGGAAGGATGCTCAAACTTAGGGAAGCTCTGTGGAGTACCGTAGCTGGTGCTGATTGGTGCACCCTCAGATGGTGAACTGAAAAGGCATAAAAATGGAAAATATAAATTCAGCATCGATCAATAATATATATATATATATATAAAACAATGCAGACTGAAGTTGAAACTAGAAACAGGTGTTTGTATAATCCAATGATAATTGAGTTTTACCAAAGCAATCTGATCAAGAATGCTCATAGTAACTGAAGACTCAAGGAAAGATGGTACAAACATGATACTTGAACAGCTCTTGTAGGCATCCAAATTTCTCCTAACATTTTCTTTCTTCGGGGGCATTTTAATTTTTGTAGAGAACCCTTGGTCAGACAGTGAATGAATGACTGACACACCTGGGCCCTGTCTTACAAAGAATTACGATCTATGAAAATCAATCGCAAGTGTGCAGTCTCCTATCTTTTATGTACATGGTTGCGATTGATATTGTAAGACAGGGCCCAGAACTAAATGACATCATCAGTGGTTAAGACTTCGTAAGGTGATTAACATTTGCACTGACAATAGTCACTCCAGGTTTTATTTAATCAAAGAGCAAAGTTTAAGCTTGGGTCATGATTGGGTCTTAGCTACGGTTTTGGGTTAAAGTTTGGTCTAAGTTGAAGTTAGGAGTTGGTCATCTGGTAACTATAGGATCAAGATCAAGATCTTACCTGGTGGATGTATGTCTTGACCTAGCTATATGTTCTCTTGAATCCAGCACCCAACCAACGTGGCTCTCTATAGGTGGGTCCTCACTGTGCTTGGTCTTGCGTTTCCTTGGAGTCTGTTGTTGCAAAGAAAATCAGTACAAAATAGAGTGGATTGCAAAAGAATAGGTGCCCATTAATGTGGAACAGCATCAAAATGTGATCGCTAGACTGGAAATGAAAATAGTTTTATGAGATTCTCATTTATAAAGAAATGTTGACTAGCAATTAAAGCATTTGGTAGTATTATGAAACCATGTTTAGATTCAGGCAGCAAAAATTTAAACAAGGGAAACGCTCTCGGCAGTCTCGCCTGCATAACGCAATTCAATATGATAAACCAGAACGTCAATGACGTAGCGCTCATCCACATCTCGCAACAACAAATATCATAAATTTTAAGTGGTACACTATTGAACTGGTCAAAAAAAAAAAATTTGATGCCCTGGAAGGGACATAATTTCATTTCATTTGCATAAAGTACCATAAATAATCAATGGAGCAAAATCTCACAATTCTGTGTAGAAGTTTAGTGTTCCAAATTTAGCTCTACCAGATAAAGGCAAACCAAATCAAAATCGGTCAAGAAATGAGGGAAAAGAAGCAATTTTTGTTATTTTTGGAATAAATTTGCATAAGTTACCATAATTAATTAATGGAGAACAATTTCAAAATTCTGTGTAGAAGTTTAGTGTACCAAAGTTAGCTCTACGATATAAAGCAAACCAAATCAAAATCAGTCGAGAAATGAAGGAGAAGAAGCCTTTTTTGTGATTTCGAAAAAATTTGCATAAATTAGCATAGATAATGAATGTCACGATTCTGTGTAAGAATTTTAAATCCCCCTCCTAGCCCTATCATATGAAACAATCAGAATCAAAATCGGTTGAAAAATAACGAAGAAGAAGCATTTTGAAAATCTTGATGTTGATGCCACAACAAAGTCTAAGTTTGTTGACCTTAAATGACCTTTGACCTTACCTTAGTGACCTGAAATTCTACTCACATGATTGGGGAGACTTGATGACCCTATAGTCCAAGTTTCATTGACTAAGAACTTATACTTTCAAAATTATATCAAAAATTCAAAAACTTAACCTTAGGTTAAGTTTTCGATGATGATGCTACAACATAGTCCAAGTCTGTTGACCTGAAATGACCTTTGACCTTGACTTTGTGATCTGAAATTCTACTCACATGATTGGGAATACTTGATTACCCTATAGTCAAAGTTTCATTGACTAAGAAATTATACTTTAAAAATTATATCAAAAATTCAAAAACTTAACCTTAGGTTAAGTTTTTGATGTTGACGCCGCCGCCACCGCCGCCGCCGCCGCCGTCACCGGAAAAGCGGCGCCTATGTCTCGCTTTTTGCTACGCAGGCGAGACAAAAATTATATTTGAAGATGACTAAAGATGTGTACTCATCAGTGCCTGAGTATGCACGTTAACACATAATTATTTGATGCCTTATTCATTTTTCTCATTACTTAGCAATGACACATTTTCCCTAAATATCATTTGAAGATGCTTTCATGTATACACACATATATATAGTGTAAATAATTGTGTTGGATTCTGAATTTGTTATCATTACGATAACTAAACATTCTGTTTATACTGGTCAGTAATCTCACCTTGTTATCGATGGGTTTGGTCTCCTTCATGACCGGGTAGAACCTAGGTGACATCTGAGCCTTACCCCTAGGGGTGCGTGGTGTCCTCATGGCCTCACGCAGGTGGGGGCCTTCTGGGACCGCTGTGGGTAGTGACCTCGCTACCATCGATGAATCGGCCTTCACTGAACGCACTGGGGGTTAAGATAAAAACAGACAATTCATTCATAACCATATATCTCATCTGTAGGGAGATGTGAGTTGGTCTAGCGGCATGTTCACTTGGTCAGCTCTCTGTAATCGCCTACAAACTAGCTCAGACGACCCCGGTTCGAAACTGAGTCACTTCTTTTGGATGGTGACGTTAAAGGTCAGTCCCCAGATGTAAAAAATCATATCTGATTGATACACGTCTGTAAAAACCCAATTACACACACAAACATGCATGCACATAAGTAATATAAAAATACATCATGATATACCATTCTGCTCCTTCAATTTGAAATGATACCTTACTAAAACACAAATCTGGTTGAGGCACTTGGGACATACATGGATAAGAACTGAATTATGCAGCGAATGGAAATATCTTCTGCAAACTGAGTCACTTAACACAGTAGTAAAGCGTGACAAGGTTATTAATATGACCACACGTTCTTTAACCCATAGCCTGCCATGAGGCTGCACGCACGCTACCTATTGAGTGCCATGTGCGGGCAAGGGCGCATTCATAGTAGCAGTTATTGTTCATGCTCATTGGGCTGTGCTGTGTGTTTTGCACTCGCCATTCATAGAACCATCGCGTTAATCAGATTATCTCCAAAACAACCTGGCACAGTGGGGATTAGCCCTGTGGCACGATAAGAGTTAACGTCAAAGATGAATTAATTGTTTATACAAAGTACGGTACAGTCAAACCTGTCTATAGCGACCACCCAAGGGAAACACAAAAAGTGGCCTTTGTGGACAGGTGGTCTTTGTAGACAGGTTCCTTTATTACATGATTCAATGAGAATCCATTTTCAAGGGAAACAACAAATGTGGCCTTTGTAGACAGGTGGTCTTTGTAGACAGGTGGTCATTAAAGCAGGTTTGACTGTATAGGAAGATCATTGCCCATGTGCTATTACTGGATAAGGATGAATTTCAAGAAAGTAGCTAACTTGAAACCCACAGGCTAATAAGAAACCAATAATTTTGATGGCACTTCAAAGTTCGACATTTACATCGTACATGTTCCAGGAGAATGACAACCTGAACTCCCATCTAGACAAATCAACTAGGATCAACCACACCCACCTGCGCTCTTCTGGATGGGGATGCCCCCTTCCTCTCCGTCTTGGGCAGAGGTACCTTCCTCCGGGATGCCCTCTGGGGGCGGGGCAGGGGGTATCACCTGCCTGGTGTGGGGCTTCTCTGGTGTCAGGCAGGAGAACTCTTCATTGGTGATGGTCTGGATTTTGCTGAAAGCCGTATGGGGGGCACCGGCCGCTGCCATCAGTGCCAAGTCATACTGTGCACAAGATTAAAGAGAAGGTTGAGTAATGGAAATGGCTTTTTTTTTCTTCTTCTTTTTTTTTCTTCTTCACAGAATCAATTTCCATACAGACATTCAAGACAAAGAAACAATCTCTGCTATTCAAATTTAAGAGAGGAGCTTATTGCCTCTTGAGAACTACAATGGCATTAATGCAAGTGATATAACATACAGCTAATGCTCTTCTGGCCCTCAACAGATGGTATGCAAGGAAAGATGAAAAGATTAAGTTGGCAGGAATGACTAATAGAATACTTAGTCCCATATGTGTGCTTTTGTGTTTGAGATTTGTTTAGTGTATGTGACTAAATACAGAGCCATAACAGACAGGTAGCCAGAAGAAGGGCATTACACAGAAGTTGCCCCTTTCCTGCATGCCTATCAACTCTCCACAGCAATTTTCTATGCTCTTAAATCAAGGTGTTCACCCCAAAAAATTTAACGTTTAAAGTAATGGTTTGAAGGCCTAAAAATAAGATTCATTCTTTCCAAGACATGTATATTAGCATCTAGCTATGCTTCTGAATCTACACAGACAAGAGTAATTTCTCCTACCTTGAGCATTTCTTCGTCGTCATCCCATAGATCCATCTCATAGTAGTAGAGTCCATCGTTGATGACCTTGGCCAGGTTAGCGGTCATCTTGGAGCGGGAGACGTGGTACCCAGTCCTGTCCCCTCCAGGATGCTTCTTCAGACAGGGAGGAGTCTGGGTCACGATGATGATCTTGTTGAGGTCATTGTCGGAGATCTCGTAGTCCTCGTCATCGTCATCAGACCTGCGATGATACAATGTCAATCATTTCATTTCTACAGATCCTGTCTGGGCAATTTCACAAATTTGACATTTGCACCTTGCATTATTTCACTCTAGAATATATGTATACATCGAGGGTTCTAAGTGACACAAAGACTTATCCATATTTTGCCAAAAATGAGAATTAGATATCAAAATGTTCGGAAAATGTGGGCTTTCCAGGAAACACAAAGACTTAACTCCACCAAACACCCAATCTTGTCATCAGTGACAAATGACAAATTTTGTTACAAGCTAGTGTAATCCCTGCTTCTGATTGGTTATCAGCAGATTTGTCACTGAATTTTGTCACTTGTCATTGAAAAAAGGCTTTGTGAAACACCCCCTACAGGAATGAGAGAATGCAGATATCAATGGGTTAAAGGTAAGCTGTAATAAATTGGATCCTCACCATTCCGAGAAAGTGTTTTTCCTGCCAGTGATCTCAGTGAGCTCCTCATCAAACTGGAAGTCTAGCTCCTCCGCGGCTCCTTCAAAACGTTCCTGCTGAGATTCTGTTTGAGGCGATGATGCGACCTTCTGCAATACAAGATGGGAGTTAAGATGTGGCAATTAGATGGGATAATACCTTGCACTCCTAGTGAAACAGTAACAAAATTAATTATTGAATGCGGGAGGCGCGATAGCTCAGTTGGTAGAACAGTGGTCTCGTAATCCGGTGACCCGGGTTTGAAACCAAGTCGATGCGCTAGTGCCCTTTTGTAAGGCATTAATCCTCATTACCAGGTCCCCTGGAGAGGACCTAAAGCCATCAGCCGTCTGGCTGCTAACTAACAAGCATTTATGCTTTCTTAGCAGTCAGGTAAAATAACCAACCACCATTTGAATTTGAAGTCATATGCTCATCAAGAACATAGTTATGATTTATTTTACTTGTCACTGAGTGGAAATACACTTGAACTGAACTGAATTGAATTGAACTAAACTAAACTAAACTAAACTAAACTAAACTGAACTGAACTGAACTGAACTGAACTGAACTGAACTGAACTGAACTGAACTGAACTGAAGCACCAATGATCATACCTTATCCTTTGGAGTTGGGGCTTTATGCCTTCTCTTCACCTCTGTCCAGTTTCCTGGTTCTTTCTCTGGTAGGCTGGTGGACAGTCCTGGAGTCATGGGTACCCTCATGCTGGACATCCCTTGACCGGTGGCCTCCCTCTCGGAGCTCCTCTCACTGGACTGAATGTTCTCCACAGGTGTAGGGGACACGGGTGCAGATTCTGAAATTTACATTCATGGGATAGAGGGAGACTTTGATTAGCAAAGGTGTCAACAAATTTTAAATGGATAATCAGAAACACCTAAGTAACCCAGTTTAATTTAATCTCTCTAGACATGACTAAATATTTACACTATGCAGATCATGAAATTGCAATTGTTGGATTGAACTATGTTTTGCATATAAATGGTGTCAAGAAACATGAAGTGATAATCAGAATTTCATAAAAATCTCAGCAAATGGGATTTGTTCACTCTAGAAGTGAATGCTTTATTGAATAAAATATTAAAGGAACATGATATCGATGAAGTTTTTTTTTAAAAGGCAGAACAATGATTTCTAGTAGTAGGACATGTCTAATTGTGACTTTATCCAACTCTTCACACCATCCTAAGACTGTCTTCGAGAGTAGAATGATGCAACGATATCACACTTTTAAGAATGACAATGGGAAACATGGCATATGAATGCGTAAGTATTAATAATGATAATGATCATTAGAAAACTTAATAATGATAATGATAATTAGAAAACTTAGCAAATTATACCCACCTGTGTCGTTATTGTATGAGGTGTAAGGGTAAGGTTTGCCAGGGATGAATTCGGGGCTGTCGTAGGAGAGCTCAATCTTGGTGGGTGTGCCAGGGTCGTTGATGACCCACTGTGTAGGGGTGAGCTTGCAGCGTACCTTTGACTTGTCCGATGATAGCTCCACCTCGGTGCTGTCATTCAGGGCCTAGGTTGGGAGAGATATCAGTACAAATTTATGTATGTCAAATTTATATAGGAAACATATATATCAATAATAATAATATTCCGCCTTTATAAAGCGCCAAATTCAGCGATCCAACAATGTGTCTAAGCGCTTTACAAATATATTATTACCCCGGTCATCCGATTCAGGCTTCCCCACACACAATGTATGCACATTCTCCACTCCCTGGGGAGCATTCTGGCCAGTCGCTATTTTACAAGCACACACTTGCTCATCTAACCACATTAGCTTTCGCATCCTACCGGGTACCCATTTAACACCTGGGTGGAGAGTGGCAAATGTAGATGAACGTCTTGCAAAAGGACATTAGTGCTGCATATACTTTGCAAACAAATGTTGCCTCTTGTTTAGGAGCACACCACAAAAAAAATGTGTGTGTGGGGGAGGGGGGGAAGCAAGTGATGTACTTGATGTAAAACAGCAAGGTTCTCGCCTAACTTCTCATTTGAAGTTGGGATGCCACGTTCACCTTTTGCTGATTATGTACAGTGAGTGGGTTGCACACTGTATGTATGAACTCATACAAAGATCTAATATTTTCAGAGGATTTTTAGCTGTCAGCCAAAGAGAGATCTGTTTGGTTGCCCTACAGCATGACTGGTGGTCAATGGCACCTGTGTAATCCCTCATTCGCGAAAGTCATGAAAATTACAAATGTATAATTGTCTACAATAAAAGATCAATGAAGATTTCTGCGGCATAAAAAAAGGAAATCCTGTGGACTAATTTTTGCAACAATTCTCATCCTAGTTACATGTACATCTCCTTTTCTAGACACGTAAACGTCATCAGTTGGCAAAAAACATACCGTGGTGATGACGCCAACATCACTAGTCAGAGCCTTGACTCGATGGAAACTGGCGATGAGACTGAGAGGGAGGTAGCCCTCGGTATCCATCTGAACAGTGAGAAAAAGATGGAGATATGGAATTAATAAAGGAGTATGCATGTATGTATGTCTTTAATAGAGCAACAAGTCAGAGCATGAACTTCATACTCATACTTCATACAGTTAACCTGCTTTAGTGACCACCTGTCTACAAAGACCGCATTTTTTTGTTTGAATCATACATTGAATCATCATCATACATTAAATAATGTACTAAAGGAACATGTACATAAAGACCACCTGCCTATAAAGATCACTTTTCTTGTCTCCCTTGTGTGGTCTTTATAGACAGGTTTTATTGTAGCAATACCTTATTCATGTGAATGCTTTTAAATGCATCTCCTGAAGGACAATAACCTACTGGTAGTAACTACCCACCCCAATCTGGTAATATACTAACCACACATAAATGCTCCATACTATTATGGCTTTTTGAAATTTACCACGGTTAACCACCGCTTTACCACCAGTTGTTTTAACCAAACTTTAGTATACTGCACTTCACATTTTTATATCTAAATAATTATGACATTTGCTGGGCACAGCTGCTTTTTTTTACTCCACTTGCCATTCACTTAGTACACATGGTTTATCACAGCATGTGAAAGCCTTTAGGTGTTTTCTTTTAATAATAATAATACAGACATTTATAATGAGCAACATATCCACCCAGAGGGTGCTCAAGGCACTTACAATGAGCTACATAATGTCTGTTTTTTTAGAACAGAAGGATCCCCTGAAGTATTTCCTTATGGATTAGTTATTCAAATTTGGGCATGATGTTTGAATCGAAAATTGAATCTCAGACTGACCTAAAGCAAAGGAGTGCCACAAGGACTAATCAAACCTGCTTAATTTTTTTTAAATATACTAAATTTTCAATCCTCTTTTCTTTTCTCTCTCTCTCTCTCTCTTCAAAATAGCAAGTTCACATTACCTTTTTCCTCAGGAATAAATCCTTCACAAGATTATCTACGCTGAAGTAGTATTCACTGTAAAATAAAACACAGAAAGGAAAAAATGTGATTAAGAACAAGAGACGTTCATTTTTTCTAAATATAATTTTAAACAGGTTAAGATTCACAAATTGAACAGTGCCTTTTATGATGTCGACATGTATTTTGTTTTATTTTGTGTCCAAAAATAAGGAAAAGTGGGAGCATTACAAAAATTGCTTTTCTTTTTGAACGTGTTTTCTGTAATTATGAAGGAACGCAGTTAAGCTAGAAGACACATGAAAATCTATATCTCTTCAATTATTAATTTCATAGCCATGAATACAATTCAACGATCTGATAGATAAATGAACAATTTAGAGTGTTCCTCAATGACATGAATGTACAAGACTCCATAACTTACATTTGCTTTTTGACATAGTCTTTGAGAGTGCCTTCATCCAGGGAGAATGATGGAGATGTCGAGGCGGCGCTAGGGGTAAACACCGGTGTGGAGCCATCGTAGAATACAGGATTGTTGTACTGAGGTGTCACAAACTGTGGAGTTTCAAAGTCTGCGTCCCCTCCCGCACCAGGAGTGCCGGTGCCCGCGGGGACTCCATTGCCGGTGCCGGTGTCAGCTCCTGCGGCTTCAGCGCTGCCCAGGTCATAGTACTGTGGCACAAATTCTTGGAATAATTCAGAATCTGGAGATGCTGGGAATTGAAGGAAAAGAAAAGATGTTGCTTCACGCTGAATACCAGAATTTCTAGTTTACCTGGTAACAATGGCTTAAATAACATAATAATAATTTAAATAATTTATAATAAAGTAAAATTACTAGAATGATTTATATGGATGATCATATACAAGCATTGCATCTCCTTTTATCTCAGTCTTTAAGATAAAGTTGAGTTCTGGTCATGCGAATGCATTGTGAAAGAAACGTTGTGGAATTGATCAGGAAAGGTTGATCATCTAGCATATAAGTATTGGTGTGTACTGCAAAGTTCTGAAATATTCAAAATGATAAGAAACTTGGCCCACTCTTGGTTGAGTAACAAGCACTGTACACAGAAAGATGTATATGGGACTACACAAACATGTGGCATTAAAATCTGACCCGATTTTTTATGTTACTTGCCATATTACGCTCACAAATTATTTTTCACCTCTTTCCAGAACTCAACCTTCTCTCTAAAACAGACATGAATAATTTCAAAAACTTGTGAAAAAACCCTTTCACAACGATAAATTCCTCTCTTCAAATTGTTTTGCCTTCACAGATGCAGTATAGAAGACTTTCAAAGTCTGTTGATTCATCCAATGAGCCTAAAAGTGTCACATGTTTTTCTTCATAATAAGGCCTCAATAAAAAGGCCAACAAATCCTAGAACACAGATAGAGCCTTTACTCGGACAATAACCTTGAAAGTGGCATACTTGAGTATATCAAACAAAACATGTTAATCAATAAGTCCCAGTATAAAAAAGCCAATTGCATGCATGAACTCACTTTGTTCATTGTTATTTGTTACTGGGACATCCACGTTGTTGCCCTGCCAGTAGCCACCGGAGTACCCACCACGCCCTCGTCCTCCTCTTCCGCCCCTACCTCTACCCCTGCCTCTGCCCCGGTAGCTGCGCTGGTTCTGCCAACTCCGGCTGTCGGCGCTGGATGCACTCGGGCTGCGACTCCTCTCGTCCTTGGGAGGTGCAAAGCCAGCGGCTGTCAGGAAAATCAAAGGAAGAGAGAAGTTTTTTTTGAGAAATTGAAATGCTGTACAAGGTAGAATCACAAGGTACTGTAAATCTCTGTGTATAAGACGCACCCCTATTTTGGGGGCAGGGGAAAACAAAAAAAAGGTGCGTCTTATACACGGAGATTTACGGTAGTATACAGAGTTTTGATATTCATAGCTTCTGTGGTCAGTGAATTCATAGTCCTCTTTAACACATCTAGAAATAACATTTTGGTACATTCTCAACACTCTTCATCACAATTCTAAAACTTATTTGATCACCATATACATGGCTCTCAACAACCAAGATGAAAATAAAGATCCACGGAATTCAATCTCAGCTAAAAGTGAGAATGCCATGTGAATAAGAAAACAGGAGAATAAAGCAATACTTGCACTACCGTATATCGACATACATCGTCCTTATCCTATGGAGTAACGTCCAGAGAATCTTTGGGTACATTCTATTCCGTTATCTGCAAATTTGACACTATTGAGAATTGCTTGTAATGGGCTCATAAACAAAACAAAAGATTAGTATTTCGTGATCAATGATAATTTCCATCCTTTTAACGGCTAGATGAAATGGTATTACCCTTACCCTTTGTCAACGTTTCTCTGCTGTTCCTACCATCTCCACGAGGACGCTCCGGCCTCTTAGCTGGCTCAGAACCGGTGCTGCGTGGCACATCACGCCAGTTCATCTCACGTTCGCTGTCTCGCGCCGGCCGGCTATCCCTCACTCTCCCGCCTCCTGAGGCGTTGCGTCCCCGGTCTCGATCCCGGTCTCGGCCTCCCTTGTTTCGAGGCTCTGGGTCCAGCGGAAGGGGGATCCACTTTTGTTTCTTGTCTGCTTTGTATAGAAAAACAATGCAGTTTGTGAGTAGCAATAATCACATTTCCAAACAAAACTACACAGGAACTGGTTTCTAATGCACATAGGCACCCAAATTCTTACTCTACACCTCCAAACTTCTGAAGTTGTAAAAGGAGGCTAATGCAAACTGAATCTTTACGGGCAATTAAGATGTAAAATCCAGATCCCCAAAGATATAAAAAAGCGGGTGTGGATCCCTACATAAACCATCATACAACTTTGAATTTAGAGATATTCCTCAGATGGATAAATAAATCTTATATAAGCGTTACAAACCATTCTATACAAAAATATAGAATGATATATTATTAGAGCTTATAATGGCTTTATAGGCCGATCTTCAAAGGCCTGAGTTCCCAAAATAGCCTATTTTTATTCCCACTGTGGGAAATACACTAAAGCTAAATTGCAGTCAGGACGTAATAGAAGACTATTTCAACCTTTTGCCTAGGATTTTAGCTCAAGTTATCATCCAATAGCAACAGACCAAAGGTTATATGTGGTCACCTTTCAAGGCTGCACATACCGTTTCATTTCAAATAAAATTGAGGGCTCATACTAGACACTGACGCATGATAATAATAATAATACTCAGTTTATACATAGCACCTATTACAATCACTAAGCGCTTCCAAACTTGGAGATTATTACACTGGCTTTAGCTGTGCTGCCATTCCGGCGCTCTAGCATTTCAAAGAATTAATTCCTGCCGAGTGAAAGAAAAAATTCTTGTCTTTTGTCACCAACTACATTCACATCAATCTATACCTTTACCACGATTTTTCTTGTTTCCTTTCTGTCCATCACCCTTTCCATCCTCCGTCTGCTTGTCCTTCTCTGAGGATGACGCTGTCGACCGGTGGGCCTTGACTCTGGGAGATGTTACCTCCTTGGTGACCACCTTGGTGACCTCCGGAGCAGCTGCAGGTGTTGCAGGAACTGCAGGAGCTGCTGGTGGAGGAGCTTGGTCCTCTGTGGCAGGCTTAGGTGACCTAGGCGAGGTAGCAGTAGCAGGTGCTGTAGGGATGGTAGCGGAAGTGTTGGGCGTAGGGGCAGCCTCTACCTGCTCGGCCACCAGTGGGGGCGTGGTTGAGGTGGCAGGAGGGGTCTTGGATCCGGAAGGGATGGTTTCCTTCTTGCGTCTGGGAGATTGGGGGTCCTATCGATACCAGAAAAAGGAGCATAAGATGAGCAGTTATATATCGATGGTATACAAAAGAAAATTACTTTCCAACTGAAATTGAACCCTTTTATGACCTCTATATAGAATATTAAACACATCATAAGTTCTATGACACATTTCCAAGCCAAAGTGAAAATGACAAAATTCTGCACACATCTGCACATATTTTCGAAAGGCTTGAAAGAAATATTTAGATGTCTGTAGACTACTACCATAATTATATGTTTTGTGAATAATTTCGTTTACTCTGTCGATGTGGCAAACACAAACAACAAATTGAATATAGTCTGCTACATTTTCCCCCCTACATGTACATTGTAAGTGAATTTATGTATTGATTACTCTTTACCTTTATTCTCCCCATAGCACTCAAAGTTGATTTTTTTTTTTTTTTTTTTTTTTTTAACAAGTAAAATAATACCTTTCACACGAAAAGATTGAGAATGACATGGACATACAGGAAATAACAGGGCAACTTTAGAATACCCCATCATAAAAACTGATCAAACATGTGTAGGTTAACCAACACTACACCAATGAAGCTTCATAGATGACTGCTCTCAATCAAAGAGAAGACATTGATATCACAAAAGCATCCTTTTTGCTGGTACCCAATACCACTACATCCATCAATCAGAGTCCGCTCAATGGTAGAAAGGTCTTGGTGCGGTTAAAAGTAATTTGCATTTGGTTTAGCATTTCATTTGTAAGATAAATTGCTTCCTTATTATACCAGGACATTATACCAGGAAGAACGGATTGAAGATTTCCTACATAGTATTTTATACAAAAATATTATACTTGCAAGGATACGTTCACTTTCATGGACCGTTATGTCTCATGCAAAAATTATGTTCTTGCTCAGGGGATCCGTTTTTTTTATTGAATGATGTGATAATTTGAATTTCCTTAGGGGGAAAATATTTGTTTGATTTCTTCATCTTCCAAGGATTTTTAAGTGCTTTCCTGAACTAGATCACAACTCGCTCTTATTTTTTTAAAATTTTTTAATTATTTTACCTAGCTGTATCCTTTCTTGCTAATTAATCACTTCTGTAACTTGAAAATGAGTGAAAGTGGAAGAGAAAGATAAGCAAAATGAGTCAACTTACGGATCCATCTTTTTTTGCAGCACCTAGAGAAGGCCAGCTGTTCAAGTCATTGAAGTCACTCGCCTGCAACAAAAGACAAACACAAATAATCACTTGTGCATTTTATGTCACGCATAACATTCCATATCAAGAGTTAAAACTGGACTCCAGAAGCTAATATGCTCTGCAAAGCCTCATATGTGTTCAGAAAGTTCAAAACTCCAGAAGCTAAGATGCTCTGCACATTTTGGATGATGACATCAAAGTGGGCGGTTTTTCATTAAAATTAGTTTTGAATATCACCTTTAGGTCTCTTTAATATTGGAAAGGTTATTGAGGAAGTACTTGTAATAGAGAAATGAAGCAAAAGATGACAATCATAACATATGGTCTTGAATCTGCTGGTTATAACAATCCAGTCTATATTTGCATCATAACCCAGAACAAAGACGGATATCATCTTCAGCTGAAGTGAGGTATTACATTACTTCCTACTATAAATATATCCGTTTTTATGCAAATGAGAAAGAAAAAAAATCTTGAACACATTAAAGGATTAAAGCAAGTACAAGTAAATATTAGATGCAGTCTAAAACAGAAAAGGCGGTTTTTATTTTAAATATTGACAGTCATTTCAGAGTGGGAGAAACGAAATGAAAGCATGTATCTCGTTTCTTTCAAGTGAATATGCGCAGGTTTTGGTTCATACTACCAAATCAGCCATTTTCTGCATTTTTTACATGACCCTCTGTCCAATGATGGTCAATGTCATGAATACGGTGTATTGCCTCTTCACTCTGTCTGCTTATGGTCAATTAATGGAACAAACGATTGACTGGCACGGTCAACTTTTATCAAAAGAACAATGTGTACTGAACGCATACATCCAATGCAATGTGGCAGTAGACCGTTTCAGTTTGACGTAAATAAGAAGTAAAATGTATCCATATGCCACTTACCACACTGTTCTTGCCCTTGGAAGCAGCCTTCACAACGGACGGAGCTGCAGCAGCATTCCCTGGTACAGACGCAGCAACGACGACGACGGGTGCCGGGCTTTCCTTGGGTTCTGTTAAGATAAAACAATGAGATTTTCAGTGAGCATGTAGCTTGGATCTAGGGGGCGTTTCACAAAACTTGTCATCAGTGACAAATGACAGTTTTTGTTATAAGCTACTGAAATCCTTGCCTTTGATTGGTTATCAGCAGATTTGTCACTGATTTTTGTCATTTGTCATTAAAAGGCTTTGTGAAACGGGTCCCTAAGAGAAGAGGCGTAAATATTCACTTCTGAATGACAAACGCCTATAAACTTAAACAACAACAACAACTGGTATCAAACTGATACCTGACTAAAGGTATTGAGCGAAGCAAGACATGAACCAGACAAGACGGAAACATAAATCATGTCTACTCTGCAACAGAGGTATGATAGAAAAGAATTGTGAAAAAGATCATTATTGTGAAGCTTTGACTGGGGAGAAAAAAATCTTCATAAAAAACTTTGACTACATATGAAATGTGTTTGAAATTGAAGACTTTATGGACACAGTTCCTAGTAGGACAATTGAATACACACTCTTTATTTAAAATGAAAGGGGAATTAATTAGTTTTATTCCCTTTCAAAAATATTGAGGAATCATACATGTACATGTAGCTCAATGTAAAACTGATGTTAGAAACCTGTCTAATCCTCTTCTCATTCCACTATCCATAGAGGCAAAATATTGTACTCTGAATTCTCTGATCCATTTAAACCAAAATATTGTACTCTGAATTCTCTGATCCATTTAAACCAAAATATTGTACTCTGAATTCTCTGATCCATTTAAACCAAAATTACCAAATAACAAAAAATGCTATTCATTGATACAGTCATATAAACAATATCAGGAAATCTATTCAAATATTTACTTCTTTGAGGGAAAGTATTCAATCAGAATTTAAAACCACATTTAATGCTTCAGTGAGTTTGATTCATATTTTTGCAAAGCCTTTTTCATCTATAATAAAGCAAAATCCAAGTCATCTCAGGGGTAAAAAAAATATCAAATTCAAAGTGATGGAATCTCACTTGTCAAAATCCCTATTTTTTTTTAAAAACTTGGGACTAATTAAGGTCTGCACAGCATGAGCTGTCCTGATTTTCTCATTTTCTAATTTTTTCCCCACACTCCAACGATCCCTGAGAATAAACTACAAAATGAACATGTTGGGATCTTCAGCTAATCATCGGTCGCTCTGACATCTGTAGCCTTGACACGATTTTGCATGGTTCTTCAGCACAGTTACAATGTACAGCGTGAATCTCTGCAGTTATGACATCATTGTGCATTATATGCATCGGCGAGCAGGATTTCTGCACTTTAATTCACAGCTGTTGACGTATCATGTCACCACAAGCTTCACTATCATGTAATTACATGCACTGTACATGTCGCTCCTTATTTCAAAGTTTACATTTAAAAAAGCATATCAAAGGAGGAGCATCAATCGAACCCAATGTGAAATGTGTTTAAAATTCCAACATCTTGCATTAAAAAAAAGGTTGCTCTCTGATATCAGAATAATATTTGCTTGAAGCTTCCCTTTAAAGCAACAACTGCCACTGCAACATGCTACAGAAATATTAGCAATAGGCGATTGGCTCATGTGACATGAAACACTTCCTAGTTGGACAAGTCTTTACAATTTATTTTTAACCTGTGGAATTCGTTGTCCACAGATGGCAGGAACTTAAACCAGTTATTAAGAACTTCCCTGATCAGCAGTTTGACATAAAAGTGATCTTGATCTTGTTTCATAGTTCACTCAAAGGAGGCAATACTGTAATTGCATAAAATACCGCTCAAACTTTACAATCATTCGATTATCCTACCAAGAAGATTCTGTAGCTAACATGAACTCCAAAAGCATGAAAAAACGTAATCATAAACAGTAATTTAAAGCACAGCCAGATGAATATCTTGATATCTTTAAATTATTCAAATTACAAGTGTAGCTTACAATGACAGTTTCTTTCAATTAAATATTCAATTCTCATTAACCACATTATCAGTATTTACTCTAGAGTCTAGACCAACTTCTCAACAGTTTCCCTAGAAATAACATCCAACCTGCAACCCAGGTACTAAATGTTTACATGCATTCATACTACATTTTGCACTTGTCCAATAAACCATGACAGACCATGACAAACCAGTCAAGCAGAACTCACAACAGAAAATTCCCAATGTATTCTTTGACTTTCAATGACGGGATTACATGTATGGCCGGTCAACTTGATTCTCATAGCCTTATTCTGTAAGGTATATAAAGCTCACATGCTCAAACAAGTATATTCATGGGACCCCATCAGTCAGTTGCCTGCACCACTGAATAGACCAGTTCACGGTTAGCACATTTCCATAATGACCCCGAATATCCACAGATCTTCAAAACATTAAGAAGTCCCACTTTGTACATTTTGAAATAATCACTCCTACAGCGATGGAGGTGCTACATAAATAGCCTTTGTTTCCCCTTTTCAAAGAATACTTCCACGAGTATCATGGAGTGCACTGCTTGTGAATAAATGAATAGTGATTACATAACTTTCATGAGCAAGTATCCAGTATTTTGTCTACTGTGTATTTCACAATTTGGTCTGCAATGACCTTTATCTGCTCATGCTCAGCTCAGACTGCAACTACAGTATGAAGTGGCTTATTGCATCTCTTTTACTTTCATACTGTGTATGTTGACGGCTCCTGACCCTACTGGTTAATAACCATGAATGACAGCATGTGGGTCAAATTCATTGAGCTCTAAAGCTCAGAAATCTCTCCTTATTATTTCTAATATCTTTTGGTTTCAGACACTTCGCAATAATAATTTTATAAGTGCCCACACATTACATCAATCTGTTTCACTGAAAACAAAACTCCCACCTGATATGATTTTTTTTTCTCTCACAGCATAACTATAAATTGCCTTAGCATTTATTAAGTACTATCATTTTCAGTTAAACATAAGCTAAGCTACGTTATCCCTTTAAAAAACCCATTTAAGCCACTTCTTTCCAAAAACGCCATTAAAAGGTAGAAGGAAGTCAAACATTAAATAGCCTTTAACAAAAAAGAAGGTAATTTACACACAAAACCAGTGATAGAAATGAAAAAAAAAAGAAAAAAACAGATGCACATGTCGGCATGGCAAACAGCTAGCAGAAAAGAATACAACTTCCAAAATAACTTGTGAAGTCTCACAAATCCTTACCTTTTTCGAACGATAAAGATAAGCAAAAGACATGAAAGAAAAAAATTAATTATAATTAAGCAACAAGAATCTTTAAAAATGCAAATCTGAAGTATATCTTGGATATAAAGAAACAAACAAAGGACAAATAAAATTCTCCCATGTAGGAATTTTTTGTTGTTTTTGTAATCCAAAATAACAATATATCTAATTAAAATGGAGGTGATGGGACTCCCTCTTCTTTTTTCCCCTTCTTCTTTGAAACGGCATATGATCATATTTGACATGATGTTTGCTAAGTAAAGTGTTCAATTTGGGGCAACAGCCCTGACTCTGAATAGTTACAATGCAAGTGCAAATCCAATTATCCCAATGTCAACCAGTCAAATTCTTTTATTTTATTTGCATTTGGGGTTTCATTCAAGAACGCGGTATTCATGATTCATGCACTAATGTGAGAAACATGCATGTGTGGGAGAAAAAGAAAAATAATGACAGCTCAACTACTGTAGTCACTGGTGCAGAAAGTCGTAAGTTTGAGGCAGAGAAAAAATATATTGGAAAGTAGAGATAAAATCATTCCTGACAATTTTTTCTCACTTTTATTAGAAAATGGAGAGCAATTTTTTACAGATTATTATTTAAAAATGCATCCCCAACCCCCAAACCTACTTTGTTCAGTGCTATGCACATGTGGCACCTGGCTGGAATACTCCTAAGGGAGTGGAGAGGTTGCACACATTGTATGTGGGCAAGCCCGAATCTCAAGACCAAAGCAATATTTCTGTAAAGCATTTTCATACAGCCAACACATAAATTCAGAAGATTATTTTTTCATAATTTTTATCAATCTTCCTATGCGTGTAGCTCCAAACTTTTATTGAAGAAAGAGTATTTCTCTGTACATTTTTTTTGTAGATTATTATTTTTTTTTTTTTAATTATCACTTACAAAAAAAAATCCTCCATACTTACTCATAAGACTTGTACTGGAAAAGTTCCACACATTTCCAGACACAGCCATACTGAAAGTTGATAATTCCTACATATATCCTCAAAATATAGTCTTCTCTTTCCTCCTCTGACAATAGGAATCTGATCAACTAGTCTAACATCTGTCAATGTATCCAATAACCCATTAACACCAAGTGCATCAGCATAGGCATACAATGTAACTTCCAGCTGATATATATCATCAATAAAAATATAATATCCAAGACCGTAATATAGGTTCCATATTCCAAGAGTCTTCAGTACAGCTTGTCAATTCAAATTGAATAGTCCCAACATTACCAATGTCATTGATAATATCCTTGATAATTTGCGTCCAGCTGCAGAAAATGTGACACATCATTTCATCTTCCAGAAAAATGTTGCCACATGTTAGCAGGCCGGTCTAATTACCCCTCTGCCAAAATCCTTTTGCTGCTTCCACGTGTTCTGAAGTAGGCATATGGAATGCAATGGAAGGGAGGTTGTATGGCGTCACCATCCCACCAACGTACAGAATGTCACCATGAGGCTGTACAGTATAAGCCCATTGGGTAGGATGAGAGAGTTGCCACCTGTGCACTAGATTTATCTATATAAAGGGGTAGTCAGTAAATACAGAATTTCTTTTCTTTACCTTGGTGACAGGTGCGCATATCTAGAATAAATTGCTACGCCATCAAACTCCTGAGACCCCCCCCCTCCCCCCCCCCCAAAAAAAAAGAAAGATATATGTACATACAGTCAAACCTGCTTTAGAGACCACCTGTATAGAAAGACCACATTTTTCATTTCCCTAGGAATTGTTTTCTCATTAAACCTGTACATACTAAAGGAACCTGT